TTATTGAAGGAAGCGTCCTTTATCGAGGACGAAACTACATCTTAGCGGTAATTTTGCTAAAACACAAGGATTCGTTGAATAGTATCAGCCTGTTTATTTAGTTGATGTGATAAAAGAACGGCTATTTAAAAACAATTGACGTTTGAAAATCTTTATTCAAAACAACAACAAAAAGCAATTTTTACAGACCTTCCAGTATTTGAAATTTTCATTCTCGTGAGTCACATGATGAAAATTTTCCACAGTTCCTTTTCTTTTAGGTCGATACTATGATCCTTGGAAATATTTCACGTTGCAACAACCATTGACAACCATCTGACTTTGGATGTTCGCATAAATAAGGGCAAGGCGAGTGTCTATACAGCACTCTGTCGCTTTGTCTTCACAAGAAGACGCCATTTTTTTGATAGATATAAATGACGAATTATTATTTATATACGATTCTCAAGAATAAATAAACAGAGAGAAACGGACCCTCTAAATCACTTCTACTGTGCAACCTCGTGCTGTATGTATAAGGTTAATAGCTTGGCTAGCGACAAAACGCTCCAATTGGTCAGGAAGCGCATTTCATTGGCTGTCACTATGCTAATAACATGCGTAATAAGATATGCGCTTAACATAAAATTCTTTTAATATGGCGGACATAACTGAAGCTGTTTCAAATTGCATAAAGTGAAATGAGTTTTGAGATTCGTGATTTATTGCCGCTACGAATAAGAAACAGACGGCAAAATCGAGTCGAAAGATTTCGGAAACATCTATCGAATTCTGTTGAAGATGGCATCATGAGATGTTGAAACATGTTTATTTTAAAAAAAACTTATCGTTTTGTTAAATGCGCAAGAATTCTAAATGAATGAAGTTTTGCTTCGTTTCACTTGTTTCCTAGGATACCAGACGAATGAAAAGTAGAATATGAGGTAATGGACAAGGCAATTAACACATAGTGAAAGTAATCTTAATAGAAATACAGTGGAATAACATGAAAATTTAAAGCAAATTTTTCCTGAAGCGACACAAGTTTAGAAACATCACAGTTATCAAATAAGCAGGAAACACGTTTTTCCAAACGTCTCACATTTCGTCCTTCGAAAATGTCACCTCGATGAAACGCATCACAATCGTATAAATTTACCGAAAAAAGTCCAGCCGAATCCAAGGAAAGATAAAATCCTCTTTTATAAAGACAAAATTTTTCATTCATTTTACAACATATTTCAATGTTGACATCATTCCTAAGGAATGTTTGTTAATCCCTCCAAACAAATTTCATTGTTTTCAAACAGGAAGAAACGCTTTGTTTTGAATTATTGTAATCCAATAGCCATGTGTTACTGGATATACCTCACGTTATTAAAACACGGAATCAGTTTGGAATCCATTTGAAAAAAAATTCCATGCAAAAATTGCTTTGCTATAAAAGCTTCAAGAAAGTGAATGAAAAATTGGCGAAATTCCCGTGATCACAATATCGTCAGTTATATTGAAACTGCCCAGTTTTTATGCATTAAAGTGCCTACGAAACAAAAATTTTGCTAGCTGAGTTACACTTTCATTGAAGAAATATTTTGAAATGACAATAAGCATGACTTTCTAGATACTGAGGTCGTCCATTGTCACTTCCTATTTATCTGACCTGTCATTTTTACATTGTAAAATGAGAACTAGAATTATTAAAGCCCGTTCATACGATCCGATTTGTCTGACCTGATGGCTTCGGTTCCGATTTTGGTTGCTTGTTCAGACGGCCCGATAATTGTGTTGATATTTATATTCGTTTACATATTTATAGCAGTGAGAACAGCCATTTGTTAAAAACTGAATACTACAAAATACCCGACAACTAAGGCCCCGTCCACACGTATCCGGAGTTTTTAAAACGAAGGTTTTTCTCCGTTTTGAAAAGATTTGCGTCCACACGTAGCCTATTTGAATCGTTTTCGCCTGTCCACATGTATACGCAAATACGAACGCAATACGAAAAACGATATGAAAGAGCATGCGTAGAGAGCATGACTTCGCCTGTTTATTATTCGTTTTAGAACAACTTCCCGTGACTTTGAAATAGAGATCATCCTCATAATATTAATTCGTTTTCTTAAATAATCAACGTGAACATTCAAGATGTTAATTTGTAACTCAATGCTATGATGCTTGAAAGAAGCCTGAGTAAAATAGCTATACAATTCTGCATCGCCATGTTGAACAAATGCTTTAAACTTTGAACCTTTGAACCATGCTTTGAACTGATGTTTTGAATTCGGCGCAAAACGCATGCTCCATCCGACTCGATAAAACGTCACCCCGGTCATCGTAAAGAAAACCTCCGTTTTAACCGTCCACACGTAGTTGTGAAACCGGCGTTTTAAAAATCCACTCTGGAAGCCGTATTTAAAAGCATCGTTTTGGTAGGCGAAAACGCCGTTTACGTGGACACAAGGGCAAACAGAAAACCTGTTTTCAAAACTCCGGATACGAGGACGGGGCCTATTCAATTCTTGAGCAAGCACTGGATGTGATTCTGCAAACTGCGCTATGTGATGCCTAAGCGTGGCGTTGAGTAAAAATGGCGAGGCATTTAATCCAAACAGTACTCTGCAAAACCTGTAAACAACAACCTCTAAATTAGCATTAGTCGCATCTCTAACCCACAGAAATCTTAAATAGTCCCTGTCTGCTTTGTCTACATCTACCTTCAAAAATGCTTTCTCTATGTCTCCTAGAAAGGCACTCTGTTCTCCTAAATCTAATTAATATATCAAACAACAACGGTGTTAATGATGGTCCCATGAAGACAGTCATTCAAAGAAGTCCCTTTCTTACCCTCTTTGATGATGCATCATACACTATTCTTAGCTTAGTTGTTTTGGCTTCTTTACGTATAACCGCTTGATGGGAAGATAATGAACATTCATCCCCGGTTCTGACTCGTCAACCCTTTCAATGACTCCGTTTTAGTTGATCCATGATAATTTTATCATATTCCATTAACAAATCAGGCTCATTTGACAAACGCTTACTTTGCCCTTTCATGCGTGCTAAACTATTGGCAGTTACTTGGTAAATGCCCATGACCCTGCTTCCACGGCAATCTAACAGAGTACTTATGCCCATTAAACTCAATTTTATCTAACAAGGCTTCGTGCACATCGTCAGTTTCCCTGACCCCAAGTGTTTCTAAATCCCATAACTTGTTCACCTGCCTGTTTGTGCTGTTTTTCTGCGTTGCAGTCTGCGAAACTAAATTAACATGTGCATTTTTGATTTTCCAGCTCCCTTTCAGTGGACCGCTTACAATCCATCTTAAACAAGTGTCAATCGCAACTGGCTCATTCTTTTTGATCCTAATTATTTCTCCTTTCTGAAAAGCCCAAAGGTTATCTGCTCCTATCAAAACATCCACTTCCAACATCTCCTGCTTCAAACTTACATCTGAAAAAAACAAACTTTTCAAATGAGAACACTGTTCCTTAGCCACCTCAATATGCTCATTTTTTACCGTACAAATACGTGGAACTACTAATGCCTCTAAACGAATTTTGAAATTACCTCTAACTGATGCGACTTCGCAATTGACGACCCCTGTCATCTTACCTTCATTTGTTCCACCACCAAAAGTGTTGACCTCTAACCATTCCCGCCTTGCTACATTAAGCTTCGCATCTTGTTTTGGTCTGTTTGTGACGAAAGACTTCTTACTTCCCGAGTGAAAAAGCACTCGTACTCTCTTCCTATTCTGACCTGCGAGAATTCCTTGCGCAGTCTGCAAGGCTACCCTAGTGTTTGTACTCACATGCACGTTACTCACATTTATCTGCTCTGTTTTCTCTACGCTACCACTCTGTTTTTCAGCCTTCTCTTCGTCCTTTTTTCCTATGTCACATATAGACACATGATGATCCTCCCCACTTTATCAAGCACTGTATGAAAAGTTCATTCACATCGCGCGATATTCGCGATAATGATGTTGATTGCATCGACAATAGTAACGGTGATTTCTGTGTTAGGAGCTCATCAGACAAACCTAAATGGTAAGAAAACAATCTCAGTGTTCCAAAGTGTAGCTGTGATTCATGGAGAAAAACGCAATTTCCCTGTAAACACATGTACGCAATTTTCAATACCTTTGAAGAATGGAATTTCACAGCCCTCCCACAACACTTTAGAAACAGCGTTTTCATAACATTGGACAATGGCTTGAATCTGGAAGAAAATAAAAAAAAGAGAAAACACGAGGAGACTGATAATGAAAACAAGAACAATGCAGAGATTGTCGAGCATACTTATGACGTAATAGTGCAAGAGGATGAAAGTCCCAAAGACATAACTAAAAAAGAATTAAAAATTATTGAAAAAGAAGTCACCAAATTCAAACCTGGTTGGCTGACTTACTCTGTAAAAGAAAAAAGCGTCTAATGTAGTCTTCTTATTTATCATTGTAAGTAATTGTTTATAAACATGAGTGCTATGTACACGTAAAACTGGAGGGGAAATCTCTTCAAACTATGCTTTCTTTTGATTTTAGATAATTGACGCTTTTTGTGAGTTTGACTAAAAACTACACTACTGTTTTGCTGCAGAATCATTTATTTAGAGATTGTTAAAAACAACTCAAGCACAAGATGCACATAGGCTAATATATCTTTTCACCAAACCAAAATTATCCTTTTTCAAATCATCATCCATGGCATTCACTGAAGACTACTGGTAAGTATTTAAAATAAAACAAACAAACAAACAACATTTGTATACCGGCCAGTATTAATCTCCGCCAGGGGGGTTGACCGGTCCATGAATTTAACTAAATTTTTGAATTTAACATGAATTTAACATGAATTTAACATGAATTTAACATGAATTAAACATGAATTTTTGGTTGACTTATAAGTATTTAAGCTAAATAATAAAAAGTAGACATGAATTATACACATACTTAGACCACATGAGTCCACCGATTTACATGAAAAATTAGTATCTATAGAAACATTAACTCATATAATTCATTAATTAACAAAGAAAAAATTTTTAACTAAATGCAACAGTAATTTTGTGTAATATAGACTTTAGATAAGTTCTCAAAAACAACACTCTAGTTTGACTCACTTGGAGGAAGTGCAGACAAAAAGACACCTAATACACACATGATGTATCATATAAACAAACTAACGTAATTATGAAACTTGATCTTAAAAGATTTGACCAAAAATCATTTTCAACAATCAATATTATCATTCATGTGGTCATTGTTTGTCACTGCTTTAGTGCTTTGGTAGATGTAAAAACAGGTTGGAACTCAAGCTCATGGTAATGTTTTGAGCCACTTCATTGTAAACAGGAAGATATGTATAACTGTGGAGTGTACATATGCTTGGTAAGCTTAAAATAGCCTAATTTTACTTGAATAGCTATTTTTACAAACATGATTATTCAGTAATTGATCATTTTGCATCAGTTTGCCCGATGTCTAGCCCTTGGCTTGAATCAAAAACCAACAAACATAGAGACTGAGAGAAAATGAATCATTTCAACATTACTTGGGTCTTGCTATAATGATATCACACAGTAAGGCATAAATAACATTTGGTTAAATATTTTTATATGGAATTCATTATGAATATCTTAGGAAGCAAAATGTGGCTGTTTGCAAAATATGCAGAGAGGATGACAATGAAGACTGGCTGGGTTGTGATCAATGTGGTCAATTTTTTCATGCAAGTTGCCTTAATGTTGACTTTGCCATAACCTTGTCAACACATTTTAGATGCAGATAAAATTATTATCAATATTATTTGACATGCAACAAAATCATTGTTATGGTATCAGTGCAAATTGTGCAATTAAAATGAGTGCTTCAAAATATAGTAATGTGTGAATGATAAATACTTTAATTCAACGTAAAATGAACTGGAAAATTTAATTGATTCGGCACGATTGTGCTTGCCACTAATTGAATCTCAGACATGCTATGAATAGTTTGAAACTGTTGATGAAATGTTACCATAAACTACAAGTTTTACAAATATATCTGAAATATAATGGCTTATTCTTATTTCTTACCTTTGCGATGATTCTTCTGGCCAAAAATTTTCAAAATTCATGTAAATGCGTCTACATGATTACTCTGATACGAAATTCAAACGCAAAAACAAACTTGAATCAACTTTTGAGAGATAGCCGCTCCAGTTATTATAGAACTCAATGGTTCCGTCCTCTGAAGATAGGCGGAACACGTGGAGAAATCACGTGAGTATACATTGAAATGTGCGAGAAAAGGCAGTTGCTAGGTTACAAGACAAATTTTGAGATTTTGCGGTATTACGATTACAAACCACCGAATAAAAGCGTGAAAATGAACGAATAAAACATAATATTACAAATTGTTTGTGAAATAATATTTATCTCATCTCCAAAGAGAATATTTACTATTTATTGGGAAATTTCTACTCCTCTTCCGACCGAAAGCATGGCATAAAAGATACATCACTGGAAATAATGGTTGAACAAGAACAAGCAGTGCATAAGGTATGAAAATTTGATCTTAAAAATTTTATCCACGAAAAAGATTGGAAATCTTACTCAACTGCTATTTCTCAAATGGACCTACATTTATTGAAGATTACCAAACGTGGTAGGATACAGGGTAAAACTTACTGTTTCTTTTGCTTTCTTTTAAATTGGGGGTGAAATCTCATTAAAAAATTCAAGCATAAGCTAAGAGAAGAACAAAAGAAGAACAAAAAAAAGATTTAAAGAAAATCCCAATGTGTTTGTCTTTATAAACCTCTAGAGCAATAGAAACAAAAGTCTCGACGTTCGTGCTTATTTTACTCGTGTGAACCAAGCTTAAATATTATTACTTCAGTAATGCAGAAAGTGATTGTGTTCGCGAATGAGAAGTTAATTACAAACTAATTGTCTTCACAACATTTCAAATGTGTAAGATAATTAGTAGATTTTTGTAAATGTGGTGGATGGTAAACAGGGAAATAAAGTATTTTGCTACTACGAAAAATATTTTAAGTAAAGTAATTTTTACCATGGAAAACTTGTATTTTATTGGTCAATAAACTGCAATGAAACAAGAACAAGAAAAAAGGTATAAAATATTGTCTAAAAACTCAAACTTATTTAGATACAAAAGACATTCACCTATTTCAGAAATTTATCAAAATTGTTAATGATTGTATAAACCTTTAAATTATAAATTTTAAATTTTACAAATTCATCGTCCAATGTAGTCCAAACAAACATTGATGAGTTATAACGTTCCATAACTTAATGAAATTTCGTGTCTTAGACATACTTTTGTCCAAAAGGTAAAACTTCAGCAATAGCTCCATTCGTGATTTATTCATTAAAGGAAGATATGTCCATGAAGAACTATTTCCCATTTCGAAACACTCCACTGATTTAAGTTCTTCATCTTTATCATTCCGACCTCCCATGACAACAATTGTATCACCAGTTATAACTGCACAACATCCCCATCTCTTTTCCAACATGGATGGTAAGACTGTAATCTTACCTGTTTTGATGTCATACATGATAACACTGTTCAACTTTTTTCTTCCACCATGACCTCCAAGAAGAACAACTTGATCTCTCCATGGAACTGTTGCCATTCTATACATTGGAAAAGGTAATGGAGGCATTTCCTTAAATGTAAAGGTCCTTGGATCAAACTCCAAAACACTGGACAAAACTTTGAAATGTTTTCCCACTCCTCCAAAAATAAGAACTTTATCATCAACAACAACAGCTTCATGGTAATACCGTAGTTCAGGCATATGACACAACTGTTTTAAAACATGAGATGTTGTACCAGCAATATTTATTTCACTGATCAAATCTGATGATTTATAATTAATAACTCCTCCAATGAAAAGGATTTGTTGTTTATAAACAACAGTTCGATGACTTTGACATTCATAAGGAAGCTCTGTGGGAAATTTTCTCCATGTCAAAGGAAACTGTTTTATATTCAATGTCTCTATTGACTTGCAGCAAGATCCTCCAACAACAAATAAATTATCATCATAAATAAATGATGAAGGCGAGTCGTGTACATTTTCCATTGATGCAATCTCAAACCATTTCTTCTCCTTCCATGAAAAAATTTCAACACTCTTTATATAACCACGTGAGTAACCTCCAGCAACCAAAATATCACTTCTTAATAAAGCCATAACTAATTCAACTGGTGATGTCAATGTTGGAGCAAAATGTTCATTTATAGTCATCTTGCCCAAAAGTTCAAACATCTTGGTTTTCATTTTTCCCATTTCTTGGGAAGATTCAATCAAATTTTTATCCCAAGACTCGACAGGAAATTCCTTGCGCCTGTCCTGTATTGGATTGAACATTTTACCGTCGCCAAGTTCAATACATGGCCAAGTTGGTAAATGATCGTGATTCTGGTTGATCCTTAAAATAAACTGATATAAATGATGGTTGAGAAGAATGACAGACTTTATGTTTTCAATTCTTTGGGATTTTTTGAACATCGCTCTCATGCCACCACCGATAAAAACAGAGAACATTTTACGAACACCGTCCAATTCATGCAGTTCTTCTATATAAGATAAACATAAACCAATGACAATCTCCTGATGCTCCGGACATTCAAAAATTTGTGCCATGATCTTAACAATAACGGCAAATATTCTGTCCTCCAAGCTTAAATTTTTGTTGTTGAAAGCTCTTGTTGCTTCTTCACGAGATTTTTTAAATCGTTCCTTTGCCCTTTCAAAAACCTTTGAATGTTGTATTGCAGTGGAAAGATCATACCTGGTGGTGATGGCAGTACAAGTTGCCTGGGGCTCATCATTATTACTTGCTTCTTCACATTCTCTATCACTTTCTACGTCGTCAATGCAATTAAAAAGTAGAATAAATCCTTCTTTCAAGAAAGTCAAACTGGAGGAAAGGTCTATTTTCGAAAGATTATCTAGCTTTGTTTCGATTTCGTGTAAATCTCGTTTGATAAGTTCGCGAAATACTTCATTACCAACATCACCGTTTTCTAGCCTGTCTGCTGCAGTATCTCGGGCTTTGTTCGTAAAAATTGAAATATAGAGACAGTAAGTTTTCCATGGCGTTTTGATGATTTGTACTCGTAGAGCTTGTGTATAAATCTATTGCGTCTCTGTCAAAAACAAAACATTAGTAAAATTAGCTGTGTTTGTATGAATACTCGATTCAAATAAAATGTTTATTTCTTTTAAAATTTCAACCAATCATATTAATATATATTAATATAATTACAGCAACGATTTACAGCATTTTCCATAATCAGATTTTACTTTTGCAAGAAAATTTTGCAAATTACGAGGCAAAAAAAAGAAATCGATAATGAAAGAAAAGGGAATTTTAAAATACGAACAAAATCGAAATAAAACTTAATGCTCCTACTATGTTGTTGATTTAATGATAGTTTACCTGCAAATATTCAAGAGTTACTTTGCAACCCTTTACATGACACTAAATGACTATTTTCTTGAGAAAACCGCTGAAGAAAACTGCATTTTTGCGAGTTAGTGATCATTTTTGACAAGTGTGAAACTAAACTAACCGAACGAGATCTTATGAAAACTAGAGCACCATTCCTTCAAAATTATCCTAGATCTCTCTCTGCAGTAAGGTTTTGCAAAGAGTAGACGATAGTTATAGTCCACTATTTATTCCCGTTATTTCATCGATTCTGTATCGTTTGTGTGTGTTTGAAGTCATGAAAATTGATGTGTGTAGCGACTTGTAAAGTGTATTTATTAGCTAACATTAAATATGGCTCAAAGTCTACATTGTCAAGTGACGAAAGTAAAAAAGCGACAACGAGGGAAATACATCGAAGTGAGAGCTTTTGAAGGAGAAGGAAAGTTTATTCAAATTAGGAAAACTAACAATAATGAGGGAAATTCTGTGTGGAAACCGTAACCACTTTTCTGGCTGATTCTGCTCTAGTTTATTAATTTTGCATCTATATTATATATTGTATTTGTTGTTACAATAGTTTGTGTCGATCAGTACGTCGTGCTTTAATTTATAAGACTAAACTCACTTTGACCTTTTCAACAGAATTCATTCAATGATATTTAGTGCAGCTAGTGCTTACGTTTTATTGATAACGTTGACAATCTTCAGTTTGTCGAATGACCTTTGCAATGTTAGGAAATTTTCTATATTTTAAAAAGCAATTTATTCTGCGTTGTAGACTGTTGTTCATGCGTCTTCAAACATGCATTTGCAAAGCTCACAAAAAACTCAATTTCCGCAGCTAATGGCATACGGCGAGTGGGAGATTACAGTTTGACATACAGAGTGAGTGGGGGACTACAGTGTGACATAGAATCAGTGGGGACTACAGTGACACATAGGTTGAGTGGGAGACTACAGTATGACATAGGGTGAGTAGGGGATTACAGTGTGACATAGGGTGAGTGGGTGACTACAGTGAGACATAGAGTGAATGGGGGACTACAGTGTGACATAGAGTGAGTGGGGGAATACAGAGAGACACATAGGGTGAGTGGGTTACTGCAGTGTGGCATAGTGTGAGTCAAACGCAACGCTTAAAAAACACAATGAACCTAACAAAACGAACAACACAACAACAGCAGCAACGCACTTATATCAAAGTTACGTCTGAGACTATCTCGAGTATCGTTACGACAATACAACATACGTGTCGCACATAAACCAATCACAACACTACTACAAACGTACTAACAAACGTCAAAGACAAAGAGCGCTAAGGTGCAGTTTACAGAATAAACTGCTCCGACTGATACGTCTTCTACATCGGTGTGACTTAAACAAAAGACTTACTGAACACAAACGAGGAAAAAAGAAACAAGACAAAACTAATCGCAGTGCAGAGCATCAACAACTGACAAAACACAGCATTCATTGGGACTAGGCAAAATGCTTTACTTACAGCACTGACTACAGACAATGGAGGGCTTACGTTAGAGAGTTGGTATACCTACTTAGAACAAATCCACTGAACAGATCACAACAATTACCAGCACTTTTCGAAAACGACTTATTCACAACCTCAAACATTACTTTCGTGATGACAATACACAATTGATACCCAAAAATTTCCTTTACAGACAATACGATGACGTATGAACAAGACAACAAATACCGCTAACGTTGTAGAAAGGTCATTCAACATCAACACCAACAGTCTTTTTCAGGACTCTCTTAACCTAAACAATGTACATCTACAAACATGCAACGATACTTCTGAGTTCAAACTTTAAACAAATAATGTTGATAAAATAAAGTCATAATGAACGAATAAAGAAGAGAAACAACAATTTGCTCTGACCAAATGCGTTAAATAATTAAAAATTGCTCAATTAAAGACAACTACGTGTCACAAATTTGCTTTAGTATATACTTCTTACATTGCGTTTTGTCTTTATAAAGTTGGTTTTTCACAATAAGGAAAAATAGCGAATCTATATTATTCATTGAAAACTTATATGACGACATAAGAATTAAGTCATAAGAAACTATTTCATTCACCTTCCTCAAATATCTGTTTGTCTTTGTATTTATGGATTATTGGTGTATGAAGTTGCTCGCCAAACACAGACCTCTTTCAATCTTCTTGTTTTAACAGAAATAATGAAAAGTGATAAAACCCAAAAATCGCCCTTCTTTGCAAGCACAGATTGAATCATTGAAATGAGTGGAACAGCGGAAAACGGTTTTAAGTGAATTAGCCAAATTAACACGTATGATAATGGCAACGCCTAGTCCAAGAACGAATAAAATCTCTTTTATACTTCTTACACGCGCGGCTGTCACGAAAGGAAGAAACACGTGACTAAGTAAGAAAACAAAGGATATAAACTCTCGACATAGCTAACTAATATGGCTAAGTAATAAGCTTGGCTTTTTCTAAAGAAAAGAGAGAAAATGAACACTTGTTTTGGACAGTGTTTTTTTGAATGAATCGGCTTTTGTATTTTACAGCATTACAAAATTGTGATAAAAATTGCCTGGCAGTAGAAAAATTATGGCTAGGTATTAGCTAATTTTAGTATGACTAAAGGGTGCTCAAAAATGCAGAGGATTGTGCTTTATTGAACTTCATAATGGACTGGAGTACTAACCTTGCGTACTCATTTTTACAACCATTTTTTAAAAAATAGTGAGTAAATTTTTACAAGATAGAAGGTCATTGGTTTTTTAGTAACAAAATCATACTGTGCAAAGATTTCCAAACTAGTATATTATGATATACAAAAACCTTAGAATGGCTTTGTCAGTGAGTCATTAAAGTCATTGACTGTAAAATGATTAAACTATCACCAAAAATCTGAATGTTTATTTAATTCACTATGTGAGATATTAATTAGTCACTTTTCAAAAGCAGTATTCTAGAAAAGTTCACGACAGAATCTTAAATGTTTAAACTTCCATAGCACATCATTCAAATTTTAAAGTATTCGTTAGATGTAACCTTATTTTTTCACTAATTCGTTTGTATGCATATTGCCAAAATGTGAAGGCGTGCGTGGGTAGAAGGGTAGAAGAACATATCAAACATACCAAAAATGTCTCTATTGAAAGGAATCTTTTTGCGTACAAATTATCATGTAAAACTCACATTTAAAATAAAAATCAATGTATTTGTGACATCAATCTTTTGCCTTGCTATTTTTATTACTTTTTGTCCTTCTGGTGAGTGGTGACAATAGAAGAACGGCATAAGAACGCCTTAGGAAGAGAAACGAGAATTCAGCAGACCGAATGCATGGAGGAACTAACTTGCACTCAATCTAAGACAAGTTCCTGACACAAATTAGTCCAAAGAAGGTTGGAAGCAAGGGGGGAGGTTTCTCACTCATACGTGCTCATCGAGTGTGAATCAGAAATTGTGCTCTTACGTATCAACGGCAGACTCGTCTATCGACAGTAAGATTTTTGCTAAATAATTTCAAATCAAGTAGTGGAGTGAAAATGTCTTGGAATAGTCATGAAATGAATTTGAAGGCCCACTCAGCGAGTGTGCTTTTAGAAGGGAGCTTTGTTTAGTCGAAAAACCTGGGCTGGATAGTACATCTCAAATCCGGAATGCCATTATTTAGATATCATATGATACAATGACATAGAAATTCCGACATATTGACAACAATGTGAATTTCTAAAGAAATATTTAAAATTCAAACAACCGCTGGGGGTAAATAACAAGACAGTGTAAATTGTATAAATCATTGATACTTGAATGCATAAAAAGATTTTCAATGTCTACAAAATGTGGTTATAATAAAGTAATGATAATCTTATATAAAATCATGAATGTGTAAAATGAAGAGAAACAACAATTTAGGCTGACCAAGTGTGTGGGAGTAATTAGGCTCAATCTAGATTCACAATTTTCTTATAAGACAAGTTCCCGTCAAAATTTATCTAAAACTGTTAGTATTTTCTTAGTTAACTACATTTTTTCTTAATAATGTTGGCTTTTTGGTATGGTGAACAGGGAATCTATTTCATTGATGAAAGGTTTGCATGACGACACAACATTTAAAAATGCGAGAAGATTTCACTAACCTTTGTTTAAATTTTATATTCTTTGTATTTATATAGATTGCTGGCGTCTGAAGTCGTTCCCCAAACGCAGGCTTCTTTTTGTTCTCCTTTCAAAAAAATTATAAGAAATGAAGACACATGTATTCACCTTTCGTTTCTTCTTTCGGTATCGCATAGCATTGAAATGAATATGACAATGTTTTAAGGCGAAATGTGATCAACGCTGCGTGTGACCAACGCCACGAACCAATAAAATTCTTTCTAAGGGGCTGCTTACATGATCCCGGCTAACCGGGATTCAGTGAGGCGTAAAATCATTTCGATGCATTGAGAAGAGTCGAAACTTCAAGCGTAAAAATTACAACTGTTTGTTAAGCGCCGCAAGTAATGCCTGTTGTAATTTTCAGATTAGGACAAATTTTTTGTTCGATTTTGAATGTTATGCGTATAGTTATTAAATCAGAATATTGTGAAAGTGTTGAAGAACATTCATCTGATGATAAGTATTAAATCCTTTCCATTTGCAAAAATCATTTAACGCTTGGCTGAATCCCGGCTACCCGGGATCATGTAAACAGCCCCTAAAATCCTTCCTCGCGCGGGAGCCACGAAAACAACAAACACGTGAACATGAAACCACTGTGTATAAGTCCATTTTACCATCTTTACGCTTTTCATCACTTGCAAATGATGCGAAAATTAGATCAATTTTGGAGAAAATACCGTTTCAAGTATGAAAACATCGGACATAAAATCACAACAAAATCAATAAAATAGGGATTTTTCTCAAGAAACGGTAAACTAGAGTAAAAAACAAAAGAAAGCAAATCCTTTGTCGCCTTATAATATTACCAAGACCACCATTAATAAAAGATATACACAAATATTCACAACTACATTGATTAATATAATAAATATACTTCTAGCATTCTAGAAAAACCTTAAAAAAGGGGAACACTACCTGTGAAAAAAATTTTTTGAAGCCATGATTATATCCCAGACACGCGTGTGTAGTCAATCACTTTTCTCTCAGTGAGAGAATCTCGAAACACTAAACACGCGTGTCTGGGGTGGAATATCACGTGTCTAGTTAAGATTTGGCTTCAATTAATTGCCTCAGGTAGCGTTCCATGTATTATAGTTCAATGGTTTTGACACAAACTGGAACGCTAATCTTTTAGCCATTTTTGATTTGGCACAGACTAAAAACATACAGAAGCCGCCATCGCCATATTTTTGAGTTTTAGAAGTTCTATGATATTATTTTGAAATATCAATAACCGTTGACGTGATAAATCCCAATCCCATGATCCATGTGTCCATTGGTCAAAGCGTTCTTTCGATGATCACGACAAAACTGCGCGATCCTCTCGCAAGCGACTCGCGCGACTTCCACGGGACATGTGAGGACAACGCGAAAAAAGTTGGGGCATTGAAAACACTGTACAGAAGAAAATAAGAAAAATACTTTGATTAATTTTCTCTACTATGCAAGTGTTTCTGCGCTGGCCAAAATAACAAAAGAAGTCTACACTGTAACGAAATGAATAATGATAATGATCTAAAACATAGCGTGGAAGGACCAGACTTGTTTGTTGGATTTTTTATGCACACTTCAACAACCTTCTTGACATCATTAAGAGCAGTAAAGTAGAGACATAATGACAGCCATGCAAAGAAACAAGAACCAAACAAAATTCCCAAAAACTTGGCAAAAATCGAAATTTTTCTGGATTTGCATCAAAGTGTTACGGACAAATGTCATGTGTACTTAAATATCGATAAAGGATAGTGCCCAATTATGTACATAGGTCTACCTAACTATCCACTTGGCTATACCTCACTGTACAAAACTATCGACTTAGGTGTACCTAACTATTCACTTCAGTTAAATAAATGTCTACTTGGGATAAGTATAACGACATACATGTCTCAAATAAAAATAAGATGAAGTAACATGGATATATGCATGGTTGAACGACAGTGAGGAACTTACCGTTGCTGGCAAAACAAAACTGATTGTTCGGCCATCAATTTCTGTGTAAAATCAACATCATCTTTCACGTTGTGTAACCTATCAACTTTGATACCGATCTAAAATAAAACCGACACGTTTTAAAGAGATTATGATTAAGATTATGAACGAGCAAAAAGAAAATTGACAAGTTTCTCTTACCAACATATACATAGCACCTTGTGAGCGGACTGGATAAAGTTCTGAAAGTAATGAAAGACTTTCGTAGAATATATTTGATGTTTTCTAAATGACATAATGATAAAATGTGACGAAATTCTTGGTTTTAAATTTTTTAATCAATGATGAGTTGGTTAAGTTCTATATACATTGACGGACCTGAAGTTTTTTAACTTATATTTGAAGGACCCCACCTCCACCAAGAAGTCCGCCATTGTTCTTGAAAAGTAAGTACTTTACCTTCATAAGATTGAGTGTTTTTTCAAAGAACTGAGTCGGACAATCGGAAAGAATCGTCGGTAGTGCAGCCTGTATCACCGAACATGGACCAACAATAACCTGACAGAGACGTCGTAAGGCTTGTCTTATCTAAAACACAGTTAAAAAAATAATTAAGTATTTTGCAATCATTGCATTCTTAACATCAATCACCAACAGCCATCGTTTGAAGTTGAGGTAAATGCGTTTCTCTAGAATGTTTATTCTCCCTGAACGTCTGGAGTAATGGCGAAGCAAGACCTTAATTTTTACTTCTGCAATTCTACTTTTTTAAGAAAATTATACAGTCAAACTTGTATTAAGCGGAAACCCTCGGCGAACCGACTAGCGTCCGCTTAATGGAGGTGTCCGTTTAACAGAGATACTTGTCACCAGGCCTCTCTCTGTTAAAAATAACATAAATGGTAAAATCAACAATTAAACGGTGCAGATATATTTAGAAATGACTTCAGTTAATAATAACAAAACTGAGAAATATTTTTGGTAATATTTAGTAATATTCAGTAAATAAGTGGCTGAACAAAGATTTTGTTGCAAAGTCATCTTTTTTAGACAACGACAAACTACATTTGACATTGACAAGTTATGTTTAATAATAATTGGTAAAAAATTTCATGTTTGATATAATTATTTTATCTTCAATGCACTTGCATTATGAAAAATGTCTTCGTACTTGTTAAGACAGTATGTTTATGACTAACATTATGTCTGTAGATAACATGAAATATTTTGAAAAATTGTTCGTTAAACACAGGTTTTTATGTTATTGGATAATTTTGTGTCCACGTCTGCTCAATAGAGGTTTCATTCCTACGAATTATACATGATTCTGGACTTTACAAAGTGTCTGTTCAATACAGGGCCGCTAAATGCAGGGCCGCTTTATACAGCTTTGACTGTAGTTCATATCTTTAGAAAATATTTTTTCCCATTTTTTTCCGGGAGATAAACACAAAAATTTTGCGTTGGAGTAAAAACAGGCTGACTTAGCTATGGATCTGGAGTCATAACTATCTCAATACGATGGCGATTAACATGACAACGAAAAAACAATGATTGTACCGTTGATTTTAATGAATACCTAAAAAATGTTTTCCTTCAACTTCGACTTTAAACAGCCAAAGATATAAATTCTTGATGGTATTAATGGAGTCTAGTCCATAACTACAAGCGATATATTCATACCTTAAAACCAAAGGAATTATTTCTGTCGTGAATTACAATCCATCCGATACGCCAACCTGGCACCAAGAACCTGTCATTGACACACAACGTTTATATGGTCTCCTCAAAATGACGTAATGCAATAGAAATGCGCATGCTCACCTTTTGGCAATGCCACCGACAACTAGAACAGGAACATTTTTTGTTAAACTTCCCATGCTATGGAAAGGCTCTTTGCCGAATGTCTGAAGGAAATAAGAGAGAAAGTTGATTTAGTTCAAGCCTCATTCAGTGTTGCAAAGCCTTATCACCTTCTCGGGCAGTACCAATAAAATTTAGAACCCAACCCCCTGCATGTCTAACAACCGTGTCGATGTGAGGCAAGGATGCCATCTTGAAAGATGTCTTTACAAACCAATCCTAACAAACATTTAAAAATGAAATCTAGAGTACATGAGCGTTTCAGCTCTATATCAACTCAGGAAAAGCAGATATTAGTCGTAATATAAACATCCTCAAGTTTCCCACCTTTCAAAATGGTGACTTGTCTCACTCGTTTTTTAAATTTCGACAGAGTCAGACAACTAGTATGTATATTGAATTCTATGTCATTGGGGTTTACAAATATTTTGTTATGCAACCCGCAGGGCTGCACGCCCATTTCATTCAGTTTAATTTTACCCAACTTCGAGATGCACAATTATTTTGAAGCGTTCATGTCTAAGCGAATATTACAATCGTGATGACTTTACATTAGTTAAAACATGAACGTATTTAAAAGTCGTCACGTGACATGCAATTAACAAACACTTACGACATGCGCGTAAACTTCATCACAGAGAACTGGGACGCGGTATTTTTCAGCAACTGTAAGAAAATAAGACCAATATGAATGCACGAAGTTTGTTGGACAAATTGGCGGAAAAAACTTGTACATGTCTTGAGATATTTACTGTTCAAAATTTCTTCCAAATGTTCTCTTTTGTACACAGAACCACAGGGATTTGATGGGTTGACAACGACAATAAGCTTTGTTCTCTCGTCAATAAGTGAAGCCATACCGTCCAAGTCGGCTTCCCAACCATTTTCAGGCTGAAAATTATGAATAATCATTATTCATTTGAACATAAAGTCCAAAGCAAGACTCGAGGTTAGTTTTAACGGATTCCTTCGAACTATTGAAACTTTGATTTCAATTAAGTATTTAATTAGAACTGTCTTTGATCTCCAGTATCACAATTAAAATATAATTAGAACAGTGTTTAATCTTCATTATCATAATTAGCACACAATAAAAACAGTCTTTAGTCGTAAGCAGTAACGTAAACGTAATATCTTTAATTTGTACAAACTTACAAACAGCTTATAAGATCGTGCTTCAATCCCCCTCGATCCACAGATGCATTTGTAAAGAGAGAAACCAGGTCTTGGAATTAGGATGTTATAACCACGATCAACTAGGGCGCTCAATGCTATCTCGATTGCTCCAGAGCAACCGCTGGCCAAGACAACATCCTGTAAAGAAAGCAACATAAATATAGAAGTATAGGCGTTTTCATAGAATTTTTCATGTGAAAGTTTCCGACTCTCTTATTTCTGTCAAAGTCAGGTAGAGCCGCTTTCTAAGATCTCCTCACCTTGATAGACATAGTACATTTTAAGTAGGCGCATACAGTACTCGCATTCCCCGTATTTATAATGGTGAGATTAAAACACGTAAAAATTAAACGAACTTTCTTCCATATCGACAACTTATTGAGAGGAGGGAAGAGAGAAGTGTATTCAACAAGGATGCTAAGACCCTGTGTAAACTAAAAACCGTTTTTCAAGAATATTATTTATTGCAAATGATTTAATGCAAGCAAACAACTACATTTTGCTTGACCATTGTCAATGAGTTGTATTTAATGGAATTTAGTGGAATGCCAAAACTTGAGGGGGAAGGCAGAAGGGGGAAGAGGATAAAAAGTCAGCTTTCTCTGTCTTCATAAGAGGAGGGAGTCCTTTATGCTGACATAGGCATCAATAAAGGTTCGTTTTTGTAGAGCTAGGCAGCTTGAAGTAAAATTATAGACGATGGCTTTAGGGCAACAACAAAACATGTTGACATGAATAACTCCTAAATACTCTTTCAATATCACTATCAACAAGTGTCCCTATTGGTATGGAGCAGGAATATGTACCTCAGCATCCACGATGTATTCAGGTGTTGAACTGTATTTTGCAACGGCATTTCGTGCCTCTTTGCATCCTACAAAAACAAATACAGATGATTGTATACGACTGGAATAGTGGAACACACAGAGGTTGTGTAAAAAAAAATTCCATCCTATATCCAATGCAAATCCCGAACATAAAATTCCTTTAACTTCCGTTAGCCTCCTAGGGTATGTATTACAGCTGAATCGCGCAAGTTGTAAAAATCTTGTGATTTTGATTGAATTCATTTCAAAGGCATCGTCGAAGAACTGGCATATTTTGTCATTTCAAAATGTTGAAGGATTTTATACAGCCTTTGTATTACAAAGACAATCAATGTTTTTGAAAAAGCGTTCTTTTAATGGACTTATTTGTTCCGAAAAATTAAAACAAAGTCTAACAATTGTTATCATAGTAAAAAAAAACAATTAGCTTAAGATTTAGGAAAAACTATTTTGCACTGTTGTTTAGCTAGCAGATTCTGTTTTGAAACCAATTTCGTTGAGTAATATTTTTGAACACAAATTTTTTTTTGTGGTGGGAAGGATATGATTAGGGTTAATTCTTGTGATCAAAGCTGTCGGTGTAACTAATCATAGGCTGGCTTGTAGCCGTTGTTTTTTCCTGACTTTATTGCGTCACAGAGCGCCCGAACACATTCTTCACTTGGTGGTAGGTTGCCAAAAACTGTGGGATCACCTGGAATATAAAAAATATTCACAACGATAACTCAGTCGTGCACGGTTTTTGGAAGGTTACTTTCGTACAAGTTGGCTCCGAAGGTGAGGAGGTTGCACCGAACCCAGATAATGCTAATGAAACTTCACATGTTTGTAGATGTAGATCGTCCAGGATAGTAGAGTCCTGAGAAGAACTGTTGATGTTGATGTTGACTGACGTTTCAACAACCTTAGCGATAGTCATCTTCAGAGTCAGGTTTACAAACATGTAACGACATTCCTGTGTTCAAACCATTTACTTTAGTAATGAAACTTCATCATCTTTGAGCTAATTGTCCAAGATTAAATATTAGTTTCCTTTTTAAAAGCTTTTTTGACTCTTTAGAAAAATACTGTCCATTAGATACCGTCGTCCAAAGACCTAGCTGTCACACGTAGATTTAGAAACACAAGCGTACAGAAGCTATCTCTTCTGTGGGGGCATTTATTTTCCCCCCCAACTCACAATAAAGGTTCCACCGTATTTTAGCTCGACTAACGTTAAAAAGTTACTCAACTTTTCAGTGTCCAAACTTTCTTTGAGGGCACCTGCTCCCCTCCCCATCACATACGCCTATGTTTAGAAACTTTGAAAAAAATATTATCCATTATAGATACCGTCACCAAGAGACCTGACGGGTTTTGTAATTATTTCAAAAACGGCAACAATTTAAACAGGGCAATAAATAGAATGAAACGTTATTTGAAATCCAACGAAGTTTCTTTTTTGTTAAGATAATACAATCATCCAAAAGAATTGTGAAGTCGCCTGGACGGCGTTCTCGAGGGTTAATGACGCTAGAGATAAGTCTACCACTGAGCGAACACAGAAATCGCTAATTCGACATTAGATCTGATTTAAACCGCTTACTTCGAATGCTGCCACTACGAAATAAAATCTGAAAACTACTCACCAACAGTGAGACGAATCACCTCCAATTGAGGATTTTCCTCGATGTGCATTGTCTCCACAACATTTCTTATAGGATTAAACGTGTTCTGTGCTGTATACGACACTGGGATGTCCCAATCTCTTGGTTCACACGTACTCATTCTGCATACTACATACACCAAAAAGAACATGACGTCATTGATTTATTTTCGAATAAACTTATTGATTCCGGTGAAGGGGACAGAGTCAGAAGTTATATCCCATGTTCTTCGTGGTACTAACTCCTTGTCTTACAAATACAAGTAATTGATCCCTTACCCAAACCATAGATCTTAATCTTACAGTTCCAGGATATGGCCTACAAGAAGTCAGCAGGACAGAGCTGAATATATGAATATTATCCCCCACCCCCTTCACACCCAATTAGCGTTTTAGTTTCGCACCTGAATAAACTAAGCTGCACGTGGCTCTCACGAAGACTAAAGTTTAAGATTTCAACTTACTGAATTTGCAGTGCCTCGCTCTCACATGTCCTTAATTACACTGAAGTACATAAAACAATGAGAAAATGATAGCAAAATTAGTATATCGCTCCAAAAATAGTGCAACCGATTTTTAGTAATCTGTACTCTGTAAATTAGCTATTATCAGCGACATGTTGGATTTTAACGGCGTTTAGAGTAAAGCCGATATCGGACAAGACACTTAAAAGCTTTTTTATGTGATGCAACACTTTGAAAGTCAAAGCAGAAGCACAGACAAAAAGCGTTTTTAGTGATATCTGTGATTTACAGACACTCGGAAAATATGCATGAAGAATACAAGAAAAGTCTTTGTAGGACCCAATACACAAAAATAGGAGCGTCGAGAAACATGGCGCTCACACAAAAATCACACGAGATGATTTTCTGCATTTCATAGTACTCTGTGCGGAAAGAATATAATTGTTGCCCTCCAACATTACTTTGTATGTCATGAACAGGATTTTGAAACTCGTTGTTCATGAAATCTTTGCATTTACTGTAAACGGTTTAACTATCCTCTGCCGTGGAGCTTTGAGGTCGAATGTGGTCTGCTATCACAGAGCAACGCGTCGAAACCAACCTTTCATGATTTACTCCATAAACTTAAATTTTCCACCAAAATTGCTATTCATGTCTTTAGAAAATGAATTATAGAATTGTTTTTTTCCAGTGAATGAACACAAAAATATTTTCATCGTAGGAGTAAAAAACCGACAGCCTCTCCTACGGTTGGTGTGTATCATTCGTGTCGTCGCGACGCACAGTTTTTGCACAATTAAAGTTTTTACGAAGTTAACATTATTGCCACTAAAGGGTGGTTTAAACAAACGTAGCTACAGACATACAAAATCTAAGTTGATCGTGCCATGTCATAATGCCATTGAATTTAAATACCTTATTGAGTGGAGTTGTTTGGCAGCATTTCTGATGTGGAATCTGATCTTTAAACGCAAGATAATCCGAACAATTTGCTTTAACTTAACTGATTTTCCATCACCATGAAGAATTAGCTAAAAGAGGCTCGTCAAATGAATCAGTGAACGTTCGTGGTTTCAATCTAGACAAGCGTGCAACTGTGGTATGTGGTGCCACGAGGTCAGTCAGACGTTTAAATTATGCTTTTTAAAAGTTTAATCACCGGGTGTATTTTAAATACAAGTCAATTGCTCACGTTTAAATATTCATCAACAAAATTAATATAGGGAAGCCATGAAAAAGTGTGTTTTCTCCGAAAAGTCAGTTGAAAGTCGCAGTTTTTTGGCTTTTGCTGTGCAAACATTTCTGTTTTCATTCACTGCAGGAAGAAAAATGAATGAAAATAATTTTCTAAATAAATGAATGCCAATTTTGCTGTAAAATTTGCATTGTAGTGGTAAAAGTTCAGGCTGACTTCATCACTGGTAAGAGGCTGTTCAGTGGTAGCAAAATACTTGAAACGTAACTGATTATTCTCAATCCTGAACGAAAACCAAGGTAGAAATAGAGATGAGATTTGCATAGTATGGAGCCAAAAAAACAAAATTCTGCCACGTTGTTTGTGGTGACTTCGGGGATATTAAAAATATTAAAGGCACGCGAATCTCCACTAAACTATTTAATCCTACCGAAACTATGAGTAATTTAGTAAGGTTGAAGTGGTTGACAACAAACAAGAGCCGAATTCACGAATACATTTTTAGTTAGATAACAAAGAGTTTTACATCAATTCTACACAAAGTGACGAACAATCTATCGTTACAAATAAAAACAATACACACCTTGTTCCATCGATAAAGTTTTACAGGAATCAACAGAAACTAACAATTATAGCAGTTACGTTTGAAAAGATCTACGTTCAAACAAAATTGGACAGTTCTGGCCAAATGTTTTCGCACACCTTCGTCTAGCCAATCAACGGCCATAGAGCAACCAATCAAATCAACGTTGCCACGGAGACACCGCCTGTTCAGCATTAAAGCATAAATATTTAACTGTTCAAAAAAGTTGTTACATATCTAAAAAAGGAAGTTTGACGGATATAAGACACTTCTTTCTAATTAAAACGCAAATTCTACCTTTTATTGAATATTGCGTTTTAAAATGGTTTGCCCTCTTGAAAATGTCCAACTGTAGTTTGCAAGAAAACACGTGTTCATGGGAGGAGCTACTACACCTACCTTACACCCTCCTCCCCTCTCCCTCCCCCTGACAAAGACGATTTCGTGTTTGGCCAATATCTTCCCTTTAACAAAAAATATCGCCATATTCGTTAAAACCCCGAATAAATTCAAAACTAAGAAGAGTATATCGCCACTTTAATACGAATTATATAAAAGAAATATCGCTCTCCGGCCCATGGTGCATAGGCCAAAAGCGCTATGTAAGGCGGGATGGTTTGTTGAAAATATACAGACGTCATCGTTAATTGTTGGGTAATTAGACGAAATATTCTTAAAGTCAGCTTTTCATTGTCAACAGATATTAAGTTTATCGTGCACACATAATTTGAATCCTTATTCAACCAATGACTAATTTTCATGTCGAAAAATGATGAACAAAAGCTTTCACATTAACGGTCGTTTTCATCAACGAACATGCCACTGACCAGAGAGAAGACCCATGGGATTTTTGACCTGGGAATTATTGACCTATAGGATGTTTGACCTGGGCGGTTATCACGCCAGGGATTATTTTGATCGGAGAAGTTATGACCCACAGGGCTTTTTTGACCTGAGTTAACTCATGGGATTTTTGTTCTGGGAATGTAAGACCCATGGGATATTTGGACCAGAGAAGTCATAAATCCTAGAATTTTTGACCCGGGAAGTAAAGATCTATGGATGTTCTTGACATGGGAAGTTATGCCTTACCCACAGCTCCCGAATGCACCTAAAAATTATCCCCCCCTGAATGCCAACAGAACACACATTCAACCCTTTTCATTTCAACACAAACTAAAAATACTTAAATTTGCATAAAGATTCACTAATTTTTCTGTTATTTTTGATTTACAATGTGATACGGTTAAAAAATCATTGTCTACACCTCAAAGTCTTAACTTGTTGAAGATTTATATGCTGCCACAACAACAATTCCAATGCTGATTGCTGCAGGTATCACCCAAGACAACGCACTATAAAATATCAAAAACAATTTATCACATCAATATAAACAATTCATTCTTCATGTTTACTTCGGCAATTGGTCCCAATGATTATCATTTCTAATTCCCATGGTAATGCAATGAGCCCCCTGCCATGTTAAGACTGATACTGCCTACATCCCATGCCCCTGCCATGCATCCCCAAGTTATAACTGTTTACTACCCAATGTTAATACTGTATACTCCTCATTATCACCTTCTACTGCCCAGATGGTGAACCTTGAATGTCAATAATACTAACCCCTCTCAAAAATAACACACTAAAATAGAGACTTTGTCGTGGTGAGAAATCTGAAAATAATTCTAAATATAGAAAATATCATAGTGAATGGTAAAAGTAATATAATAAGTTGATAGTTCTTAAAAGAACTGTTTTAAGTAAAGAGCACTAACCCAATAGTTCTAAATTAAACGAAACGATGCATTTAATTTAGAACTATTGGGTTAGTGCTCTTTACTTAAAACAGTTCTTTTATAAACTATCAACTTATTATATTACTTTTAGTATTCACTATGGTATTTGAAAAACTTTAGAACTATTTTCAAATAACATACTGTCCAGTGTCCACCTTCAACACATTCCCCCCGTTAATATTTGAGCATAACGTCGGCCTATCTTAAAGCACTTTTTGTTTTTCTCTCTGGATCCTCCTAAAAATGAGAGATTATGAAAGCTTACATGAGTTAATTTGCTTAAAAAGAATAAATAACAATATTACAATATCGATGTTCTTTTAATATCACATATTAAGAAAATGGTTTGAACACTGAAGTATAAGTTCATGTTTCTAGATATTGACTGTCCAAGTTATTTGAGTCCTAAAAAGGACAATTAGTGTGTTCAACAGTCATTCTCAACACCCATAAGGATGGATGATGTACAAAGACAAATATGTCAGTAGCACACCATTCTCTGACACACTCCTTATGCAAGACGATTTCAAATGTCTAATATTTCAATATTACATATAAATTTAAGCATCAATTTTACTTTTGCCACAGTGTCTAAACGAACAGTAGTCCCATTCTATTGAAATTTTTGTGTAGCACATATCTTATTATGCATGTGATTAGCATAGTGGCAGCCAGTCAATTGTATTTTCTTATCAATAGAAGCGTTTTGGTGGCTAGCGGCAGCCAGTAATCTAATTTAAATATACAGCACAAAGTTGCACAGTGGAGTGAGACTACTGCTTGTTTTTATAATGAGCTTTTGCTGATTTGGGTAATGAATGAAGAAGTAGATTCGTACCAGTACATGATCAGGCGCTCTATCCTCCTAAAAATTAAACATCATCTCATTAGTAAAAGATTACAGTTGTCATGGTGATGTGTAAGACAGAATGATATGCTAATAGGCGTTTTTATAAAATTATTTGTGTAAAAAGCCCCCAATCTTTCATTTTGTTAAAATCGGGTTAGGGCCGTTGCTTTCTCAGGTGTCCTACACTTGAAAGATATGACACATTTTATGTAGGTGCAAACGTTACTTGCATTTACCCCCCGGCAATTTAAATGGTGAGACTGAAACACTTAAATCTCAAATGAACTTTGTTCCTTATTGAAAACGTATTGAGAGGAGGGGGGAGTGGGGTGGTGAGAGAAGTGTATTCAACAAGGATGCCATAACCCTGTGTAAATTAAAAATCGTTGCTTAAGAATATTACTCACTGCAAATGATATAACGAGATGAAACGCAAAAAAACAGCCACATGTTGGTTAACCGTTGTTAATGAGTTGTATTTTAGAGAAATATACTATGGAATGCCAAATCTTGGTGGAGGGGCAGAAAGGGGGTAGGAGAGGATGAAAAGTTAGATTTTTCTGCCTTCATAAGAAGGAATCCTTCATGTTAAAGTAGACATCAATAAAGCTGCTTGAAGTAAAATTAGACACGATGGCTATAGGAAAACAAACATGCTAACATGAATTTCTCCCAACTACTCTTTGAATATCACTATTAACAAGTGTCCCTATAGTTATGGAGCAGGAATATGTATCTCAGCGTCCACGATGTATTCAAGTGTTGAACTGTATTATGCAACGGCATTTCGTGCCTCTTTGCATCCTGCAAAAACAAATACAGATGATTGTATATGACTGGAATAGTAGAACACCCACAGTGTGTATCAAAATGACAGCAATGCTTACATTTGTGAAGCAAACACTGACAATTGTCAAACCATTCTTTCCACATTCCTCCAATCATAAAACAAATTCTAAATTTGTACGTCATGTAAGCTAGAACAATGCAGCGAAATTCCACTTTATGTGGTACTATCAATCAGTTCCATTACGAATGGTTCAAGTAGCCACAGAGCAACGAATATTTATCGTGTTAGGTTACAGTAAGGAAACTTACACTGTTTATTAGTACAATGTATTAAAAAAGTCTTTGAAGACTACACAAATTTCAGCTACTGTCCAATGCAAATCCCGAACATGCAAATCCCGATCATGAAACTCCTTTAAATTTCGTTCAGCCTCCTAGGGGATAATTTACTGCTGACAAGTGCAAATTTTAAACATCTTGTGATTTTGAATTCATTCCAAAGTCATCGTCAGAAAATTCCAATATTTTGTGATGTCTAAATGTTGAAGAATTTTATACACCCTTTGTATTACAAAGAGAATCAATCTTTTTAAAAAGTGTTCTTTAACTGGAGTTATTTGTTCCAAAAGTTTAAAATACAGTCTAACTATTGTTATCATTGTAAAAAAAGAATTGGCAAGAACTATTTTGCACTATTATTTTGCTAGAAGATTCTACTTACAATCCAGTTTCATTAAATGATATTTGTGAAGATCGATTCCGGGGGGTGAAGCACTATTGTTTTGCTAGAAAATTCTGCATGGAATCCAATTTTGATAAATGATATTTTTGAAGATAAATTTCACAGGAGGGTTAGGGTCCAGGGGTGATTGAAGCACTCAAAGCAATTGATGTAGCTAACCATGAGCTGGCTTGTAGCAGTTGTCCTTTCCTGACTTTATTGCGTCACAGAGCGCCCAAACACATTCCTTATTTGGTGGTAAATTGACAAAAACTGTGGGATCACCTGGAATATAAAAAATATTCTCAACGATAACTCAGTCATGCAAGGTTTTTGGAAGATTATCTTGAAACAATTTGGCTCCAAAGGGGGGTTGCACCGAACCCAGATAATGCTATTGAAACTTTCTCAGCTTTGAATTAACTTTCCACATTAAATATTAGTTTTCGCACAATCTGTGCGACGTACTTGTTCGCTGTTCTCAAACTTCACACTAACGATGGGACTGTATTTTGAATATATAATTTTGACACTTCAATAAGATATTTACAGTGTTGTGCACGATTTTACGTTCCAAGCGTTGGTTCTTCGCGATACGGAATAATTAAATTGATCTCGTTAAGTTTACGGACAACCGTCAATCCTAGAACTGCGATTTCGAACTTTATTGACTTCTGTAATACAACTCTAATTCATCAAATTTGTATGACCAGTTCATACACCAATAACGTCAACTTTTCCGAACTCCCAAACCAACGCTAGCAAGCTATATTTATATATAATTACTCGGAAGTGGTTTAAGGCGTTTACATATGAGAATTGATATGCCGGAAGGTTTGCTTTGTTAGGTCTATTATATATTTTACCCTCTAATTTCTTACACACGACACATTTGCTCAGAATTGATTTTACCTTCTTTTTTGCCTTGTGAAATCCAGAACCTTGACCTTATCTCTGCTAAAGTTGCCCTAATTCCGCTATGATGTACCTTCTTGTGGCAATGTTCAACTATTAATTCCGCCAATCTACATTCCTTTGGTAATAAGATTGGAAACTTCGTTTCCTCTTCCAAGTCTGAATCTGCTAGCCTAACCTGACATTTTAGTCACCCTCATCTTCTACTACCTTGAGTTCTACCTCTAACTGCTTAAACTTATTCTCCTTCTTTACCCTGTCTTGTGAAGCCTACAACAAAAGTTTTCTGCTTTACTTATCTCCTTACTCCCTAATTCCGTGAAGCTTAAATCTTCATGCTTTCCTTTGATTTTAACGATCAAATTCCTGACAAATCGTGTGACCCATGCCGTTACACGGAATAATTTTTCAACCCTACTGTACCACTCTACAGAGATCACGTTCTGAATATCCATTTCTTCGTTAGTATCTACTACTAATAGTGCCGTTCGCTTTTCTACTTCTTTACTCTCCCCAGTTACGCCTACCTCTGATTGTGGCCATTCTCTTTCTACGCTACTCAGCCACCTTGGTCCTGTCCACCAAAGTGATTGCTCTAGTATCTTCGACGCAAACACTCCCCTGCCTCCTAAATCAGCGGAATTTCCATTCCTGGACAATGTCCCCACTTCTCCTTCTGTGTTATTGATAAGATTTCATTTACTCTATGTCTAACAAACTGTTTCCACTCACCGCGAATCTGAATCCAATATAATGCTGTAATAGTATCTAGCCAGTACATTGCTTCTATTTTCCCTACTTGGCCTACTAAAGCTTTCCGCACAGATTCCATTAACTTTGCTAACATCAGCGCTGACATTAGTTCTAAGCGCGGTATAGTAAGCTTCTTCAGCGGCGCAACTCTAGTTTTTGCTGTTAACAATTTCACAAAGACTCCAACACTCGTGCGACAAACAAAATATACTAGCGCGCAATACGCTTTCTCGTTTGCATAACCAAACCCGTGAAGTTCACAAGATCGAATTTTGCCCTTCACACCACTATAGATGCATCTATTTAGCTTAATAGTCTTAACACGGTTAAGATCTTCAATCCATTCAGTGTATAGACTGGCGTGCTTTCCGCTTATATCGTCATCCCAATCAATCTTTTCTACGCACAACTGTTGAAACAAGATTTTCATCAAAACTATTACGCAGCTAATTAATCCTAGCGGATCAAATATCTTTGCTAGTGCGCTCACCAGGTTTCGTTTAGTTAACTTCTTGTCACCCAAGTCTACTACAAACTTTTGTAGGTCGAACATGATTATTGTCGCATTACCAGCCTATACCTAAAACTTTTGTGTAATCATCGTTATTTTGAATTCCCAAACTCCATCGTGTGAATGTTTCATCGTCTGGATCTGTCGCCTGCACGACATTATTCACGAATTCACGCTGTTCTATATGCGCTCGTACGTTTGCGTCATTTGTCATCCATTTCCTTAATTTAAACCCGCCTTGAGACATTCTAAATTTCGCCTTTTCATATAAATCGTTCGTTTCGCTTTTGCCCCGAAACTAAGTCATCAACGTAAAATCCTTCATTCAATTTTTGAGCAAGCACTGGATGCGATTCTGCAAACTGCGCTATGTGATGCCTAACCGTGGCGTTGAGTAAAAAAGAGCGACGCATTTAATCCAAACACTACTCTGCAAAACCTGTAAACAACAACCTCTAAATTAGCATTAGTCGCATCTCTAACCCACAGAAATCTTAAATAGTCCCTGTCTGCTTTGTCTACTTCTACGTTCAAAAATGCTTTCTCTATGTCTCCTACTAAGGCCACTCTGTTCTCTCTAAATCTAATTAATTTATCAAACAACAACGGTGTTAATGACGGTCCTACATGAAGACAGTCATTCAAAGAAGTCCCTTTCTTACCCTCCTTTGATGATGCATCATACACTATTCTTAGCTTAGTTGTTTTGCGTATAACCGCTTGATGGGGAAGATAATGAACATTCATCCGCGGTTCTGACTCGTCAACCCTTTCAATGACTCCCATTTTTAGTTGATCCCTGATAATTTTATCATATTCCATTAACAAATCAGGCTCATTTGACAAACGCTTAATTTGCCCTTTCATGCGTGCTAAACTATTGGCATAGTTACTTGGTAAATGCCCATGACCCTGCTTCCACGGCAATTTAACAGAGTACTTATGCCCATTAAACTCAATTTTATCTAACAAGGCTTCGTGCACATCGTCAGTTTCCCTGACCCCAAGTGTTTCTAAATCCCATAACTTGTTCACCTGCAAAACTAAATTAACATGTGCATTTTTGATTTTCGAGCTCCCTTTCAATGGACCGCTTGCAACCCATCCTAAACATGTGTCAATCGCAACTGGCTCATCCTTTTTGCCCCTAATTATTTCTCCTTTCTGAAAAGCCCAAAGGTTATATGCTCCTATCAAAACATCCACTTCCAACATCTCCGGCTTCAAACTTACATCTGACAAAAACAAGTTTTTCAAATGAGAATACTGCTCCTTAGCCACCTCAATATGCTCATTTTTTACCGTACAAATACGTGGAACTACTAATGCCTCTAAACGAATTTTGCAATTACCCCTGATGGGACCTCGCAATTGACGACCTCTGTCATCTTACTTTCATTTGTTCCACCACCAAAAGTGTTGACCTCTAACCATTCCCGTCTTGCTACATTAAGCTTCGCATCTTGTTTTCCTTGTTTGTGACGAAAGACTTCTGAATTCCCTAGTCAAAAAGCCCTCACACTCTCTTCCTATTCTGACCTACAAGAATTCCTTGCGCAGTCTGCAAGGCTACCCTAGTGTTTGTACTCACATGCACGTTACTCACATTTACCAGGATGAAAGAAGACGTGAAACAAAGGAAAACAAAATTAAGACAGAAAAATCTTGCGAACTAAAGGAAACTGCACAAACGCTAAATTTATTGCTGGAGAAGTTGAGCCTTGTTCGAAATCAGGCATTCACCGTCAACGAGCCAAAACCTTTGCAAGAAGCGCTTGACTACGCAAATAAAATGCACGAGATCTTAAATGGAAATTGCCCAGTCAGTGAAGGTTTGCCAATTAAAAATAGTCTAACAAAAAAGCGTTTGAAAGTAACAAGTGTGGAGTATCATCAAGTATTTCATAAAAAACTGCCTCTTCGTCGCAAAAAGAAGCATGCAAATAACTATATCACAACAATGATCCCAGACATAAGTCAAAAGTGCGCTGTATCATCAAACAAGGTGAGATAATTTTCATTTTGGCAACCTCGACTGACGAGTTCTTTTTTACAAATTATAATTTTCACTCACAATTTACGTCCCAGAATGCACTTGAAGAGCCAGTTGAGCAAGAATTGTTGTATGAGAGTGAAATAGAGGAAATCCAGGCATCACAAGAAAGAACTGAGGTACCGCCAATCAACAACTTGGAACAACAAGAAAGGTCAGTGATTCATTGCAAAACGAGCTGAAATTGTGAATGTATCTTGATGCACTATGTTCTTAAATAATATAGCAACTACACTGATACTTGCAAACAGTCGACATACAATTCATTGTTTCTGACTCCAAGACAACGAATAAATGCATTTACAGAAAGACAGTGTCTTGGGAATACTGTGCTGGAATTTGGTCCTGTGAATGTACCAACAGTAGATCTTTGGTCACTTGTCAGTCCAAAAGACATAACTAAAAAAGAATTAAAATTATTGAAAAAGAAGTCACCACATTCAAACTTGGTTGGCTGACTGACTCTGTAAGAGAAAAAAGCGTCTAATATAGTCTTCTTATTTATCATTATAAGTAATTGTTTATAACCATGAGTGTTATGTACACGTAAAACTGGAGAGGAAACTCTTCAAACTATGCTTTCTTTTGATTTTAGATAATTGACTCTTTTTTGTGGAGTTTGACTGAAAACTACACTACTGTTCTTGCAGCAGAATCATTTATTTCAGAGATTGTTAAAAACAACTCAAGCACAAGATGAACATGGGCTAATATATCTTTTCACCAAACCAAAATTATCCTTTTTCCAATCAACATCCATGGCATTTATTGGACACTATTGGTAAGTATTTGAGCTAAATAATTACTCTACTTTGACTCACTTGGAGGAAGTGCAGACAAAAAGACACCTAATACACAGATGATGTATCACATAAACAAACTAAGGTAATTATGAAACTTGATCTTAAAAGATTTGCCCAAAAATCATTTTCACAAACAAACAAAACAAACAACATTTATATACCGGCCAGTATTAATCCCCGCCAGGGGGGTTGACCGGTCCATGAATTTTTCCACGCCACACGTCTCTATCTCTCGCCACATCTCTCGTTATACCCATCGCCTTCATATCACTGTTCACAGCATCCATCCATCTCTTTCTCGGTCTACCTCGTTTGCGGACTCCATCAACATTCATATGCAACGTTCTACGAATTTCAGCACTTTCTTCCTCCTTTCCACATGCCCAAACCACTTCAAACGCTGGCGCCTTACCCAATTCTCGATACACTCACACAACTCTTCTCTAATCTCTTCACTTCGAATCCTATCCATCAACGTTACACCACACATCATCCTAAGCATTCTCCTTTCCGTCGACGCCAATTTTCTCAGGTCCTCTGCTTTCGGCGCCCAACACTCTGCTCCATATCCCAAAACACTTCTAACACATGCCTTATACAATTCCCCCTTCTGCTTCAACGAAGTCGACTTTCCGCACAACATTCCCGACAACTCTCTAAAACTCCACCACGCTGCTTGAACTCTGTTCCTCACCGCTTGCTCGCAAACTCCACAATCATTTAACACATCGCCCAGATATTTAAACTCCGATACACCTTCCAAACTCACGTCACCCAGTTCAAACCGTTCAATCGCGACTTGCCCACCACTTCGACACGTCCCGCACTCAAAATCAGTTACTCTTGTCAATGCACCACGGACACCTGAACATCTTCCATGAACCCACTTACTGCATTTCCCACACATTATCGAATTCACTCCAACTCTTTTCCCACACACACACCACATGGCCATTTATCACTGTCCTTCACCTCCACCTGCCTCGAGCATCTCATGCCCTTCGTCTTTGCCTCATTCACTTTCAGTCCCTTGACTTCTATTGCCGTTTTCCATTCTCGGTACCATTCCATGACTTTCTGGAATCATTTTCAACAATCAATAATATCATTCATGAGGTCATTGTTTGTCACTGCTTTAGTGCTTTGGTAGATGTAAAAACAGGTTGGAACTCAAGCTCATGGCAATGTTTTGAGCCACTCCATTGTAAACAGGAAGATATGTATAACTGTGGAGTGTACATATGCTTGGTAAGCTTAAAATAGCCTAACTTTACTTGAATAGCTATTTTTACAAACATGATCATTCAATAACTGCTCATTTTGCATCAGTTTCCCCGATGTCTAGCCCTTGGCTTGGATCAAAAACCAGCAAACATGGAGACTGAGAGAAAACAAATCCTTTCAACAATACTTGGGTCTTGCTATGATGATATCACACGGTAAGGCATAAATAACATTTGGTTGAATATTTTTATATGGAATTCATTATGAATATCTTAGGAAGCGAAATGTGGCTGTTTGCAAAATATGCAGAGAGGATGACAATGAAGACTGGCTGAGTTGTGATCAATGTGGTCAATTTTTTCATGCAAGTTGCCTTAATGTTGACTTTGCCATAACCTTGTCAACACATTTTAGATGCAGATAAAATTATCATAAATATTATTTGACATGCAACAAAATCATTGTTATGCTGTCAGTGCAAATTGTGCAATTAAAATGAGTGCTTCAAAATATAGGAATGTGTGAATGATAAATACTTTAATTCAAGGTAAAATGAACTGGAAAATTTAATTGATTCGGCACGATTGTGCTTTCTACTAATTGAGTTACAGACATGTTATGGAAAGTTTGAAACTGTTGATGAAATGTTACATTAAACTACAAGTTTTACAAATATATCTGAAATAAAATGGCTTATTCTTATTTCTTACCTTTACGATGATTCTTCTGGCCAAAAATTTTCAAAATTCATGTAAATGTGTCTACATGATTACTCTGATACGAAATTCATACGCAAAAAAAAACTTGAATCAATTTTTGAGAGATAGACGCTCAGTTATTATAGAACTCAATGGTTCCGTCCTCTAAAGATAGGCGGAATACGTAGAGAAATCACGTGAGTATGCATTGAAATGTGCTAGGTTACAAGACAAATCTTGAGATTTTGCGGTATTACGATTACGAACCTCCGAATAAAAGCGTGAAAATGAACGAATAAAACTTAATGTTGAAAATTGTTTGTGAAATTATATTTATCTAATCTTCAAATAGAATATTTACTATTTATTGGGAAATTTCTACTCATCTTCCGACCAAAAGCATGGCATAAAAGATACATCACTAGACGTAATGGTTGAACAAGCACAAGCAGTGCATAAGTATGAAAATTTGATCTTAAAAGTTTTATCCACGAAAAAGGTTGGAAATCTTACTCAACTGCTATTTCTCAAATGGACCTACATTTATTGAAGATTACCAAACGTGGTAGGATACAGGGTAAAATACACTGTTTCTTTTGCTTTCTTTTAAAATGGTGGTGAATTCTCATTAAGCAGAACTCAATTTCCAACGATAAAAAATGCAGTTTCGACTTATAATTGTTATTTGAGAAATAATGGATCATTTCTCATTGTTATGATATAAAAAACATATATCATTGGGGAGCAAAAGAGCTACATTTTTTTGCTATACAAAATATAAGCGTAAAACACAATATCAAATTACCCTACACAAATAAATACATGCCTGTTTTTTGCTAAAAATCCCCACATATAAGTTAGATTTTTAACTTTTTGTGGATGAAACTTTTAAGATCAAAATTTCATACCTTAGTACGTTATATATAAAAATTTAATTTTCTGCTGATTCATTATTTCTTTGTACAAAAACTTAATTTTACTCTTACTCTCCCGCCTCTGATTGCTGTGTTAAAAGTAAAGACAACTGTGGTGTTATGTTTCGTCGTTTGTTTATAAACTATAACTGGAGAAACAAGAAACGAAAATTGATTCGACTTTCAAGTTTCGTGAAACACAAAAATAACAAAAAACCAAATTTGAATTCAATTTTTGATTTGAAAAACAAAAAACGAATTTTGGATTTGATATTCTCATTATGATTTTTTAATATCAGCGAAAAACGAATGGTTTTAAGAAATGAGTTTGAAGATTAAAGCCAGCTGGTTCACACGAGTGAAATAAGGATAAGCACAAGCGTAGACAAAAGATAAAACAAAGATAATTAACGAAGCATTTGACATAAGCATCGACATAAGCGTAGGCATAAGGAAAAAATTCAAGCATAAGCTAAGAGAAAAACAAAAGAAAAACAAAAAAAGATTTAAAGAAATTCGCATTGTGTTTGTCTTGATAATACTCTAGAGCAATAGAAACTAAAGTCTCGACGTTCGTGCTTATTTTACTCGTGTGAACCAGGCTTAAATATTATTACTTCAGTAATGCAGAAAGTGATTGTGTTTGCGAATGAAAAGTTAATTACAACTGATTGTCTTCACAACATTTCAAATGTGTAAGATAATTAGTAGATTTTTGTAAATGTGATGGATGGTAAACTGGGAAATAAAGTATTTTGCCACTACGAAAATATTTTAAGTAAAGTAATTTTACCATGGAAAACTTGTATTTTATTGTTCAATAAACTGCAATGAAACAAGGACAAGAAAAAGGTATAAACTATCCTCAAAACTCAAACTTATTTAGATACAAAAGACATTCACCTATTTCAGAAATTTATCAAAATAGTTAATGATTATATAAACTTTTGAACTATACATTTTAAATTTTACAAATTTATCATCCAATGTAGTCCAAAGGAACATTGATGAGTTATAACGTTCCATAACTTAATGAAATTTCGTGTCTTAGACATATTTTTGTCCAAAAGGTAAAACTTCAGCAATGGCTCTATCTTTTGATTTATTCATTGAAGGAAGATATGTCCATAAAGAACTACTTCCCATTTCGAAACACTCCACTGATTTATCATCCTCACCTCCCATGACAACAATTGTATCACCAGTTATAACTGCACAACACCTAGATCTCTTTTCAACATGGATGGTAAGACTGTAATCTTACCTGTTTTGCTGTCATACATGATAACACTGTTCAATTTTCCTTCATCACCATAACCTCCAAGAAGAACAACTTGATCTCTCCATTGAACTGTTGCCATTTCAGTCAATGGATGAGGTAATGGAGGCATTTTCTTAAATGTAAGAGTCCTTGGATCAAACTCCAAAACACTGGACAAAAATTAATTGATTTTCCCCGTCCTCCAAAAATAAGAACTTTATCATCAACAACAACAGCTCCATAGCGCCAACGTGGTTCAGGCATATGACACAACTCTTTTAAAACATGAGATGTTGTACCTGTAATCTTTATTTCACTGATCAAATCTGATGGTCCTTTATCATCAATTTTTCCTCCAATGAGAAAGATTTGTTGTTTATAAACAACAGTTTGATGACCAAAACATCCATAAGGAAACTCTGTGGAAAATTTTCTCCATGTTAAAGGTGACTGTTTTATATTCAATGTCTCTATTGATTGGCAGGCTCCTCCAACAACAAATAAATTATCATTATAATTAAATGATGAAGCACCACAGTGTCTATTTTCCATTGATGCAATGTTAAACCATTTCTTCTCCTTCCATGAAAAAATTTCAACACTGTCACCCCCAGCAACCAAAATATCACTTCTTAATAAATCCATAACTAATTCAACTGGTGATGTCAATATTGGAGCAAAATGTTCATTTATAGTCATCTTGTCCAAAAGTTCAAACATCATGGTTTTCATTTTTTCCATTTCTTGGGAAGATTCAATCAAATTTTTATACCAACACTCGACAGCGAACTCCTTGCGCCTGTCCTGTATTGGATTAAACATTTTTCCGTCTCCAAGTTCAATACATGGCCAAGTTGATAAATGATCATGATTCTTGTTGATTCTTAAAATGAACTGATATAAATGATGGTTGAGAAGAATGACAGACTTTATATTTTCCATTCTTTGAGACTTTTGAACATCGCTCTCATGCCACCACCGATAAAACAGAGAACATTTTACGAACACCGTCCAATTCATGCAGCCTTTTATATAAGATAAACATAAATCAATGAGATTCTTTCGATTCTCCGGACATTCAAAATTTGTGCCATGATCTTAACAATAACTGCAAATATTCTGTCCCCAAGCTTAAAGTTTTGTTGTTGAAAACATCCGTTGCTTTCTCACGGGATTTTTTAAATCGATCCTTTGCCATTTCAAAATCCTTTGAATGTTGTATTGCACGGAAAGATCATACTTGGTGGTGATGGCAGTACAAGTTGCCTGAGACTCATCATTATTACTTGCTTCTTCACATTCTCTATCACTTTCTACTTCGTCAATGCAATTAAAAGTAGAAGAAATCCTTCCTCCAAGTAGTTCAAACTGGAGCAAAGGTCTATTTTCGAAAGATTATCTAGCTTTGTTTTGATGTCGTGTAAATCTCGCTTGATAAGTTCCCGAATTCCTTTATTACCAACGTCATCGTTTTCTAGCCTGTCTGCTGCACCATCTCGGACTATGTCCATAAAAAAATGAATTATAGAGAACACTAAGTTTTCCATAGCGTTCTGATGATTTGAACTCGTAGAGCTTGTGTATAAATCTATTGCGTCTGTCAAAAGCAAAAACATTAGCAAAATTAGCTGTGTTTGTATGAATACTCGATTCAAATAAAATGCTTTATTTCTTTCAAAATTTAAACCAATGATATTAATATATATTAATGTGTTTAAAGCAACGATTTACAGCATTTTCCATAGATCAAACTTTTAACTTTGTAAGAAAATTTTAAATTACGAGGGAAAAGAAATCGATAATGGAGAAAAATGAAGGGAATTTTAAAATACGAACAAAATCCAAATAAAACTTAATGCTCCTGCTATGTTGTTTATTTAATGATAGTTTACCGGCAAATATTCAAGAATTATTTTACAACACTTTACATGACACTAAATGACTATTTTCTTGAGAAAACCGCTGAACGCGCGTAATGCATTTTTGTGATTTAGCGATCATTTTTGACAAGCGTGAAACTAAACTGACAGAACGAGATCTTATAAAAACTAGAGCACCATTTCTACAAAATTATCCTAGATTTCTCTCTGCAGTAACGTTTTACAAAGAGTAGTTAATATTTATAGTCCACTATTTAGTTCCGTTATTTCATCGATTCTGTATCGTTTGTGTGTGTTTGTTTGAAGACATGAAAATTGATGTGTGTAGTGACTTGTAAAGTGTATTTATTAGCTAACATTAAATATGGCTCAAAGTCTACATTGTCAGGTGACGAAAGTAAAAAAGCGACAAAGAGGTAAATACATCGAAGTGAGAGCTTTTAAAAGAGAAGGGAAGTTTATTCAAATTAGGAAAAATAACAATAAGGGGGGAAATTCTGTGTGGAAACCGTAACCATTTTTCTGGCTGATTCTGCTCTAGTTTATTAATTTTGCATCTATATTATATATTGTATTTGTTGTTACAATAGTTTGTGTCGATCAGTACGTCGTGCTTTAATTTATAAAACTAAACTCACTTTAACCTTTTCAACAGAATTCATTCAATGATATTTAGTGCAGCTAGTGCTTACGTTTTATTGATAACGTTGACAATCTTCTGTTTGCCGAATGACCTTTGCAAGGTTAGGGAAATTTTCTATATTTTAAAAAGCAATTTATTCAAAGCAATCGAAGGCCCATCAAATGCTAGGGATGCGGGGAAGAAAACCATGTGATCAAAAATTGTCCCAAAAGAAAGAAAGGGGAGAATAAGTATAGAAACAAGCAGGGAATTTATTAAAGCATAAAGCACCTTCGGTAGATACTGAGGGAAACAAAAATGAAAATTCTGGAGAAAATGTATTTGTCGTAGGAATGACAGCAACAGAAGGAAACGGTAGTTGGATATTTCATTTAGGAGCCTCGCGACATATGAAAGCTAGCTGCGATATTTTAGTAAATTACTGCGAGTTTCCAAAGACAGAACCTTTTACACTTGGAGACCGTGGTTATGTAAATGCATATGTGTTTGGACAAGTTGACATCACCATGATACTTGGACGTAAAGAGAAAGATAAACAGAAATAAATTTTGACAAAGGTATTGTACGTCCCAAAGATAGCTATAAATCTTTTTAGCGCACGTGCAGCAGCATCTAAAGGCAAAGTGGTTCAATTTGGGCACAGTCTCTGTTGGATAAAGAACTCCAATGGACAAGCTTCAGCACGCGGTCGACTAGTTGGGAACATGTATCAACTTGATTGTAAAGTTGACAAACCAGAAAACCAAGATCAGTTGTTAATGAAAGTGGCACTAAACTTGATCTATGGCACCAAAGAATGGCACATCTAAATGTCGGTCAAATGAAAACTATGGCTTCAAAGCAACTTATAACAGATATGGACATACCCAAATCTTGCAATTCAAGCTTTTGTTAGGCATGTGCAGAAGGAAAGGCACGCCGCACATCATTTAAGCCAGTGGGAGATATTCAATCAACCAAAAGATTGGAGTTGGTTCATAATGATGTGTCGGGAACAATGAAGACTGAAAGCCTTGGAGGTGCAATATATTTTGTTGCCTTCATTCATGATTATTCCAGATGTGTTACGGTATATCCAATGAAGCACAAGTCAGAAGTGCTTGAAAAATTCAAGGATTGGGAGGCAGCAGTCACAAACCAATCAGAGTGTAGGATAAAAACACTACGCATGGACAATGGGGGTGAAAGGAGAGAGGAATTCGTCATGAGAGAGAGGAATTCGTCATGAGACAACAGTGCAACATTCACCCCAGCAGAACGGGATAGCTGAGCGCAGGGGCGGATCTAGAGTATGTCAAATCCGTCGCGCGACTGATGTTTGAAATTCAAAAATTACCTATTCATATTAGTTAAAAATTCATTAATTATTCTTACTTTATTATCGCATTTACTTCGTGATAAAAATCCAGCTTTATTTATAATTGAAAACTAATGACTAATGCAATGAATATCTCCTTGGTAACCAGATCAGTTGAATTTTAATTGACCTGGAATAACCGACTGATAAGCGGGGTGGCTTGACTGGTTCGACTTATAAAGGAGTCTATGAACGCCAGAAACGCTATTTTATTGGTCAATGGCCAGATCAGTGGACAGTCTGGAATAATCTCGACCGATAATAGGGTGGCCGGACCTATAAGGAGTCCAATTGCTATCTTACAATTGGTTCATTTGAATTTTGTCTTACTGTGATTGGTTTGACCGATTTCGACGGATAGCCAACTGAACTAACATAGTCAAGCTCACTGTCTGAATTGAATGTTTGATCGTTTCATAGTAATTTTTATAAGCATGATAGAAACTAAACTACAATCAGATGGAATTTATGGAAATATTTTACAAATTCATATGTTGACATGAATGCTGCTTTCCAAACTGGGAATTTTTTCAAGAGGGTGAAAAATTTATGGATGAATTGTAAATGCTTGGCAAAGACGATCTCGCGAGCGACATTTCAGTCATTGATGTTCAAAAGAAAGCCAACATTGTTTTGAGTTTTATCAGCAGAAATTTACATCGAAAATCGTAAGTAAAGGACAAGTGAAGTGTATGCATGAATGCAATATATCAAAGTCAATTTATGCGAGTGTGTCATGCGATTTATGTTAATATGGCGTATGGTAAGCAGATTGATGCTTCTAAAATTGTTGTTGCCGAAGGACTTTTAGCTATGATTTCTTTAATGCTTGGGGAATCGTGGCCGTTATATGGCAGCGAAATCCTACATTTCTGCAAATATATTTCAATGGACAAAAAATCTGTAGCCATAAGGTGCCATACTATTATTTACTTTATCATAAACAAATGTTTGGGGCTTTTCAGTTTATGATCATTGATCATTCGATCATTAGACAGTTATACTACATATTGTTTAAGATTTGAGAAAACTAACATTGATTACATGAGAAGCTGTTTACTATAACCTGTGATTTTGAGTCTTATGATCCATGAAGCTTTTTATTTTGACAATTTGACTGGAATGGTATTAAACCTGAACATTTGACATACATGAAATTTTGTCCCATGTCACATATTGTCCCCTTTTCTAACTGAACACCTCATGTAGAGATGTAAAGGTGTGTTAGTCTACGGCTCATACCAGATTGTTGCCATAAATTCCAAAGGGCTATTGATTTATGAAAAGCATTTTCTATAAAGTAAAAATGTCTTCCCATATATGCAGATAAACCTTGAAATTTGGCAAAACAGCAAAGTATTTTTCATGATCACTAGGTAATTTTTCTGATGATCATTATAATTTCTAAACTAAATTTTTTAGATTTACATTTAAACAAGCTTTGATCATATGAAAAGATATTTATCATAACCAGTAAGCATGACACATAAACCATTTTTAACATTCATGTAATTATATAATTAAAGACATGTTGGTTACATTCTGTTTGTATTTGATAATACAATGCTACTAGTGATTGCTATATAGCACACCTTGCAGAAGATATTAGTCTAGTGAAATGCCTAATAAACATTTATGGCATTAAGCTGTCCTTAATTGCAAATTTTCACTCTGATAATTTTTGCTTAATCTTTGGCATAAAAAAATTTTGAGTTTTTCTCAAAGGGTGAATTTGCTGGCACTGATGTGGAGATGGGTAAAGAGTTACAATAAACTTGCAAGGTTTGAAGTCTGAGCTTTTCTATATCTATGAACTGTCACTTGTAGTACCAAATTTCTAACTTAACTTATTACATAGAGGTTTGAATGGGGGTCTCTAGGGGGGTCTATGCCTGACAACTTGGTAGAAATTTTAAAGAATATATCTGTTTTTGAATAGCATTATTGTAAAATAAATTTACGTTCCTAGACATGCTAATGAGCCATATATTTGGCATGATAATGAGCCTAAATATTTGGCAAAACATTCAAGTAAAGAAAACTTAAGAAAAATGTGTTGTTTTTACGCAAAAACGATGCCCACAAAATACGTTTTGTATTGCTCTAAAACGCTGAAAATGGCATTTTCAAGACTCTGAAATTCAAAATTTCTCAGGGGAGAATGCCTCAGACCCCCCCAGGTGCGGAGCGCCTCCGACGTTTTATGACTAATGTTTGAAAAATCCTAGATCCGCCCCTGGCTGAGCGCACGAATCAGACAATCCAAGAAGCAGTTCTTTCTATGATTTTGCATGCTGGACGGTCCAAGGCTTTTTGGGCTGAAGAAGTGTGCAATGCAGCCTAAATAAGAAATCGAGTCATTGCTACTGCAACTGCGGTTACTCCGAATGAAAGATGGTATGGAAAGAAGCCAAACGTGTTCCATTTTCGTGTCTTCGGTTGTACTGTTTATGCCCATGTTCCTGATGCGGTTCGCCAGAAATTTGACCAAAAAGCAGTCAAGATGAGATTTGTTGGTTACAGCCTTACACAGAAAGGATACAGGCTGTACGATGAAAATCAACAAAAAGTCTTTATTCAGAGGACGTTACATTTAATGAAACAGATTTTGGATCGACATAAGCTCAAATGAAGTGTGGTGAAGATATTACCGAGTGTGCTGAAGAAGGAACAGAAATAAAGGGGCAAGATGGTGCAAACAGAAATGAGCAACAAGATCCCTCAAATAAGCCTTGACGCTCAGGAAGACAGAGAAATCCACCAATATATTACCACGACGAGTATGCTGGGATCACTACATCAAAGTATGTAGCACTTTACGTGTGTGAGATCACAGAGCCAGAAACCCTAAAAGATGCTCTTAATAGTGAATATGCAACGAAATGGAAAGCTGCTGCAGATGCGGAATACCAGTCTTTACTAGAGAATAAGATCTAGGAATTGGGCATAATACCAGCTGGACGTAAGTCTATCAGTTGCACGTGGGTCTGTAAAGTTAAACACGATGAAACAGGAAAGGTAGAGAGATTTAAAGGTCGTCTGGTGGCTAAGGATTTTCTGCAAAAATATGGAATTGAATATGAAGAGACATTCTCTCTAGTGGTTCGTTTTTCGTCAATTCGCACTCTTCTGGCTTTTGGTGTATCTCGAGGAATGTTGATCCATCAAATGGATGTAATAGCGACATTCCTCAATGGAACATTAGAAGAGGAAATATACATTAAACAACCCGAAGGCTACGTAAAACCAGGAAAAGAAAAGCTAGTGTGTCGTCTCAAAAAATCGCTTTATGGTCTAAAGCAAAGTCCACGTTGCTGGAATAAGGTTTTCAGAGAGTTTGTGTTATTATTAGGATTTGTTCAGAGTGAAGTTGACCCTTGCGTATTTATTCGTTTTCTCAACAATAAGCTGGCGATTATCACTGTTCACGTTGATGACCTCATACTTTTGACTAAAACTGAAGAAGAGATGAATGATCTAAAAGCCAACTTGGCAAACCAATTCAAAATGAAAGATATGGTCGTACTCCACTACTGCCTAGGAGTTAGTATTACTATAAAGAACGGTGTGTTAAAAATCAATCATAAGCAATACATCAACAAAATTCTGAAAAACTATAAACTACAGGATTGCAAGACAATTTCTACGCCAATGGATGTAAGCGTCAAATATGTTAAAGACGATGGACATCACAAATCAGTCGATGCCTCTCACGATCAGTCAATTGTAGGAAGTTCTATATACGCGGCAATTGCTACACGTCCAGATATAGCTCAAGCAGTAACAACATTGGCTATATTCAACACAGCACCGAACGAAGCACATCTTACAGCTGTAAAACGTATCTTTCGTTACTTGAAAGAAACTTGTAAACTAAGCCTGCAGTACGAAAAAACCAGTATCGATTTAGAGGGATACTCTGATGCAGATTGGTCCTCAGACACAGACGATCGACGGTCAACTTATGGAAATATGTTTTTATTGTCAGGTGGTGCAATCATTTGGGCAAGCGAGAAACAACCAACAGTGGCTCTTTCAACGTCGGAATCGGATGTTATTCAACCCAAGTATTAGTATGGCTGCGACAACTGATGAAAGACATATAAATGGATTGTACAGCGGCTAAGAACATACATGAAGATAATCAAGGTACAATCGCTACCTCAAAGAATCCAGTACTACACAAGCGGATAAAGCACATTGATATTAAACACTATTTCGTGCGCTAGAAAGTTCAAGATGGAACACTTGAAATAAAGTACTGTCCAACAAAGGAAATGATGGCAGATATTTTTACTAAGCCATTACCAAGAGAAAAATTTGAATATCTGCGATGCAAACTGGGACTTGCATAAACATTATGACAAATTGAGTGAGTGGGAGTGTTGTAAATTACACTCAACAGTGTTTGTTACGTTGTTATGAAGTATTAACTATGTTTAAGGTTATATCGTGGGCGCATAGGTACGTTCGCACAACGTCCGTTGTTCTTTCCTTTTATCGCAATAAAAATATCGTAATACTTTTATGTTTAAAGTGTTTTCTCTGCTGAAATATATCGCAATACGAACAAGTATGTCATAGGGTGAGTGCGGGAGTACATTGTGACATAGAGTGAATTAAGGACTGCAGTGTGACATAGAGTGAATTAAGGACTGCAGTGTGACATAGAGTGAATTAAGGACTGCAGTGTGACATAGAGTGAATGGGTGACTACAGAGTGACATAAAGTGAGGGGGCTACAGTGTGACATAGAGTGAGTGGGAGACTACAGAGTAACAAATAGGGTAAGTGGGTGACTACAGTGTGACAAAGAGTGAGTGGGGGACTACAGAGAAACACATAGGGTGAGTGGGTTACTGCAGTGTGGCATAGGGTGAGTAAGGGACTATAGTTTCTTTGAATTCATCAATTGCAACACTTACAAACACAATGAACCCAACAAAACGAACAACACAACAATAACAAAGTAAATGGTTTGAACACGGGAGTATCGTTACATGTTTGTAAATGTAGATCGTCCAGGTTGGTATAGTCCTGAGAAGGACTGTTTTTGTTGTTGTTGACTGACGTTTCGACAACCTTAGCGGTAGTCATCTTCAGAGTCAAATGAGGAGTATACGTCAGGTTAGTCGTATTTGTTATCTGGTTCTTACGTCATTTAATTGTGTGTCCAGGAAATGTGCAATGTCATTGTGAATTAGTGTGATGTGAAATATTTTTAGTTGTGAAGCGTGATTTAGGTGTGATGTTTTTAGTTGTAATGTGTGGGTGTCAATTGTGTATTGTCCTTGTGAATTAGTGTGAAGTGTAATGTTTTTAGTTGATCGTTGGTTTGTATTGTGAATAAGTCGTTTGTAAGGTGCCGGTAATTGCTGTGATCTGTTCAGGGGGGTTTGTTCAAAGTTGGTATACCAACTTTCTAATGTAAGCCGTTGTCTATAGTCAGTACTGTAAGTAATGCATTTTACCGAGTCCCAGTCAATGTTGTGCTTTGTGATTCGGTGATGTTCGGCAATGTGATTAGTTTTGTCTTGTTTCTTTGTAGCTCGTTCGTGTTCAGTAAGTCTTATGTTAAAGTTCCTGTCAGTCACACCGATGTAGAAGACGCGGCAGTCGGAGGAGTTTATTTTGTAAACTGCACCTTGTCGTTCGTTCGGTTGTTCTTTGTCCTTTATGTTCGTTAGTACTTGTCGTAACGTTGTGATTGATTCATGTGGGACACGTGTGTTGTATGCTCGTAAGATACGCGAGATAGTCTCAGACGTACCTTTGATGTAAGGTATCGTTGCTGTTGTCGCTGAGTTGTTCGTTTCGTTAGGCTGGTTGGGTTTGAAAGTGTTGCGTTTGATAAAGTCAGAGTTATAGTTGTTTTGTCAAAAACACGTTTGAGATAGTTTTTTTGTTGTGTAGAGCGTCCGTTGAATCACATATGATTTGTGCACGTCTTGTTAATGTTCTGATTGTGGTGGCTACATCACAGAAAACAAAGGATGTAAACTCTCAACATAGCTAATTAATATGGCTAAGTAATAAACTTGGCTTTTTCTAAAGAAAAGAGAGAAAATGAGCACTTGTTTTGGACAGTGTTTTTTTAAAGGAATCGGTGTTTGTATTTTTCAGCAATACAAAATGGTGATCAAAATTGCCTTGCAGTAGAAAAATTATGGCCATATATTAGCTAATTTTTAGTATGAAAAAAAAGAGTGCACGAAAAAGAGGCAGCTGATTGTGCTATATTATGGACCTTACGTTCTACCGACAGCAATGCGAACGGCAACGGCAACGTGGTTGTAAATACGTGTACGCATGCGCCGATCAAAATTGTGCCGTTCTCGCTTAGCGTGCCCGACGCCATTCTCTTTAATTTGACGTTGTGAGAGAACGGCATTAATAAATTGCACAAACAATCGATGTCTTCTGAAAGAACAACATCAAGGTAAATTATTTTGATATTAGACTAGTTATTTATTATAATTTTACAAGTATCGAGGCTTTAAAATATCATGTTAAGTCAAAGCTTCACTTGCTTTTGCATTTCTGTTTATATTTTTATTATATCGTTGAAGGATGAATTATTTAACTGCAATATACTTCGAGGTTACATTATTTTGATAAGAAATCGTATTTTTCTGTTCAATTAGTGTTCCTATGAAATGGACTGAGCTGCATGATGAGATATTTGTACGAGAAATTTTGTTGATTCAACCATGGAGCAGTAAGAAAGCATCTCCTGAAAGAGGAGAAGCATGGATGAAGATAGCTACTTCATTGAATTCTTTGGAAACACCAACGTTTCGTGTAACTCAAAGGTCCGTACGTGATCGATATGCTGTGCTTGAAAAGAAACATAAGAAGAAAATACGTGATGAAAATCTTGCAAGTGGAATATCATGCCAGGAGAATGAAGTAGATCTTGGCATAGATGAAATTATTACATTGTTTCATGAAGCTGATATGGAACACGAAAGAGCATCAAAGGAAAAGAAAAGAAAACTTGAGGAGGAAGCCAGTCAGGCAGCTGAAATGAGACAGCAATCCCTTGAATCGTTTGGTGAAACTCGCAAGAGATCAGAGTTTACTGATTCTGAGGTAAAAACTGCCAAAAGAAAACGCAGTAGTGGTTCTGACATGGTTTTGTATTTAAGAGAAAAAAGTGAGAGAGAGGCTGAGTTGAAGAAGAAGGAATTGGAAATAATGCAGCAGCAAACTGACAAAGATTATGAATTAAAAGAAAATGACATAAAACTTAGAAAAGAAGCAATGGAAGTAGCCCAAAATCAAAATAATTCTGTGCTGAATCAGCTTATCGAATTGCAAAGGACTCAACAACAGCAATTCATGCAGTTGATGAGGCATCAGCAGGAGCAAAGTTCATGCATGATGGCCCTTTTGAATAAGTTAACTTCTGGAAAATAAACAATGACATAGACTATTACCAGAGAACAGCCTCCTCTTTTTGTTTATGCTGTGATGATAACAGATCAAACTAAACTTGTTTACAAATCTCAATTGTTTCAGTTTTTTAAAGTAAATATGTAAAAAAGTATATGCATTTTCATGCTGTCTTTCATATTTTACAACTATTGTGCAAATGTTTAAATTTTTGCATTTAAATCCATTTATTAATGTTCTGTTTTGAAACAATTTCTTATGAACAATGGCGTTTTTTTAATCATTTACATGAAGTAATTGTGTATAGTGGGTGGGTCAAGGCCAAAGTATTTTGCTGTTGTTCTGCCATATAGGCATGCCCTTGCATTTTCTATAAGATCACACACAACATACATTTTCCCAACTGCACTCAAATGTACTTTCAAATTTTTTTAAAGTCCAAAAATTTGAAGTAATTTACAATGGCACCAAACAACCATTCAACAGCTATTCTCACATGACTCATAGATTTGTTCCATTGTTTTTGTTGTTCTGTAACTACAGCTCCTCGGAAAGGGCCTTGTAATTGTGGTCTGAGAGGGTATGCAGGATCACCATATATGCATAAAATATCCCCTTGCATGTTAAATGAACATTGCTGTAACATGTTGAGAATACCAGATTGGGCAAGCATTGCACTATCATGCCTTTTTCCTTCGACTGGACCATAAAGATTAGCTATCATGCCTGATGGTGTTGCAATAGATTGAAACTTAATAGCATGAACTTTCTTGTGTCCATTATAAAGTGTACGTTGCAATCGACCTGGTCGTGCAACAGGACGAACAGTATCGTCGATGAACCCCCAGCAGTTGTTAAGAGCTGTACTCTTTTGGTGTATAACTGTGGCAAATTCCTCTAAATTTTCTGGTTGCAACCATGCCTGGTTAAGATCAGTGAGCAAATGATGCCATCGTTCATGAATTACGTTCAGAACTTGATTCGATATCATGCACAACTGAGGTTCAGGTCTGGCAAATCTATGAATCATATCAACATATCTGCACGGATAAGCAAACCTCTTCAAAAAAATACATATAGCCCCTCAATGTTGTCTACTTTTAGTCCATTATAGCATTTTATTTCCCCAGGCAATTCCAATATTTCAGCAAGGTTGTAAGTATCATTTCGAAAGAAGCGAAATTCTGCTAAACATTCATCATCTATCATTGGATCTAAATCGAAGTCTTCATAACGCCAAAACGGTATCCTAGGGCTTTTGGGTTTATTTACATCGTATAGCAGAGCAAATTCTTCGTTATCTATCGCGTTCAAAGCATGAGCGAACACAGTAATTTCCCTAAGACTCGGCATATTAAAATTTAATGAATCTTTATTTACACACAAAAGTCTTAGCACATGCAATCGTAAGGTTAAATTTAAGCGGGAAACGGCAACGTCAACCGCGCGACCGTTCCAGTCCCCTAGAGTTGCCGTTGCCGTTGCAGTCGCTTAATCGTAAGGTCTCTAATGAACTTAATAATGGACTGGAGTACTAACCTTGCCGTACTCATTTTTGTCAACCTTTTTTTAAAAAAATAGTGAGTAAATTTTTACAAGATAGATGGTCATTGGTTCTTTAGTAACAAAATCATACGGTGCGAAGATTTCCAAACAAGCATATTACGATATAAAAAACCTTAAAATGGCTTTGTTAGACATTGACTGTAACATAATTAAAACTATCACCAAAAATTTGAATGCTCATGCTGCGTCTAAGAATGTGCAATACGTTCAATTTATTTCACTATGTGCGATATCAATTAGTCTCTTTACTAAAGAAGTATTCTAGAAAAGACCACGACAGAATGTTAAATATTTAAACTTCTATAGCACATCATTCAAATTTTAAAGTATTCGTTGAATGTAACAATATTTTCTTCACTAATTCTTTTGTATGCATATTGCCAAAATGTGAAGGCGTACGTGGGTAGAAGGTGAGAAGAACATACGAAACATACCAAAAATGTCTCTGTTGAAATAAATCTTATTGTTTAAAAATAATCATGTAAAACTAGCATTTAAAATAAACATCAATGTATTTGTGACATCAATCTTTTGCCTTGCTATTTTTATTTCTTTTTGTCCTTCTGGTGAGTGGTTACAACAGAAGAACGGCATAAGAACGCCTTAGGAAGAGAAACGAGAATTCAGCAGACCGAATGCATGGAGGAACTAACTTGCAGTCAATATAAGACAAGTTCCTGACACAAATTAGTCCAAAGAAGGTTGGAAGTGAGGGAGGAGGCTTCTCACTCGTACGTGCTCATCGAGTGTGAATCAGAAATTGTGCTCTTACGTATCAAAGGCAGACTCGTCTATCGACGGTAAGATTTTTGCTAAAATATTTCAAATCAAGTAGCGGAGTGAAAATAATGTCTTGGAATAGTCATGAGATTATTTTGAAGTCCCACTCAGCGAATGTGCTTTTAGAATGGAAGCTTTGTTTAGTCGAGAAAAATTGGCTGGGTATTCAGTATATGTCAAATCTGGAATGCCATTATTTACATATCATATGATACAATGACATAGAAATTGCGACATATTGACAGCAATGTGAATTTCTGAAGAAATATTTAAAATTCAAACAACCGCTGGGGGTAAATAATTTCTTGTTGTTTTAGCTGTATATTATGTTATTTCTCTTAAGTAAAAAGTCAACACTGAAGATAGAACAGTGAAAACATTTATTCGCATTTCATTTATCAGAACTCGAGTTATGAGCGGGCTTTGTATTTTTAATGAAAAAAAGTGAACAAATTGAACAAGTGAACAAAATATAAACATACTTCAATTGCCAATGCTAAAGTCGAGTTATTGTTATGAAAATTTCAACTATGTGCAATGTATTCACCACAAATGAAAATCTCACATTGAAAAGAACTTGAGGATTATAAAAACGATGAAAGTAGCCATTTCTAATCTACATTTTACAAAGTGTAGCAGACCTATTAAAGCATCTGGTTGAGTTGTCTGATGAGCTGGTTTACGATGAGTATATTTATGCAATATTTGCATCATAAAATATATATTTGTTTTGGTCACGCGAGCATACTAAACATACTTCAACTTTTATGGAAATGAAATCAGACAGTATAAATTGTATAAATCATTAATACTTGAATGCATGAAAAGATTTTCAATGTCTACAAAATGCGGTTATAATAAAGTAATGATAATCTTATATAACATCATGAATGTGTAAAAGCAAGAGAAACGACAATTTAGGCTGACCAAGTGTGTGGGAGTAATTAGGCTCAATTTAGATTAACAAGTTTCTTATAAGACAAGTTCCCATCAAAATTTATCTAAAACTGTTAGTATTTTCTTAGTTAACTACATTTTTTCTTAATAATGTTGTTTTTTTGGTATGGTGAACAGGAAATCTACTTTATTGATAAGAGGTTTGTATGACGAAACACGAATTAAAAATACGAAACGATTTCACTAACCTTTGTTTAAATCTTATATTCTTTGTATTTATATAGATGGCTTGCGTCTAAAGTCGTTCCCCAAACGCAGGCTTCTTTTAATGTTCTCTGTTTCAATAAAATGATAAAAATGAAGACACATGTATTCACCCTTCGTTTCTTGTTTCGGTTTAAACCATTAAAATTAATATGACTATTCACTTTAAACTAATAATGTTGATAAAATAAAGTCCTAATGAACGAATAAGGAAGAGAAACAACAATTTGCTCTGACCAAATGCGTTAAGTAATTAAAAATTGCTCAATTAAAGACAATTTCGGGTGACAAATTTGCTTTGGTATATACTTGTTACATTGCGTTTTGTCTTTATAATGTTTGGTTTTTCACAATAAGAAAAAATAGCGAATGTATATTATTGATTGAAAATTTATATGACGACATAAGAATTAAGTCATAAGAAACTATTTCATTCACCTTCCTCAAATATCTGTTTGTCTTTGTGTTTATGGATTATTGGTGTCTGAAGTTGCTCGCCAAACACAGATCTCTTTCAATCTTCTTGTTGTAAAAGAAACAATGAAAAGTGAAAAAACCCGAATTCGCCCTTCTTTGCAATCACAGACTGAATCAATGAAATGAGTACGACAGCGGAAAACGGTTTTAAGCGAATTAGCAAATTCACACGTATGATAATGAGCAACGCCTAGTCCAAGAACCAATAAAATCTCTTCTAAACTTCTTCCACGCGCGGGTGTCACGAAAGGAAGAAACACGTGACTAAGTAAGTTCAAAAAGGATATAAACTCTTGACATAGCTAATTAATATGACTAAGTAATAAACTTTGCTTTTTCTAAAGAAAAGAGAGAAAATGAACACTTGTTTTGAACAGTGTTTTTTTTGAAGGAATCGGTTTTTGTATTTTACAGAATTACAAAATTGTGATCAAAATTGCCTGGTAGTAGAAGAATTAGCTATATATTAGCAAATTTTTACTATGACTAAAAGAGTGCGCAAAAAATGCAGGGGGTTGTGGCTTATTGAACTTCATAATGGACTGGAGTACTAACCTTGCCGTACTCATTTTTGACAACCCTTTCTTAAAAAAAATAGTGAGTAAATTTTTACAAGATAGATGGTCATCTGTTTTGTAGTAACAAAATCATACGATGCGAAGATTTCCAAACTGGCATATTATGATATACAAAAACCTTAAAATGCCTTTGTCAGTGAGTAATTAAAGTCATTGACTGTAAAATAATGAAAAATATCACCAAAAATTTGAATGTTCATGCTGCGTCTAAGAATGTGCAATAGGTTCAATTTAATTCACTGTGTAAGCTATTAATTAGTCACTTTTACTAAAGCAATATTCTAGAAAAGACCACGACAGAATCTTAAATGTTTAAACTTCCATAGCACATCATTCAAATTTCAAAACATTCGTTGGATTTAACGTTATTTTCTTCACTAATTCGTTTGTATGCATATTGGCAAAATGCGAAGGCGTGCGTGGGTAGAAGGGGAGAAGAACACATGAAACATACCAAAAATGTCTCTATTGAAAGGAACCTTTTTGCGTACAAATTATGATATAAAACTAGCATTTAAAATAAACATCAATATATTTGTGACATCAATCTTTTGCCTTGCTATTTTTATTACTTTTTGTCCTTCTGGTGAGTGGTGACAATTGAAGAACGTCATAAGAACGCCTTAGAAAGAGAAAGGAAAATTCAGCAGACTGAATGCATGAAGGAACTAAGTTGCACTCAATCTAAGACAAGTTCCTGACACAAATTAGTCCAAAGAAGGTTGGAAGTGAGGGGGGAGGCTTCTCACTCATACGTGCTCATCGAGTGTGAATCAGAAATTGTGTCCTTACGTATCAACAGCAGACTCGTCTATCGACGGTAAGTTTTTTGCTAAAATATTTCAAATCAAGTAGCGGAGTGAAAATATTGTCTTAGAATAGTCATGAAATGAATTTGAAGACCCACTCAGCGAATGTGCTTTTAGAATGGAACTTTGTTTAGTCGAGAGACTTTGGCTGGGTATTCAGTACATCTCAAATCTGGAATGCCATTATTTAGATATCATATGATACAATGACATAGAAATTGCGACATATTGACAACAATGTGAAGTTCTAAAGAAATATTTAAAATTCAAACAACCGCTGGGGGTAAATAACAAGACAGTGTAAATTGTATAAATCATTGATACTTGAATGCATGAAAAGATTTTCAATGTCTACAAATTGTGGTTATAATAAAGTAATGATAATCTTATGTAAAATCATGAATGTGTAAAACGAAGAGAAACGACAATTTAGGCAGACCAAGTGTGTGGGAGTAATTAGGCTCAATCTAGATTTACAAGTGTCTTATAAGACAATTCCCGTCAAATTTTATCCGAAACTGTTAGTAACTTCTTAGATAACTATATTTTTTCTTAGTAATGTTATTTTTTTGGTATGGTGAACAGGGAATCTATTTTATTGTTGAAAGTTTTGTATGACGACACAACATTTAAAAATTCGAAAAGATTTCACTGACCTTTGTTTGAATTTTATATTCTTTGTATTTATATAGATTGCTGGCGTCTGAAGTCGTTCCCCAAAAGCAGCCTTCTTTTAATGTTCTCCTTTCAAAAAAATGATAAGAAATGATGACACATGTATTCACCTTTCGTTTCTTCTTTCGGTTTAAAGCAGGGGTCTCCAAACTTTACAGCTAGAGGGCCACATGAACTTTCATCCAGCATGTTGAGGGCCGAAGAATATAAAAAAGTTCCACGTTATCCTTCAGCTTTTTAAATTTCACAATGTGCTTGAAACCGAAGTAGGAAGTTGGGAGAAAAATTGACGTAAGCCTCTCTTGCTAGTTGGCTTGCGTCATAACGTGAACTTTCTGCGCAAAGTTTATTTTGTTTAATAATAATAGTATTTTTTTCTTAAGTGCCTCTGCGGGCCGGATTGAGAGGCCCAACGGGGCGCATCTGGCCCGCGGGCCGTAGTTTGGAGACACCTGGTTTAAAGCATTAAAATGAATATGACAATGTTTTAAGGGGAAATGTGATCAACGCTGCGTGTGACCAACGCCACGAACCAGTAAAATTCTTTCTAAAATCCTTCCTCGCGCGGGAGTCACGAAAACAAGAAACACGTGAACATGAAACCACTGTGTATAAGTGCATTTTACTATCTTTACGCTTTTCATCACTTGCAAATGATGCGAAAATTAGATCGATTTTGGAGAAAATACCGCTTCAGGTATGAAAACACCGGACATAAAATCACAACAAAATTAATAAAAAAGGGTTTTTCTCAAGAAACGGTAAACTAGAGTAAAAAACAAAACAAAGCAAATCCTTTGTCGCCTTATAATATTACCAAGACCACCATTAATAAAAGATATACACAAATATTCACAACTACATTGATTAATATAATAAATATACTTCTAGCATTCTAGAAAAACCTTAAAAAACAATCCTTTTTCTTGTTCCCTGGACTAAAAGTTTGAGCAAAAAAAGTGGTAGCATGGGATTGAGACGGACAGTTGTGACTATTGAACTGAAATTACATGAGAACGCTACCTGTAATACAAAACCCTAATAATTTTTTGAAGCCATGATTATATCCCAGACACGCGTGTGTGTGTAGTCAATCACTTTTCTCTCCGTGAGAGAATCTCGAAACACTAAACACGCATGTCTGGGGTAAGATTTGGCTTCAACAATTGCCTGAACAGGTAGCGTTCCATGTATTATAGTTCAATGGTTGTGACACAAACTGGAACGCTAATCTTTCAGCAATTTTTGATTTGACACAGACTAAGAACATACAGAAGCCGCAATCGCCATATTTTTTTGAGTTTTTAGAAGTTCTATGATATTATTTTTGAAATATCAATAACCGTTGACGTGATAAATCCCATTCCCATGATCTATGTGTCCATTGGTCAAAGCGTTCTTTCGATGATCACGACAAAACTGCGCGATCCTCTCGCAAGCGACTCGCGCGACTTCCACGGGACATGTGAGGACAACGCGAAAAGAGTTGGGGCATTGAAAACACTGCACAGAAGAAAATAAGAAAAATACTTTGATTAATTTTCTCTACTATGCAACTGTTTCTGAGCAGGCCAAAATAACAAAAGAAGTCTACACTGTAACGAAATGAATAATGATAATGATCTAAAACATAGTGGGCAAGGACCAGACTTGTTTCTTGGATTTTTTATGAACACTTCAACAACCTTCTTGTCATCTTTATGAGCAGTAAAGTAAAGACATAATGACAGCCATGCAAAAAAAACTAGAACAAAACAAAATTCGACCAAACTTGGCAAAAATAAAAAGACGCTCAAAAGACATAATGTGAATCGAAATTTTTCTGGATTTGCATCAAAGTGTTACGGACAAATGTCATGTGTACCTAAATATCGATAAAGGAGTGTGCCCACTTATGTACATGGGTGTACCTAACTATCTACTTGGCTATACCTCACTGTACTAAACTATCGACTTAGGTGTACCTAACTATTCACTTCAGTTAAATAAATGTCTACTTTGGATAAGTATAACGATATTTCATGTCTCAAATAAAAATAAGATGAAGTAACATGGATATATGCATGGTTGAACGACAGTGAGGAACTTACCGTTGCTGGCAAAACAAAAACTGATTGTTCGGCCATCAATTTCTGTGTAAAATCAACATCATCTTTCACGTTGTGTAACCTATCAACTTTGATACCGATCTAAAATAAAACCGACACGTTTTAAAGAGATTATGATTAAGATTATGAACGAGCAAAAAGAAAATTGACTAGTTTCTCTTACCAACATATACATAGCACCTTGTGAGCGAACTGGATAAAGTTCTGGCAGCAATGAAAGACTTTCGTAGAATATATTTGATGTTTTCTAAATGACATAATGATAAAATGTGACGAAATTCTTGGTTTTAAATTTTTAATCAGTGATGAGTTGGTTAAGTTCTATATACATTGACGGACCTGAAGTTGTTTAACTTATATTTGAAGGACCCACCAACCCCAAGAAGTCCGCCATTGTTCTTGAAAAGTAAGTACTTTACATTCATAAAATTGAGTGTTTTTTCAAAGAACTGAGTCGGACAATCAAAAAGAATCGTCGGTAGTGCAGCCTGTATCACCGAACAAGGACCAACAATAACCTGAAAGAGACGTCGTAAGGCTTGTCTTATCTAAAACACCGTTAAAAAAATAATTAAGTATTTTGCAATTATTGCATTCTTAACATCAATCACCAACAGCCATCGTTTGAAGTTGAGGTAAATGTGTTTCTCTAAAATGTTTATTCTTCCTGAACGTCTGGAGTAATGGCGAAGCAAGACATTCACTTTTACTTCTGCAATTCTTTTTTTTTAAGAAAATTATAGAGTCAAACTTGTATTAAGCGGCAGCCTCGGAGAACGGGACTAGCTACCACTTAATGGAGGTGTCCGTTTAAAAGAGATACTTGTCACCAGGCCTCTCTCCGTCGAAAATAACATAAATGGTAAAATCAACAACTAAACGGTGCAGATATATTTAGAAATGACTTCAGTTAATAACAGCGAAACAGAAAAACATTTTTGGTATTAATTAGTAAGTAATAAGTGGCTGAACGAAAATTTTACAGTAATGTCATCTGTTTTAGACAACGACAAGCTACATTTGACATTGACAAGTTATGTTTAATAATAATTGGTAAACAATTTCATGTTTGATATAAGTATTTTATCTTCAATGCACTTGCATTATGAAAAATGTCTTCGTACTTGTTAAGACAGTATGTTTGTGACTAACATGTCTGTAGATAACATGAAATATTTTGAAAAATTGTTCGTTAAACACAGGTTTTGTGTTATTGGACAATTTTGTGTCCGCGTCTGCTCAATAGAGGCTTCATTCCTACGAATTATACATGATTCTGGACTTTACAAAGTCTGTTCAATACAGGGCCGCTTAATACAAGTTTGACTGTAGTTCATATCTTTAGAAAATTCATTTTTCCCAATTTTTTCCAGGAGATAAACACAAAAATTTTTGCGTTGGAGTAAAAACAGGCTGGCTTAGCTATTGATCTGAAGACATAACTATCTCAATACGATGGCGATTAACATGACAACGAAAAACAATGATTGTACCGTTGATTTTAAGGAATATCTAAAAAACGTTTTCTTTTAACTTTGACTTTAAACAGCCTAAGCAAAGCAAAGATATAAATTCTTGCTGGTATTAATGGAGCCTAGTCCATAACTACAAGCGATATATTTATACCTTACAACGAAAGGAATCATTTCTGTCGTGAATTGCAATCCATCCGATACGCCAGATACGATATTGACACACAACGTTTATATGGTTTCCTCAAAATGACGTAATGCAATAGAAATGCGCATGCTCACTGACAACTAGAACAGGAACATTTTTTGTTAAACTTCCCATGCTATGGAAAGGCTCTTTGCCGAATGTCTGCAGGAAATAAGAGAAAAAGTTAATTTAGTTCAAGCCTCATTTATTGTTGCCAAGCCTGATCACCTTCTCGGGCAGTACCAATAAAATTTAGAACCCAACCCCCTGCATATCTAACAACCGTGTCGACGTGAGGCAAGGACGCCATGTTGAAAGATGTCTTAACAAACCTATCCTAACAAACAGTTAAAAATTAAATCTAGACTACACCAGTGCTCAACTCTACACTAACTCAGGAAAAGCAGATATTAGTCGTAATATAAACATCCTCAAGTTTCCCACCTTTCAAAATGGCGGCTTGTTTCACTCGTTTTTTAAATTTCGACGGAGTCAGACAACTGAAAATATCTAATTGCACTGCTGAAAATCTCTAATTGCACTGTGGGTACTGTTTCCTGTTTGGCTGAAGAGCTGTTAAGGCCAAACATACTTCTTTTTGATTAAAAAGACATGGTGCAAGTTGTAAGTAAACAAGACTTTCCACAATTGCAATCGTTTGAAATTCAAGAATTGCGAAAGAATGCAAAGAATAAACACAAAACAGCAAGTACTGTTTTTTTTTTTGGTGAACATTCCGTGCCTCTGTCCTCGACAAAATGTAATTGCTTAAACTCTTGACGTTGTCCCACAATATGCTAAAACACAATATGTTTTTGGATTATACCTTCGCATTCTTTTAAGCACTTATTTATAAATAAGGTAATAAGGTAAGTATCTTTGACTGTTTGACGACTTCATTATTCAGCTCGGCGATTCTTGCATTTCCTTCGTCGATTTGCAGACGGTATTTTTCCTCAAGCTCTTTCTCCGTCTCTCGTTGCAGTTGAAGACATTTCGCCACCGAGTCGTCAACAGCAGTGACAGATTTTTTTAACTGCATTTTAAGTTCTTTGGTCTCGTCTTCAAAATCTGCTCATTTCATCTTCAAATCTTGTATCAGGTCATCGTGATACAAGATTTGAAAATGAAATGACACGGTTCAACTTCATCGTGCGATCGTCACATTTATTTTGAGAAAACCATTCTTTCTTTGTTGAAAAAAAAAACGATATTCGTACGCATCGACGTTCTCGAAGCAAACAGCTGCACTGTACAACACGTCTGGCTCCAAACCATCAATCTTGATCGAAAAGATAGGAAACATACGCCTATAAATTTTGAACAAGTTAAAAAAACGTTGGCTTCGATGGTGGCTTTGTAATGTACGGAAAACTTTTGCTCATTATTTCTAAAAGTAAAGGCGTGACGAATTGGCATCAGAAACAAATTTAGCACCATACATGTGGTGGCAATTAATAATATGTACGATCTACATCTACAAACTTGTAATGAGTAAATTCACAAATCTTTTAGCGTGAATAACCTTATTGAAGGAAGCGTCCTTATCGAGGACGAAACTACATCTTAGTGTACTTGCTAAAACACAAGGATTCGTTGAATAGTATCAGCTCGTTTATTTAGTCGAATGTGATAAAAAGAACGGCTATTTAAAAAAATTGACGTTTGAAAATCTTATTCAAAACAACAACAGAAAGCAATTTTACAGACCTTCCAGTATTTGAAATTTTCATTTCGTGAGTCACACGATGAAAATTTTTCCACAGTTCCTTGTCTTTTAGGTCGATACTATGATCCTTGAAATATTTCACGTTGCAACCACCATTGACAACCATCTGAGTGCTGTATAGACCCTCGCCATGATGCACTTTAAATAAGTGCAAAACAAGGGTCTATACAGCACTCTGTCGCTTTGTCTTCACAAGAAGATGCCATTTTTTTGATGGATATAAATGACGGAATTATTATATATATACGATTCTCAAGAATAACGAACAGAGAGAAACGGACCTCTACATCACTCTACTGTGCAACCTCGTGCTGTATGTATAAGGTTAATAGCTTCGGCTAGCGACTAAACGCTCCAATTGGTCAGGAATCGCATTTCAATGCTGTCACTATGCTAATAGCATGCGTAATAAGATATGCGCTTAACGTAAAATTTCTTAATATGACGCGTAACGGAAGTTGCTCTCAAATTTGCATAAAGTGAAATGAGTTTTGAGATTCGTGATTTATTGCCGCTACGAATAAGAAACAGACGGCAAAATCGAGTCGAAAGATTTCGGAAACATCTATCGAATTCTAAGTTGAAGATAGCATCATGAGATGTTGAAACATGTTTATTTTAAAAATATCGTTTTGTTAAATGCGCAAGAATTCTAAATGAATGAAGTTTTGCTTCGCTTCACTTGTTTCCTAGGATACCAGACGAATGAAAGGTAGAATATGAGGTAATGGACAAGGCAATTAACACATAGTGAAAGTATTCTTAATAGAAATACAGTGGAATAACATGAGAATTTAAAGCAAATTTTTCCTGAAGCGACACAAGTTTAGAAACATCACAGTTATCAAATAAGCAGGAAACACGTTTTTCCAAACGTCTCACATTTCGTCGTTCGAAAATGTCACCTCGATGCAAACGCATCACAATCGTATAAATTTACCGAAAAAAGTCCAGCCGAATCCAAGGAAAGATAAAATCCTCTCGTAATATAACAAAAAACAAGAAAACATTTGGACCATTAATGAAGACAAAATTTTCATTCATTTTACAGCATATTTCAATGTTGACATCACTCCTAAGGAATGTTCGTTAATCCCTCCAAACAAATTTCATTGTTTTCAAACAGGAAGAAACGCTTTCGTTTTGAATTATTGTAATCCAATAGCCATGTGTTACTGGATATACCTCACGTTATTAAAACACGGAATCAGTTTGGAATCCATTTGAAAAAAATCCATGCAAAATTGCTTTGCTATAAAAGCTTCAAGAAAGTGAATGAAAATTGGCGAAATTCCCGTGATCACAATATCGTCAGTTATATTGAAACTGCCCAGTTTTATGCATTAAAGTGCCTACGAAACAAAAATTTTGCTAGCTGAGTTACACTTTCATTGAAGAAATATTTCAAAATGACAATGCATGACTTTCTATAACAATTTAAGCATGCCACTTTTCATTCTCGAGATACTGAGGTCGTCCATTGTCACTTCCTATTTATCTGACCTGTCATTTTCACATTGTAAAATGAGAACTAGAATTATTAAAGCCCGTTCATACGATCCGATTTGTCTGACCCAATGGCTTCGGTTCCGACTTTGGTTGCTTGTTCAGACGGCCCGATAATTGTGTTGATATTTATATTCGTTTACATATTTATAGCAGCGAGAACAGCCATTTGTTAAAAAACTGAATACTACAAAAATACCCGACAACTAAGGCCCCGCCACACGTATCCGGAGTTTTTTAAAAACGAAGGTTTTTTTCTCCGTTTTTGAAAAGATTTGCGTCCACACGTAGCCTATTTGAATCGTTTTCGCCTGTCCACATGTATACGCAAATACGAACGCAATACGAAAAAACGATATGAAAGAGCATGCGTAGAGAGAGCATGACTTCCTCGCCTGTTTATTATTCGTTTTAGAACAACTTCCCGTGACTTTGAAATAGAGATCATCCTCATAATATTAATTCGTTTTCTTAAATAATCAACGTGAACATTCAAGATGTTAATTTGTAACTCAATACATGCTATGATGCCTGAAAGAAGCCCGAGTAAAATAGCTATACAATTCTGAATTGCCATGTTGAACAAATGCTTTAAGCTTTGAACCTTTGAACCATGCTTTGAACTGGTGTTTTGAATTCGGCGCAAAAACGCATGCTCCATTGACTCGATACAACGTCATCCCGGTCATCGTATTAGAAAACCTCCGTTTTAACCGTCCACACGTAGTTGTGAAACCGGCGTTTTAAAAAAATCCACTCTGGAAGCCGTATTTAAAAAGCATCGTTTTTGGAAGACGAAAACGCCGTTTACGTGTGGGCACAAGGGCAAAACGGAAAAAAAACCTCCGTTTTCAAAAAACTCCGGATACGTATGGACGGGGCCTAAGTACTAGTGTCTTTTGACGTGAAATCACTGTTGACCAGTTTTCCACTTGATCTTGAACTTACTTGTATAAAAACCCTCATTACAAACACCACAAACGTAAGCGTTTGTGACAAAAACAACTATAACTCTGACTTCATTAAACGCAACACTTTATAAACAAAATGTACCCAACGAAACGAACAACTCAACGACAACAGCAACGATACCTAACATCAAAGGTACGTCTGAGAGTATCTCGCGTATTTTACGACCATACAACATACGTGTCGCACATAAACCAATCACAACGTTACGACAAGTACTAACTAATATAAAGAACAAAGAACAACCCAACGAACGACAAGGTGCAATTTATAAAATAAACTGCTCCGACTGCCACGCCTCCTATATCGGGGGAGCCGGCAGGAACTTAAACATAAGACTTAACGAGCTACAAAGAAACAAGTCAACAAATCACATTGCCGAACATCACCGACTGACAAAACACAATATTGACTGGGACTAGGCAAAATGCATTACTTACAGCATTGACTATAGACAACGGGTTACATTGTCAATTAAAACAAACGAGGAACTAAACACATTACACTTTACCGAATACAATACACAATTGACACCTACAAATTTCCTTGATTTCAAGCCTTTTTCAAACGTATGTAATTTAACAAGTCGGCGTCCTTTGATTTAGTCGGATGAAAATAGAGCAAGTTCTATTTCCATCCGATTTCTTAGATTAACGGATCCGACTGTCGGAGCTCCCTTTATATGTGTTCACACGAACCGTTTTTTAGGATCCGACAAAATCGGATCGAGTGAACGGGCCTATAGGTAGCTACATTTGCAGATACATTACTTTAATCGGTAAGAGTTCATAGTATAAAATCCAGCCTACCAATGTCAACATTGAGTTCTCAGGAATATGAAAGAGTAATTGAAACGTTATGGCCACTCAATACGCAATATGACGTCACATGTTTGTAGATGAAGATCGTCCAGGTTAGTAGAGTCCTGAGAAGGACTGTTGTTGCTGTTGTTGGTGTTGTTGTTGTTGTTGTTGTTGACTGACGTTTCGACAACATTGGCGGTAGTCATCTTCAGGGTCAAGGTTATCGAAACGTCAGTCAACAACAACAAAAACAGTCTTTCTCAAGACTCTACCAATCTGGACGATCTACATCTACAAACATGTAACGATACTCCAGGGTTCAAACCATTTACTTTATGACGTTACAAGTTAGATAAATTGGAAATAACAAAAACTTCAATATTTCGAGAACAAAAAGAGACATGCATAAATTGTTTTAGAAAGTACGCTGTTATTTCAAACGTTCTGGTCAATGCAAACATCATTTAACTCGCGAAATCTTTTTGTCATAGGCGCTTTAAGACGGATAATACGTCTGGACGACTTAACCCTTACGAAAATTTCACATTTGATTTCCTATATGATATGAATATGGTATGATATGATATAAATCAAATGTGAAATTTTCTTTAGGGAAGACGGAATTTTTTGATGACGATGCATCTTTTAAATCGTCTGAAGAATAAAGACGATCATAAGACAAATCAACCGTCCAGATGACTTTAACGTTCGATTTGTCTCGACAGACGAATCAAAGCCATTGAATAGAGAATCCGGTGAAAATTCCGTGACCGCAAAGTCACGATAGCTTCGGTAATGTTTCAATTAAAAAATTTTGTATACATAATTATGTACAGAACATTTCAGATTCATTTAGTCCATAAATTCCCCAGTGACATAAAAGCGCGAGAATACAATACAAAACTTTCAAGGCATAAAGCAAAGTTATTACTTTTTGCCTTTTCGAAGTGCGTAAGAGCAACCGCTGCCCGGCTCTCCAAAGTAATGCGTTGACAAATCACACAACTAGCAATCCATTCGAAAATTGTCTGGAGTCAATCGGTTAAATTTAGGGCATCGGGAAATTCAAAATAGTCACGTGACATGCAATTAACGAACACTTACGACATGCGCGTAAACTTCATCACAGAGAACTGGGACGCGGTATTTTTCAACAACTGTAAGAAAATAAGACCAATACGAATGCACGAAGTTTGTTTATCAAATCGGCGGAAAAAACTTGTACATGTCTTGAGATATTTACTGTTTAAAATTTCTTCCAAATGTTCTCTTTTGTACACAGAACCACAGGGATTTGATGGGTTGACAACGACAATAAGCTTTGTTCTCTCGTCAATAAGTGAAGCCATATCGTCCAAGTCGGCTTCCCAACCATTTTCAGGCTGAAAATTATGAATAATCATTATTCATTTGAACATAAAGTCGAAAGCAAGACTCAAGGTTAGTTTTAAAGGAATCCTTCGAACTTTTAAATCTTTGATTTTAATTAAGTATATAATTAGAACAGTCTTTAATCTCCAGTATCACAATTAGAATATAATTAGAACAGTCTTTAATCTCCATTATCATAATTAGCACACGATAAAAACAGTCTTTAGTCGTAAACAGTAAAGTAAACTCAACATCTTTAACTTGCACAAACTTACAATGAGTTTATAAAATTGTGTCTCAATCCCCCTCTATAAACAGATGCATTTGTAAAGAGAGAAACCAGGTCTTGGAATTAGGATGTTATCACCACGATCAACTAGGGCGTTCAATGCTATCTCGATTGCTCCAGAGCAACCGCTGGCCAACACAACATCCTGTAAAGAAAACAACATAAACATAGAATTATAGGCGTTTTCATAGAATTTTTCATGTGAAAGTTTCCGACTCTCTCATTTTGTTAAAGTCGGGTTAGGGCCGCTGCTTTCTTAGGTGTCCTACCCCTTGAAAGACATTTTATGTAAGTACATACGTTACTTGCATTCACCTCCCGGTAATTTAAATGGTGAGACGGAAACACTTAAATCTTAAATCAACTTTGTTCCTTAATGAAAACTTCTTCAGAGGGGGGATTGGGGTGGTGAGAAAAGTGTATTCAACAAGGATGCTATAACCCTGTGTAAATTGAAAATCGTTGCTTAAGAATATTACTCACTGCAAATGATATAACGAGATGAAACGCAAGAAAACAGCCACATTTTGGTTGACCGTTGTCAATGAGTTGTATTTTAAAGAAATATACAATGCAATGCCAAAACTTGGTGGAGGGGCAAAATGGGGGAGAGGATAAAAAGTTAGATTTTACTGCCTTCATAAGAAGGAGTCCTTCATGTTAAAGTAGACATCAATGAAGCTGCTTGAATTAAATTATAGACAATGGCTTTAGGGCAACAACAAAACATGTTGACATAAATAACTCCTAAATACTCTTTGAATATCACCATCACCAAGTGTCCCTATAGTTATGGAGCAGGAATATGTACCTCAGCATCCACGATGTATTCAGGTGTTGAACAGTACTTTGCAACGGCATTTCGCGCCTCTTTGCATCCTGCAAAAACAAATACAGATGATTGTATATGACTGGAATAGTGGAACACACACAGTGTGTATCAAAACAACAGCAATCCTTTCATTTGTGAAGCAAACACTGACAATTATCATATCATTCTTTCCACACTCCTTAAATAAAAATACCAAATGAAAAATTTGTACGTCATGTAAGCTAGAACAATGCAGCGAAATTCCACTCTACGTGGTACTATCAATCAGTTCCATTACGAATGGTTCAAGTAGCCACAGAGCAACGAATATTTATCGTGTTTGGTTACAGTAAAGGAACTTACACTGTTTACTAGTAGACTATATTGAAAAAGTCTTTGAAGACTACACAAATTTCAGCTACTGTCCAATGCAAATCCCGAACACGAAACTCCTTTAAATTGTGTTCAGCCTCCTAGGGGATAATTTACTGCTGAATAGTGCAAGTTGTAAACATCTTGTGATTTTTAATTCATTCCAAAGTCATCATCAGAAAATTGGAATATTTTGTGATGTCTAAATGTTGAAGAATTTTATACACCCTTTGTATTACAAAGAGAATCAATCTTTTTGAAAAAGTGTTCTTTAACTGGACTTATTTGTTCCAAAAGGTTAAATAAAGTCTAACTATTGTTATCATTGTAAAAAAGAATTGGCAAGAACTATTTGCACCATTATTTTGCTAGAAGATTCTGCTTACAATCTAGTTTCATTAAATAACATTTGTGAAGATTGATTCCGGGGGGGGTAATGCACTATCGTTTTGAAGATGAATTTCCCAGGGGGGTTAGGGTCCAGGGGTGATTGAAGCACTCAAAGCAATTGATGTAACTAATCATGAGCTGACTTGTAGCAGTTGTCCTTTCCTGACTTTATTGCGTCACAGAGCGCCTGAACACATTCTTCACTTGGTGGTAAGTTGCCAAAAACTGTGGGATCACCTGGAATATAAAAAATATTCTCAACAATAACTCAGTCATGCACGGTTTTTGGAAGATTATCTTGAAACAATTTGGCTCCAAAGGGGGGTTGCGCCGAACCCAGATAATGCTATTGAAACTTTGTCATCTTTGAATTAACCTTCCAGATTAAATATAAGTTTTCACACAATCTGTGCGAAGTGCTGGTTCACTGTTCTCAAACTTCACACTAATGATGGGACTGTGTTTTGAATATAATATTTTAACACTTCAATAAGATATTTACAGTGTTGTGCACGATTTTACGTTCCAAGCGTTGGTTCTTTACGATACGGAATAATTAAATTGATCTCGTAAAGTTTACGGACAACCGTCCATCCTAGAACTGCGTTTTCGAAGTATATCAAATTACTCTGCACAAATAAAAACATGCTTTTTTTTGCTAAAAATCAACACATATAGGTTAGATTTTTAACACTTTTCGTGGGTGAAACTTTTAAGATCAAAATTTCATACCTTAGTTCGATATAAATAATAATTTAATTTTCTGCTGATTCATTATTTCTTTGTACAAAAACTTAATTTTACTCTTACTCTCCCTCCTCTGATTTTGTGTTAAAAGTAAGGACAACTGAGGTGTTTTGTTTCGTCGTTTGTTTATGAACTATAACTGGAGAAACAAGAAACGAAAATTGTTCGATTTTCAATTTTCGTGAAACACCAAAAAATAGAAAACAAAATTTGAATTCAATTTTTGATTTGAAAAACAAAAAACGAATTTTGGATTTGATTTTCCCATTATGATTTTTTAATATCAGCGGAAAACGAATGGTTTTAAGCAATGAGTTTGAAGATTAAAGCCAGCTGGTTCACACGAGTGAAATAAGGATAAGCACAAGCGTAGAAAAAAGATAAAACAAAGATAATCAAGGAAGCATTTGACATAAGCATCGACATAAGCGCAGGCATAAGGAAAAATTCAAGCATAAGCTAAGAGAAGAACAAAAAAAGATTTAAAGAAAATCCCAATGTGTTTGTCGTTATAAACCTCTAAAGCAATAGAAACAAAAGTCTCGACGTTCGTGCTTATTTTACTCGTGTGAACCAGGCTTAAATATTATTACTTCAGTAATGCAGAAAGTGATTGTGTTCGCGAACGAGAAGTTAATTACAAACTGATTGTCTTCACAACAATTCAAATGTGTAAGATAATTAGTAGATTTTTGTAAATGTGGTGGATGGTAAACTGAGAAATAAAGTATTTTGCTACTAAGAAAAATATTTTAAGTAAAGTAATTTTTACCATGGAAAACTTGTATTTTATTGTTCAATAAACTGCAATGAAACAAGGACAAGAAAAAAGGTATAAACTATCCTCTAAAAACTCAAACTTATTTAGATACAAAAGACATTCACATATTTCAGAAATTTATCAAAATAGTTAATGATTATAAGAACTTTTGAACTATACATTTTAAATTTTACAAATTTATCATCCAATGTAGTCCAAACGAACATTGATGAGTTATAACGTTCCATAACTTAATGAATATTCGTGTCTTAGACATACTTTTGTCCAAAAGGTAAAACTTCAGCAATGGCTGCAACTCGTGATTCATTCATTGAAGGAAGATATGTCCATGAAGAATTACTTCCCATTTCGAAGCACTCCACTGATTTAAGATCTTCCCATTTATCATTCTTACCTCCCATGACAACAATTGTATCACCAGTTATAACTGCACAACACTTATATCTCTTTTCCAACATGGATGGTAAGACTGTAATCTTACCTGTTTTAATGTCATACATGATAACACTGTTCAATCTTTTTCTTCCATCCCAACCTCCAAGAAGAACAACTTGATCTTTCCATTGAACTGTTGCCATTCAAATCAATGGATGAGGTAATGGAGGCATTTCCTTAAATGTAAGAGTCCTTGGATCAAACTCCAAGACACTGGACAAAACTTGTACATATTTTTCGTCTCCTCCAAAAATAAGAACTTTATCATCAACAACAACAGCTCCATGGCACCAACGTGGTTCAGGCATATGACACAACTCATGAGATGTTGTACCAGTAATCTTTATTTCACTGATCAAATCTGATACTTTACCATCAATACATCCTGCAATGAGAAAGATTTGTTGTTTATAAACAACAGTTTGATGATCCCGACATCTATAAGGAAGTTCTGTGAGAAATTTTTTCCATGTCAAAGGAAACTGTTTTATATTCAATGCCTCCATTGACTTGCAGCGTTTTCCTCCAACAACAAATAAATTATCATTATAAATAAATGATGAAGCCTCAATGTGTTCATTTTCCATTGATGCAATCTCAAACCATTTCTTCTCCTTCCATGAAAATATTTCAACACTCTGTGTGTAGCCTCCAGCAACCAAAATATCACTTCTTAATACATCCATAACTAATTCAACTGGTGATGTCAATATTGAAGCAAAATGTTCATTTATAGTCATCTTGCCCAAAAGTTCAAACATCATGATTTTCATTTTTTCCATTTCTTGGGAAGATTCAATCAAATTTTTATACCAAGACTCGACCACAAATTCCTTGCGCCTGTCCTGTATTGGATTAAACATTTGACCGTCTCCAAGTTCAATAGGCCAAGTTGATAAATGATCGTGATTCTGGTTGATCCTTAAAATAAACTGATATAAATGATGGTTGAGAAGAATGACAGACTTTATGTTTTCCATTCTTTGAGACTTTTGAACATCGCTCTCATGCCACCACCGATAAAAAGAGAACATTTTACGAACACCGTCCAATTCATGCAGCCTTTTATATAAGATAAACATAAATCAATGAGATTCTTTCGATTCTTCGGACATTCAAAAATTTGTGCCATGATCTTAACAATAACGGCAAATATTCTGTCCTCAAGCTTAAATTTTGTTGTTGAAAACATCCGTTGCTTTCTTACGGGAATCTTCAAATCGTTTTTGCCATTTTAAAATCCTTTGAATGTTGTATTGCACGGGAAAGATCATACCTGGTGGTGATGGCAGTACAAGTTGCCTGAGACTCATCATTATTACTTGCTTCTTCACATTCTCTATCACTTTCAACTTCGTCAATGCAATTAAAAAGTAGAATAAATCCTTCCTCCAAGTAGTTCAAACTGGAGCAAAGGTCTATTTTCGAAAGATTATCTAGCTTTGTTTTGATGTCGTGTAAATCTCGCTTGATAATTCCCGAAATCCTTCATTACCAACATCACCGTTTTCTAGCTTGTCTGCTGCAGCATCTCGGGCTTTATTCGTAAAAAAATGAAATATAGAGAACACTAAGTTCTCCATGGCGTTTTGATGATTTGTATTCGTAGAGGTTGTGTATAAATCTATTGCGTCTCTGTCGAAAGAAAAAAATTAGTAAAATTAGCTATGTTTGTATGAATACTCGATTCAAATAAAATGCTTTATTTCTTTTAAATTTTCAACCAATTATTTTAATTTATATTGATATGTATACAGCAAAGATTTACAGCATTTTCCATAGATCAAACTTTTTACTTTTGCAAGAAAATTTTTCAAATTACGAGGGAAAAAGAAGAAATCGGTAATGAGAGAAAAATGAAGGGAATTTTAAAATACGAACAAAATTCAAATAAAGCTTAATGCTCCTGCAATGTTGTTTATTTAATGATAGTTTACAGGCAAATATTCAAGAGTTACTTTACAACACTTCACATGACACTAAATGGCTATTTTCTTGAGAAAACCGCTGAACGCGCGTACTGCATTTTTGTGATTTAGCGATCATTTATGACAAGCGTGAAACTAAACTGACCGAACGAGATCTCATAAAAACTAGAGCACCATTTCTACAAAATTATCCTAGATTTCTCTCTGCAGTAAGGTTTTACAAAGAGTGGACGATATTTATAGTAGACTATTTAGTCCCGTTATTTCATCGATTCTGTATCGTTTGTGTGTGTTTGAAGACATGAAAATTGATGTGTGTAATGACTTGTAAAGTGTATTTATTAGCTAACATTAAATATGGCTCAAAGTCTACATTCTCAAGTGACGAAAGTAAAAAAGCGACAACGAAGGAAATACATCGAAGTGAGAGCTTTTAAAAGAGAAGGGAGGTTTATTCAAATTAGGAAAAATAACAATAATGAGGGAAATTCTGTGCGGAAACCGTAACCATTTTTCTGGCTGATTCTGCTTTAGTTCATTAATTTTGCATCTATATTATATATTGTATTTGTTGTTACAATAGTTTGTGTCGATCAGTACGTTGTTTAAATCTTATCACTTTGACCTTTCAACAGAATTCATTCAAAATTTATAGCTGCGTTTTGTTCTAACGTTTGATCAAGTTTGTCGAAAATTCAATGTTATTTTATATTTTGAAAACAATTTATTGAACGACTGTGACACATAGGATCAACTCATGCATTTGAGTGAGACATAAGTATGAGTGTGAGTGGGACAGTGTGACATGGTGAGTGGGACATACAGTGTGACATAGGGAGAACTGGAGGTGACTACAGTGAAAGGAGGAGTACAGGTGACACATAGGTGAGTGGGAGGGTAGTGTGACAGGAAGAGTGGGAGGACAGACATGAGTACAGTGGAGTGAATGAGTGACTACAGTGTGACACATAGGGTGACTACAGTGTACATAGTGAGTAAGTAAGACTACAATATAGAGTGAGTGGAGGACTTCAGAGTGACATAAAGTGAGTGGGGGACTACAGTATGACACAAAGGGTGAGTGGAAGAGTACAGTTTGACATGAAGTAAGTGGGGAAGTACAGTATGACATAGGGTGGAAGGGGGACTACAGATTGACACATAGGGTGAGTGGGAGACTTTAGTGTGACATAGAGTGAGTAGGGGCTAGATTGTGACAATGAGTGAGTGGGGGAATACAGTGTGACATAGTGTGATTGGGGGCTACAGTGTGACATAGAGTGAGTGGGGGACTACAGAGTGGACACATAGGGTGTTGGGGGAGTACAGAGTGACACATAGGGTGAGTGGGTTACTGCAGTGTGGCATAGGGTAAGTAGGGGACTATAGTTTCTTTGACTTTATCAAACACAACACTTACAAACAAAATGAACCCAACGAAACGAACAACACAACAACAAAAGAAGCCTCGATTTTCAATTCAAAGGTACGTCTGAGACTATCTCGCGTATCTTTACGGCCATACAACATACGTGTCGCACATAAACCAATCACAGCGCTATGACAAATACCAACAAACGTCAAAGACAAAGAACAATCAAACGAGCGCTAATGTGCAGTTTACAGAATAAACTGCTCCGATTACCGCGTCCTTTACATCAGTGTGACTGACAGGAACTTAATTATAAGACTTACTGAACACAAACGAGGAACAAAGAAACAAGACAAAACTAATCACAGTGCAGAGCATCACCAACGGACAAAACACAGCATTCATTGGGACCGAATGCATGGAGGAACTAAGTTGCACTCAATCAAAGATAAGTTCCTGACACAAATTAGTACAAAGAAGGTTGGAAGTGAGGGTTGAGGTTTCTCACTCATACTTGCTCATCGAGTGTGAATCAGAAATTGTGCTCTTACGTATCAACGGCAGACTCGTCTATCGACGGTAAGATTTTTGCTAAAATATTTCAAATCAAGTAGTGGAGTGAAAATATTGTCTTGGAATAGTCATGAGATGATTTTGAAGTCCCACTAAGCGAGTGTGTTTTTAGAATGGAAGCTTTGTTTTGTCGAGAAACCTTGGCTGGGTATTCAGTACATCTCAAATGCGGAATGCCATTATTTACATATCATATGATACAATGACATAGAAATTGCAACATATTGAAAACAATATGAATTTCTAAAGAAATATTTAAAATTCAAACAACCGCTGGGAGTAAATAATTTCTTGTTGTTTTAGCTGTATATTATGTTATTTCTCTTATGTAAAAAGTCAACAATGAAGATAGAACAGGAAAACAGTATGTATATAATATATTTTTAATATATCATATATATACTCTGATGATGGCTTTGGAATAAAGATAGAACACTAAAAACTAAAAAAAAAAGGAAGTATATTACCGCATTTCATTCATCGGAAACCGAGTTCTAAGCGGGCTTAGTATTTTCAATAAAAATATAGCGTGAACCAATTGAATTATACTAAAGATTGTCATAGATAGTTTTTATATATATGTGTATAATGTAAACATACTTTAAATGTCGATGCTAAAGTCGAGTTATTGTTATGAAAATTTCAACTATGTGCAATGTATTCACCACAAATGAAAATCTCACATTAAAAAGAACTTGAAGATTATAAAAACGATTAAATGAGCGATTTCTAATCAACATTTTACAAAGTGTACCAGACCTTAGATAAGGTCGTCATTGTTTGTAGTTGTTGGTTATAGCGCTGTGCTATCATTCTTTTTATTTAATAACATTCCGTCTGTTTAACCTTGTGATTATACTTATACATATCGGCAAGCGGGATGCTTGTAACAATCTATGTTTAACATCGATATTAGATTCATTCTTTTCCATTGGAAAGCGAGATGCTTTCACTGAAGGGCAATGTCACAAGCCCGGGACTTGTAGCGTATAAGGCTCTCTGCTTTTGAGTAGACTTGTCTCGTTTACAAAGAAGAGGGGTGGAAGGTTAATTTCTCAAATGTTGTTAGATAAGGTCGTTATTGTTTGTAGTTGTTGGTTATAGCGTTGTGCTATCATTCTTTTTGTGTACCAGACCTATTAAAGCATCTCGTAGAGTTGTCTGATGAGCTGGTTTACGATGTGTATATTTATGCAATATTTGCATCATAAAATATATATTTGTTTCGGTCACGCGAGCATACTAAACATACTTCAACTTTTATGGAAATGATATCAGACAGTGCAAATTGTATAAATCATTGATACTTGAATGCACGAAAAGATTTTCAATGTCTACAAAATGTGGTTATAATAAAGTAATGATAATCTTATATTACATCATAAATGTGTAAAAGGAAGAGAAACGACAATTTGGGCTGACCAAGTGTGTGGGAGTAATTAAGCTCAATCTAGAATCACAATTTTCTTATAAGACAAGTTCCCGTCAAAATTTTATCCGAAGCTGTTAGTATTTTCTTAGTTAACTATAATTTTTCTTAATAATGTTAGTTTTTTGGTATGGTGAACAGGGAATCTATTTTATTGATGAAACGTTTGTATGACGACACAAGAATTAAAAATGCAAAAAGATTTCACTAACCCTTATTTAAATCTTATTTTCTTTGTATTTATATAGATGGCTTGCGTCTAAAGTCGTTCCCCAGAAGCAGGCTTCTTTTAATGTTCTCTTTTTCAGCAAAATGATAAAAAATGAAGACACATGTATTCACCCTTCGTTTCTTGTTTCGGTTTAAACCATTAAAATTAATATGACAATTGTCGGAACTTATATAAATAAGTAATAGATAATTGTTATTTGATACTAGGAACTTATGAAATAACGGAACTAGGAACTTATGTTAATTCTTTATTAGTTGTGACAGTTTGAAAGTCAGGGTCTTCTGTCGCTCGCAATGAAGGTAAAAGCTTGAAATGTTTAAGGTTATCTGTGATGTGGAATAGTTATATTGGAATAGTTATATTGAGTAAAATTGAGAATTGTATGTCGACGGCGCGTACAGAAGGATAGTATACAGTCCCAAAAAACGAGTCGGAAGACGCATAACTGCTTTGTGCTAACGCGCAAAGGAGAAAATTGCTACAACAATGTTTTAGGGCGAAATAAAATTCTTTCTAAAATCCTTCTTCTCGCGGGAGTCACGAAAAGAAGAAACACGTGAACATGAAACCATTGCTTGTAAGTACGGTGGCCCACAAGGGACACGACTTCTTTATACAAAACTCACGTGCAGTCTTTACTTATTTGTAACCTGATCCATAGAAATAGACCTTCTCCGTAGAATTAGACCTTCTCCGTAGAAATAGACCTTCTCCGTGGAAATAGACCTTCTTAGTAGAAATCGACCTTCTCCGAAGAAATGGACCTTCTTCGTAGAAATGGACCTTCTCCGTAGAAATAGACCTTCTCCGTAGAAATAGACCTTCTGTCCTTCTCCGTGGAAATAGACTTTCTCCGTAGAAATAGACCTCCGTGGAAATAGACCTTCTTCGTGGAAATCGACCTTCTCCGTAGAAATGGCAAATACCGGCTCTAGATGTCAAATATATCAAATTCTAACAATTCAAAATGGCGGCGGAAAGCACAAAGCGAAACTTGTATAGCGAAAGTGAGGCTTTTAAACGGCGCGTTTTTGTAGCGAATGTGGCACGAAATTTGCTAATGAGGCAGCAAAATACTGTCATAACTGCGGAAAGGAATTTTCAGGTAAATTTAATCATAGTATCATAACAGTGATCACTGATCGGTGGTCTGTGAAGGATTTGATCATACATTATTTCATTATGTATATAATTCATCCCTGTGTGAGCTATTATCTATTTTGTGATATCGGGGACATATACCAAACATTTAGAAAAATACTTCAATTAATACATTTCTTGCTTTCAATTTGTAGAATTTCCACAAAATGCCTGTTACCATGAACAAGATTGTATTGAATACTATTTTCATCTGGGATACAAGTATCATGACATCATTAATTTATTAAAAACATATCATGGTATTACGATGTGTGTCCGCACATTAAAAAGAAAACTACAAAAATATAACTTGAAGAAAAGAAATGTCAATTTTGATGAGCAATATCTCAGGGATATTATAAAAACAGAAATGGAAAGAGCTGGACAACTTTCTGGTTACAGTAAAATTTGGCATCTACTTCGAATAAATCATCATTTACATGCCCCACGGAGTGTTGTGGCTAGAGTTGTCCATGAACTAGATCCCCAGGCCAGTAATGAAAGAAAGGAAAATAAACTTAAACTGTGAAAGTACTTGTCTTATGGTCCTAATCACTGTTGGCATATTGATGGTAAATTTCAGTTTACTTGAATATGTTAAATTTTTTTGTCTATTTCATGGTGCATACCCGTGGTAGGAGCCAAGGGAAAAACACCTCCAAATGTCATTTACATATGTTATGTACTGTTTGATAATACCAACATTTTCAAGGTTCATATATGAAGCTTTAGTGTAAAAAATATAGAGGGAGGAATTTACTCATGTCCTCACCAGCACAACTGATGCATAAATTTTTGTAAATAAATATGAATTCCATACAGGATATGATAAGCTCAAACCCTTTGTCTTCCCTATACATGCAGCAATTGATGGCTTTAGTAGGAAGGTTTTGTGGTTAGAGATATGCAAGTCAAACAACTCTCCAAAAGACTCAACAAAATTGTATTTGGATTGTGTGATCGAACATGGTGGATACCCCTTGTTAACTCGTTCAGATTACAGAACAGAGAATGGTGATATTGCAGCCATTCAATGTTATTTTCATGATGATGAGAATGCTCATAAATATGGAACATCCACCAAAAACCAAAGGATTGAAAACTGGTGGTCACATTTTCGTAAGTCTTGTACTGGTAAGTAGGATCTATAATAACAATATTAGAAATATGTAAGACGCAGTAACTTTATAAATTAAAAAAGGCTGGCATGAAAAGTTAGTGATATTAGTTGTAGGTTAATTGTGATCACATACTTTAACTTTTGCAGATTGGTGGATTAACTTTTTCAAGGATTTACGGGATAGCGGATCAGTTAACTTTAAAAGCGCATTACACAGACAGTGCTTATGGTTCTGTTTCCAAGATGTAATTCAAGCATCATTAAAGAAAATGAAAGCGTACTGGAATACGCATTATATTAGGTCATCTCGCCATGAAACCACTCCAGGAGTACCTGATTTATTATTTTATTTACCAAAAGATTCTGGGGGTGTTAACTATCTTAGGGTCAGTCAGGATAAAATTGATGAAATGAAATTGCGTCACTTCGAAGACACCAATGACGAAAGTTCGTTTCTTCGGAAAAACAGATCTTTAAATCCACTTAAATGACAAAAAAAGACAAATACTGTCTGAGACCGTTTGAAAATTTACCATGCGATGTAAGAAAATTTTTTTTATTGTATTGTCTTTTTAGCATACCGTGTATTTTTCAGTTGGCTTTTCTTCGTTACAACTTGCAAGTTACAACGAAATCACAGTAGTAAACTCGGTTAAATTTAGGGCATGGAGAAATTCAAGTCGTCACGTGACATGCATTTAACGAACACTACGACATGCGCGTAAACTTCATCACAGAGAACTGGGACGCGGTATTTTTCAGCAACTGTAAGAAAATAAGACCAATATGAATGTACGAAATTTTTTGGTTAAATCGGCGGAAAAAACTTGTACATGTCTTGAGATATTTACTGTTTAAAATATCTCTACTGAAATTTACTGAAATTTCTTCCAAATGTTCTCTTTTGTACACAGAACCACAGGGATTTGATGGGTTGACAACGACAATAAGCTTAGTTCTCTCGTCGATAAGTGAAGCCATATCGTCCAAGTCGACTTCCTAACCATTTTCAGGCTGAAAATTATAAATAATCATTATTCATTTGAACATAAAGTCCAAAGTAAGACTTGAGGTTAGTTTTAAGGGAATCCTTTAAACTATTGAATCTTTGAGTTCAATCAAGTATATAATTAGAACAGTCTTTAATCTCCAGTATCACAATCAGAACATAATTAGAATATTCTTTGATCACCATTATCATGATTATTATAACAGTCTTTAATCTTCATTATCATAAATAGAACATAAAATTAGAACAGTGTTTAATCTTCATTATCATAATTAGCACACAATAAAAACAGTCTTTAGTCGTAAGCAGTAACGTAAACGTAATATCTTTAATTTGTACAAACTTACAAAGAGCTTATAAGATCGTGCTTCAATCCCCCTCGATCCACAGATGCATTTGTAAAGAGAGAAACCAGGTCTTGGAATTAGGATGTTATCACCACGATCAACTAGGGCGTTCAATGCTATCTCGATTGCTCCAGAGCAACCGCTGGCCAACACAACATCCTGTAAACAAAACAACATAAACATAGAAGTATAGTCGTTTTCATAGAATTATTTGTGTAAAAAGCCCCGAATCTCTCATTTTGTTAAATTCGGGTTAGGGCCGTTGCTTTCTCAAGTGTCCTACCCCTTGAAAGACATAGCACATTTTACGTAGGTGCATACTTTACTTGCATTCGCCCCCTGGTAATTTAAATGGTGAGACTGAAACACTTAAGTCTTAAATGAACTTTGTTCCTTATTGAAAACTTATTGAGAGGAGGGGGAATGGGGTGGTGAGAGAAGTGTATTCAACAAGGATGCTATAACCCTGTGTAAATTAAAAATCGTTGCTTAAGAATATGATTCACTGCAAATGATTTAACGAGATCAAACGCACGAAAACAGCCACATTTTGGTTAACCGTTGTCAATGAGTTGTATTTTAAAGAAATATACAATGTAATGCCAAAACTTGGTGGAGGGGCAAAAAAGGGGGAGAGCATGAAAAGTTAAATTTTTCTGCCTTCATAAGAAGGAGTCCTTCATGTTAAAGTAGACATCAATAAAGCTGCTTGAAGTAAAATTAGAGACGATGGCTTTAGGGCAACAACAAAACATGTTGACATGAATAACTCCTAAATACTCTTTGAATATCACTATCAACAATCGTCCCTATAGTTATGGAGCAGGAATATGTACCTCAGCATCCACGATGTATTCAGGTGTTGAACTGTATTTTGCAACGGCATTTCGTGCCTCTTTCCATCCTACAAAAACAAATACAGATGATTGTATATGACTGGAATAGTGGAACACACACAGTGTGTATCAAAACAACAGCAATCCTTTCATTTGTGAAGCAAACACTGACAAGTATCATACCATTCATTCCACACTCCTCAATTCATAATACAAATTCTAAATTTGTACGTCATGTAAGCTAGAACAATGCAGCGAAATTCCACTGTACGTGGTACTATCAATCAGTTCCATTACAAATGGTTCAACTAGCCACAGAGCAACGAATATTTATCGTGTTTGGTTACAGTAAGGGAACTTACACTGTTTACTAGTAGACTATATTAAAAAAGTCTTTGAAGACTACACAAATTTCAGCTACTGTCCAATGCAAATCTCGAACACGAAACTCCTTTAAAATGTGTTCAGCCTCCTAGGGGATAATTTACTTCTGAATAGTGCAAGTTGTAAACATCTTCTGATTTTGAATTCATTTCAAAGTCATTGTCAGAAAATTGGAATATTTTGTGATGTCTAAATGTTGAAGAATTTTATACACCCTTTGTATTACAAAGAGAATCAATCTTTTTGAAAAAGTGTTCTTTAACTGGACTTACTTGTTCCAAAAGGTTAAAATAAAATCTAACTATTGTTATCATTGTAAAAAAAAGAAATGGAAAGAACTATTTTGCACGATTATTTTGCTAGAAGATTCTGCTTACAATCCAGTTTTATTAAATGATATTTGTGAAGATCGATTCCGGGGGGGGGGGTGGGGGGGTGATTCAAAATTATTTTACTGGAAGATTCTTGGAATCCAATTTTGTTAAATGATATTTTTGAATATAAATTTCCCAGGGGGGTTAGGGTCCAGGGGTGATTGAAGCACTCAAAGCAATTGATTTAACGAACCATGAGCTGGCTTGTAGCAGTTGTCCTTTCCTGACTTTATTGTGTCACAGAGCGCCCGAACACATTCTTCACTTGGTGGTAGGTTGCCAAAAACTGTGGGATCACCTGGAATATAAAAACATGTTGACATGAATAACTCCTAAACACTCTTTGAATATCACTATCAACAAGTGTCCCTATAGTTATGGAGCAGGAATATGTACAACGGCATTTCGTGCCTCTTTGCATCGTACAAAAACAAATACAGATGATTGTATATGACTGGAATAGTGAAACACATACAGTGTGTATCAAAACAACAGCAATCCTTTCATTTGTGAAGCAAACACTAACAATTATCATACCATTCTTTCCACGCTGTCGGTGTAACTAACCATAGGCTGGCTTGTAGCCATTGTTTTTTCCTGACTTTATTGCGTCACAGAGCGCCTGAACACATTCTTCACTTGGTGGTAGCTTGCCAAAAACTGTGGGATCACCTGGAATATAAAAAATATTCACAACGATAACCCAGTCATGCAAGGTTTTTGGAAGATTATCTTGAAACAATTTGAGTCCAAAGGGGGGTTGCGTCGAACCCAGATAATGCTATTGAAACTTTGTCATCCTTGAATTAACTTTCCAGGTTAAATATTAGTTTTCGCACAATCTGTGCGAAGTGCTGGTTCACTGTTCTTAAACTTCACACTAACGATGGGACTGTATTTTGAATATAATATTTTAACACTTCAATAAGATATTTACAGTGTTGTGCAAGATTTTACGTTCCAAGCGTTGGTTCTTCGCGATACGGAATAATTAAATTGATCTTGTTAAGATTACGGACAACCATCAATCCTAGAACTGCGTTTTCGAAATTTATTGCCTTCTGCAATACGACTCTAATTTATCAAATTTGTATGACCAGTTCATACACCAATAACGTCAACTTTTCCGTACTCCCAAACCAACGCTTGCAAGCTATATTTATGTATAATTATTCGGAAGTGGTTTTAGGCGTTTACAAATGACTTGCAACTTTGCCATTCCGTTTCTACCTACATCCTACCGCAATGACGCATTGCGGCGAGGAAGTGTTCTCTTAACATGACTATAGTATTTTACATCAATTTAATAATATCCGTTATATCTTATAATCTAAAATATGACACAGTCACACGCTACATAATTTGACATGACAATTTACAACACACTTCCCACCTTGATTAGTCCCACTAATCAAGCATAACCTGTGTCTTCCATACAGAATCAAGAGCAGCGGCTCTCTTGCGTCTACCCTCATGTTCTGCCTCCCTTCCTCTCAGTCCTTTTTCATTCTCTTTTCGCTCACATTCTCTTTCGTCGTGCTTTAACTCGGTAGGAAAGAGCTTTTGGACGGGACGATTGAGGTGAATAACTTTACCGTTCTTAACTAGCCTGACCTTAGCGCCTCTTACCACCTCATCTCTCCCTAAAAACAACTCCTCTATTACACCTGTCTTCCAATTTCCTCTTTTGACATTATCCTCATAAACAGTGACGACATCTTTCTTCTCTACTACCCTAATGGCATTGTCCTTCTCCTGCTTATGAAACTTTCTTAAACCAACCAAATACTCTTTACGCCACCTATTCCAGAAATGCATTTTTTTCGTGCTCAAATACTTATACCTTTTTTTACAGTAACCCTCATCAGATTCCTCTTCACCAGACTCTTCGTCTGGCATGGACAACAACCTTTTTCCCATCACCAAATGCGACAGAGTTAGTGGTTCACTACCCACCTCGTCGTACGTATAAGTTAATGGCCTAGAATTTAATGTTGCCTCAACTTCTACCAACATTGTCAGAAGTTCGTCAAATGTCAACCTAGCATTTCCTAATACCTACTTCAAGCACCTCTTCACTGACCTAACCATCCTTTCAAAAAATCCACCACACCAGGGAGCTCTTTCTAGACTGAATTTCCACTCTATCCTATTGTTTCCCAAATACCCTTGCACACTTGCATTATTAGAGAGGTTTTCTAAAGTCTTGACTGTTGCTTTGAATGTTTTTGCATTGTCTGATACCATTAACGATAGGGTCCCCCTTCTAGCTGAAAATCGCCTAAGACATCTCATGAATTCATCCGCAGACAAATCTTTAACTAGGTCTAAATGTAAGCCTCTAGTTACGCAACAGGAAAACAATGCGATGTATGCTTTGTCTGTCCCCCCTGATGTATTCTTCACATATAGTGGTCCAGCAAAATCTACCCCTGTCTTTAAAAATGATTCCGCTTGCTCTACTCTGAATGCCGGAGGTTTGCTTTGTTAGGTCTATCATATGGTTTACCCTCTAATTTCTTACACACGACACATTTGTTGAAAATTGATTTTACCTTCTGTCTGCCTTGTGGAATCCAGAACCTTGACCTTATCTCTGCTAAAGTTGCCCTAATTCCGCTATGATGTACCTTTTTGTGGCAATGCTCAACTATTAATTCCGTCAATCTACCTTCCTTTGGTAATAAGATTGGAAACTTCGTTTCCTCTTCCAAGTCTGATTCTGCTAGCCTACCCTGACATTTTAGTAACCCCTCATCTTCTACTACCTTGAGTTGTACCTCTAACTGCTTGAACTTATCCTCCTTCTTTAGCCTGTCTTGTGAAGCCTTCAACCAAAGTTTTTCTGCTTTATTTATCTCCTGACTCCCTAATTCCGTGAAGCTTAAATCTTCATGCTTCCCTTTGATCCTAGCGATCAAATTCCTGACAAATCATGTGACCCATGCCGTTACACGGAATAATTTCTCAACCCTACTGTACCTCTCTATAGAGATCACGTTCTGAATACCTATCTCTTCGTTAGTATCTACTACTAATAGAGCCGTTCGCTTTTCTTCTTCTTTACTCTCCCCAGTTACGCCTACCTCTGATTGCGGCCATTCTCTTTCTTCGCTACTCAGCCACCTTGGTCCTGTCCACCAAAGTGATTGCGCTTGTATCTTCGACGCAAACACTCCCCTGCTTCCTAAATCAGCGGGATTTTCCATTCCTGGACAATGTCCCCACTTCTCCTTCTGTGTTATTGATAAGATTTCATTTACTCTATGTCTAACAAACTGTTTCCACTCACCGCGATTCTGAATCCAATATAATGCTGTAATACTATCTAACCAGTACCTTGCTTCTATTTTCCCTACTTGGCCTACTAAGGCTTTCCGCACAGATTCCATTAACTTTGCTAACATCAGCGCTAACATTAGTTCTAAGCGAGGTATAGTAAGCTTCTTCAGCGGTGCGACTCTAGTTTTTGCTGTTAACAATTTCACAAAGACTCCAACACTCGTGCGACAAACAAAATATACTAGCGCGCAATACGCTTTCTCGCTTGCATCACCAAACCCGTGAAGTTCAAAAGATTGAATTTTGCCCTTTACACCACTATAGATGCATCTATTTAGCTTAATAGTCTTAACACGGTTTAGATCTTTAATCCATTCAGTGTATAGACCGGCGTGCTTTCCGCTTATCTCGTCATCCCAATCAATCTTTTCTACGCACAACTGTTAAAACAAGATTTTTATCAAAACTATTACGCGGCTAATTAATCCTAACGAATCAAATATCTTCTACTACAAACTTTTGTAGGTCGAACATGAACAGATCATTGTCGCATTCCCAGCATATACCTAAAACTTTTGTGTAATCATCATTATTTTGGATTCCCAAACTCCATTGTGTGAATGTTTCATCGTCTGAATCTGTCGCCTGCACGACATTCTTCTCGCATTAACGCTGTTCTATATGCGCTCGCACGTTTCCGTCATTTGTCATCCGTCTCTTTAATTTAAACCCGTCTTGAGACATTCTAAATTTCGCCTTTTCATATAAATCGATCGTTTCGTGTGTGTTTTTGTCGCCCGAAACTAATTCATCAACGTAAAATCCTTCATTCAATTTTTGAGCAAGCACTGGATGTGATTCTGCAAATTGCGCTATGTGATGCCTAAACGTGGCGTTGAGTAAAAATGGCGAGGCATTTAATCCAAACACTATTCTGCAAAACCTGTAAACAACATCCTCTAAATTAGCATTAGTCGCATCTCTAACCCACAGAAATCTTAAATAGTCCCTGTCTGCTTTGTCTAATTCTACGTTCAAAATGCTTTCTCTATATCTCCTACATAGACCACTCTGTTCTCCCTAAATCTGATTAATATATCAAACAACAACGGTGTTAATGATGGTCCTACATGAAGACAGTCATTCAAAGAAGTCCCTTTCTTACCATCCTTTGATGATGCATCATACACTATTCTTAGCTTAGTTGTTTTGGCTTCTTTACGTTTAACCGCTTGATGGGGAAGATAATGAACATTCATCCCCGGTTCTGACTCGTCAACCCTTTCAATGACTCCCATTTTCAGTTGATCCCTGATAATTTTATCATATTCCTTTAACAAATAAGGCTCTTTTGACAAACGCTTAATTTGCCCTTTCATGCGTGCTAAACTATTGGCATAGTTACTTGGTAAATGCCCATGACCCTGCTTCCACGACAATTTAACAAAGTACTTATGCCCATTAAACTCAATTTTATCTAACAAGGCTTCGTGCACATCGTCAGTTTCCCTGACCCCAAGTGTTTCTAAATCCCACAACTTGTTCACCTGCCTGTTTATGCTGTTTTTCTGCGTTGCAGTCTGCGAAACTAATTTACCATGTGCATTTTTGGTTTTCGAGATCCCTTTCAGTGGACGCTTACAACCCATCCTAAACAAGTGTCAATCGCAACTGGCTCATCCTTTTTGCCCCTAATTATTTCTCCTTTCTGAAAAGCCCAGAGGTTATCTGCTCCTATCAAAACATCCACTTCCAACATCTCCTGCTTCAAACTTACATCTGAAAAAAACAAACTTTTCAAATGAGAATACTGCTCATTAGCCACCTCAATATGCTCATTTTTTACCGTACAAATACGTGGAACTACTAATGCCTCTAAACGAATTTTGCAATTACCCCTAACTGATGCGACCTCGCAATTGACGACCTCTGTCATCTTAACTTCATTTGTTCCACCACCAAAAGTGTTGACCTCTAACCATTTTCGCCTTGCTACATTAAGCTTCGCATCTTGTTTTGTCCTGTTGGTGACGAAAGACTTCTGACTTCCAGAGTCAAAAAGCACTCGCACTCTCTCCTTATTCTGACCTACGAGAACTCCTTGCGCAGTCATCAAGGCTACCCTAGTGTTTGTAGTCACATGCACGTTAATCACATTTACCTGCACTGTTTTCTCTGAGCTACCACTCTGTTTTTCAGCCTTCTCTTCGTTTTTTTTCCTTTGTCACATATAGACACATGATGACCCTCCCCACTTTATCAAGCACTGTATGAAAAGTTCATTCGCATCACGCGAATTTCGCAATAATGATGTTGATTGCATCGACAATAGTAACGGTGATTTCTGCGTTAGGAGCTCATCAGACAAAACTAAATGGTATGAAATCAATCTCAGTGTTCCAAAGTGTAGCTGTGATTCGTGGAGAAAAACGCAATTTCCCTGTAAACACATGTACGCAATTTTCAATACCTTTGAAGAATGGAATTTCACAGCCCTCCCACAACACCATGGAAACAGCGTTTTCATAACATTGGACAATGGCTTGAATCTAGAAGAAAATAAAAAAATAAGAAAACATGAGGAGACTGATAATGAAAACAAGAACAATGCAGAGATTGCCAAGCATACTTATGACGTAATAATGCAAGAGGATGAAAGAAGACGTGAAACAAAGGAAAACAAAATTAAGACAGAAAAATCTTGCGAACTAAAGGAAACTGCACAAACGCGAAATTTACTAATGGAGAAGTTGAGCCTTGTTCGACATCAGGCATTCACTGTCAACAAGCTAAAACCTTTGCAAGAAGCGCTTGACTACGCAAATAAAATGCACGAAATCTTAAATAGAAATTGCCCAGTCAGTGAAGGTTTGCCAAGTAGAAATAGTCCAACAAGTGTGGAGTATCATCAACTATGAAATTAAAAATTGCCTCTCGGTTGCAAAAAGAAGCATGCTAATAACTATATCACAACAATGATCCCAGACATAAGACAAAAGCGCGCTGTATCATCAAACAAGGTGAGATAATTTTCATTTTGGCAACTTCGACTGACGAGCACTTTTTTACAAATTATAATTTTCACTCACAATTTACGTCCCAGAATGCACTTGAAGAGCCAGTTGAGCAAGAATTGTTGTTTGAGAGTGAAACAGAGGAAATCCAGGCATCACAAGAAAGAACTGAAGTACCGCCAATCAACAACTTGGAACAACACGAAAGGTCAGTGATTCATTGCAAAACGAGCTAAATTGTGAATGTATCTTGATGCACTATGTTTTTAAATAATATAGCACCTACATTGATACTTGCAAACAGTCGACATACAATTCATTGTTTCTGACTCCAAGGTAACAAATAAATGCATTTACAGAAAGACAGTGTCTTGGGATACTGTGCTGGAATTCAGTCTTGTGAATGTATCAACAGTAGATCTTTGGTCACTTGTCTGTTAAAAAGACATAACTGAAAAAGAATTAAAAATTATTGAAAAAGAAGTCACCACATTCAAACCTGGTTGGCTGACTGACTCTGTAAGAGAAAAAAGCGTCTAATATAGTCTTCTTATTTATCATTATAAGTAATTGTTTACAACCATGAGTGCTATGTACACGTAAAACTGGAGAGGAAATCTCTTCAAACTATGCTTTCTTTTGATTTTGGATAATTGACGGTTTTTTGTGGAGTTTGACTGTAAACTACACTACTGTTCTTGCAGCAGAATCATTTATTTCAGAGATTGTTAAAAACAACTCAAGCACAAGATGAACATAGGCTAATATAACTTTTCACCAAACCAAAATTATCCTTTTTCCAATCAACATTCATGGCATTCATTGGACACTACTGGTAAGTATTTGAGCTAAATAATAAAATATAGACATGCATTATACACATACTTAGCCCACATGAGTCCACAGATTTACATGCAAAAATTAGTATCTATAGAAACATTAACTCATTTAATTCCTTAATTAACAAAGAAAAAACATTTAACTAAATGCAACAGTAATTTTGTGTAATATAGACTATAGATAAGTTCTCAAAAACAAGACTCTACTTTGACTCACTTGGAGGAAGTGCAGACAAAAAGACACCTAATACACAGATGATGTATCATATAAACAAACTAAGGTAAAAGATTTGCCCAAAAATCATTTTCAACAATCAATATTATCATTTATGTGGTCATTGTTTGTCACTGCTTTAGTGCTTTGGTAGATGTAAAAACAGGTTGGAACTCAAGCTCATGGCAATGTTTTGAGCCACTCCATTGTAAACAGGAAGATATGTATAACTGTGGAGTGTACATATGCTTGGGAAGCTTAAAATAGCCTAACTTTACTTGAATAGCTATTTTTACAAACATGATTATTCAATAACTTCTCATTTTGCATCAGTTTGCTCGATGTCTAGCCCTTGGCTTGGATCAAAAACCAGCAAACATGGAGAGTGAGAGAAAACGAATCCTTTCAACATTACTTGGGTCTTGCTATGATGATATCACACAATAAGCCATAAATAACATTTGGTTGAATATTTTTATATGAAATTCATTATGAATATCTTAGGAAGCAAAATGTGGCTGTTTGCAAAATATGCAGAAAGGATGACAATGAAGACTGGTTGGGTTGTGATCAATGTGGTCAATTTTTTCATGCAAGTTGCCTTAATGTTGACTTTGCCATAACCTTGTCAACACATTTTAGATGCAGATAAAATTATTATCAATATTATTTGACATGCAACAAAATCATTGTTATGCTATCAGTGCAAATTGTGCAATTAAAATGAGTGCTTCAAAATATAGTAATGTGTGAATGATAAATACTTTAATTCAAGGTAAAATGAACTAGAAAATTTAATTGATTCGGCACGATTGTGCTTGCCACTAATTGAATGTCATACATGCTATGAATAGTTTGAAACTGTTGATGAAATGTTACATTAAACTACAAGTTTTACAAATATATCTGAAATATGGCTTATTCTTATTTCTTACCTTTGCGATGATTCTTCTGGCCAAAAATTTTCAAAATTCATGTAAATGTGTCTACATGATTACTCTGATACGAAATTCAAACGCAAAAACAAACTTGAATCAACTTTTGAGAGATAGCCGCTCCAGTTATTATAGAACTCAATGGTTCCGTCCTCTAAAGATAGGCGGAATACGTGGAGAAATCACGTGAGTATGCATTGAAATGTGCGAGAAAAGGCAGTTGCTAGGTTACAAGACAAATCTTGAGATTTTGCGGTATTACGATTACGAACCACCGAATAAAAGCGTGAAAATGAACGAATAAAACATAATATTGCAAATTGTTTGTGAAATAATATTTATCTCATCTCCAAATAGAATATTTACTATTTATTGGGAAATTTCTACTCATCTTCCGACCGAAAGCATGGCATAAAAAATGCATCACTAGACGTAATGGTTGAACAAGCACAAGCAGTGCATAAGGTATGAAAATTTGATCTTAAAAGTTTTATCCACTAAAAAGGTTGGAAATCTTACTCAACTGCTATTTCTCAAATGGACCTACATTTATTGAAGATTACCAAACGTGGTAGGATACAGGGTAAAATCCACTGTTTCTTTTGCTTTCTTTTAAAATGGCGGTGAAATCTCATTAAAAAATTCAAGCATAAGCTAAGAGAAGAACAAAAGAAGAACAAAAAAAGATTTAAAGAAAATCCCAATGTGTTTGTCTTTATAAACCTCTAGAGCAATAGAAACAAAAGTCTCGACGTTCGTGCTTATTTTACTCGTGTGAACCAGGCTTAAATATTATTACTTCAGTAATGCAGAAAGTGATTGTGTTCACGAATGAGAAGTTAATTACAAACTGATTGTCTTCACAACATTTCAAATGTGTAAGATAATTAGTAGATTTTTGTAAATGTGGTGGATGGTAAACTGGGAAATAAAGTATTTTGCCACTACGAAAAATATTTTAAGTAAAGTAATTTTTACCATGGAAAACTTGTATTTTATTGGTCAATAAACTGCAATGAAACAAGGGCAAGAAAAAAGGTATAAACTATCCTCTAAAAACTCAAACTTATTTAGATATAAAAGACATTCACTTATTTCAGAAATTTATCAAAATATTTAATGATTATATGAACTTTTGAACTATACATTTTAAATTTTACAAATTTATCATCCAATGTAGTCCAAACGAACATTGATGATTTATAACGTTCCATAACTTAATGAAATTTCGTGTCTTAGACATACTTTTGTCCAAAAGGTAAAACTTCAGCAATGGCTGCAACTCGTGATTCATTCATTGAAGGAAGATATGTCCATGAAGAACTACTTCCCATTTCGAAACACTCCACTGATTTAAGATCTTCCCATTTATCATTCTTACCTCCCATGACAACAATTGTATCACCAGTTATAACTGCACAACACCCATATCTCTCTTCCAACATAGATGGTAAGACTGTAATCTTACCTGTTTTAATGTCATACATGATAACACTGTTCAATCTTTTTCTTCTATCCCAACCTCCAAGTAGAACAACTTGATCTTTCCATTGAACTGTTGCCATTCCAATCAATTTAGGAGGTAATGGAGGCATTTCCCTAAATGTAAGAGTCCTTGGATCAAACTCCAAAACACTGGACAAAAGTAGTGTATATTTTTCGTCTCCTCCAAAAATAAGAATTTTATCATCAACAACAACAGCTCTATGGCCTTTAAGTGGTTCAGGCATATGACACAACTCTTTTAAAACATGAGATTTTGCACCAGTAATCTTTATTTCACTGATCAAATCTGATTTTTTACCATCAATATATCCTCCAATGAGAAAGATTTGTTCTTTATAAACAACAGTTTGATGACCCCGACATTCATAAGGAAGCTCTGTGGGAACTTTTCTCCATGTCAAAGGAAACTGTTTTATATTCAATGCCTCCATTGACTTGCAGCGTTTTCCTCCAACAACAAATAAATTATCATTATAAATAAATGATGAAGCCTCAATGTGTTCATTTTCCATTGATGCAATCTCAAACCATTTCTTCCCCTTCCATGAAAATATTTCAACACTCTGTGTGTCGCCTCCAGCAACCAAAATATCACTTCTTAATACATCCATAACTAATTCAACTGGTGATGTCAATATTGAAGCAAAATGTTCATTTATAGTCATCTTGTCCAAAAGTTCAAACATCATGGTTTTCATTTTTCCATTTCTTGGGAAGATTCAATCAAATTTTTATACCAAGACTCGACACAAATTCCTTGCGCCAGTCCTGTATTGGATTAAACATTTCACCGTCTCCAAGTTCAATACTTGGCCAAGTTGATAAATGATCGTGATTCTTGTTGATCCTTAAAATAAACTGATATAAATGATGGTTGAGAAGAATGACAGACTTTATGTTTTCCATTCTTTGAGATTTTTTGAACATCGCTCTCATGCCACCACCGATAAAAACAGAGAACATTTTACGAACACCGTCCAATTCATGCAGCCTTTTTATATAAAATAAACATAAATCAATGAGATTCTTTCGATTCTTCGGACATTCAAAAATTTGTGCCATGATCTTAACAATAACGGCAAATATTCTGTCGCTCAAGCTTAAATTTTTGTTGTTGAAAACATCCGTTGCTTTCTTACGGGAATCTTCAAATCGTTTTTTTGCCATTTTAAAATCCTTTGAATGTTGTATTGCACGGGAAAGATCATACCTGGTGGTGATGGCAGTACAAGTTGCCTGAGACTCATCATTATTACTTGCTTCTTCACATTCTCTATCACTTTCAACTTCGTCAATGCAATTAAAAAGTAGAATAAATCCTTCCTCCAAGTAGTTTAAACTGGAGCAAAGGTCTATTTTCGAAAGATTATCTAGCTTTGTTTTGATGTCGTGTAAATCTCGCTTGATAAGCTCCCGAAATCCTTCATTACCAACATCACCGTTTTCTAGCCTGTCTGCTGCAGCATCTCGGGCTTTGTTCGTAAAAAAATGAAATATAGAGAACACTAAGTTCTCCATGGCGTTTTGATGATTTGTACTCGTAGAGCTTGTGTATAAATCTATTGCGTCTCTGTCAAAAGAAAAAATTAGTAAAATTAGCTGTGTTTGTATGAATACTCGATTCAAATAAAATGCTTTATTTCTTTTAAATTTTCAACCAATCATTTTAATATATATTGATATGTATACAGCAAAGATTTACAGCATTTTCCATAGATCAAACTTTTTACTTTTGCAAGAAAATTTTTCAAATTACGAGGGAAAAAGAAGAAATCGGTAATGAGAGAAAAATGAAGGAATTTTAAAATACGAACAAAATCAAATAAAACTTAATGCTCCTGCAATGTTGTTGATTTAATGATAGTTTACCGGCAAATATTCAAGAGTTACTTTACAACACTTTACATGACACTAAATGACTATTTTCTTGAGAAAACCGCTGAACGCGCGTACTGCATTTTTGTGATTTAGCGATCATTTTTGACAAGCGTGAAACTAAACTGACCGAACGAGATCTTATAAAACTAGAGCACCATTTCTACAAAATTATCCTAGATTTCTCTCTGCAGTAAGGTTTTACAAAGAGTAGACGATATTTATAGTCCACTATTTAGTCCCGTTATTTCATCGATTCTGTATCGTTTGTGTGTGTTTGAAGACATGAAAATTGATGTGTGTAATGACTTGTAAAGTGTATTTATTAGCTAACATTAAATATGGCTCAAAGTCTACATTCTCAAGTGACGAAAGTAAAAAGCGACAACGAAGGAAATACATCGAGGAGAGCTTTTAAAAGAGAAGGAGGTTTATTCAAATTAGGAAAAATAACAATAATGAGGGAAATTCTGTGCGGAAACCGTAACCATTTTTCTGGCTGATTCTGCTTTAGTTCATTAATTTTGCATCTATATTATATATTGTATTTGTTGTTACAATAGTTTGTGTCGATCAGTACGTCGTGCTTTAATTTATAAGACTAAAATCACTTTGACCTTTTCAACAGAATTCATTCAATGATATTTAGTGTAGCTAGTCTAACGTTTTATTGATAACGTTGACAATCTTCAGTTTGTCGAATGACCTTTGCAATGTTAGGGAAATTTTCTATATTTTGAAAAACAATTTATTCTGCGTCGTAGACTGTTGTTCATACATCTTCAATCATGCATTTGCAAAGTTCACAAAAATCTCAAGTTCCGCAGCTAGTAGCATAGGGTGAGTGGGAAAGTACAGTGTGACATATAGAGTGAGTGGAGGACTACAGAGTGACACATAGGATGAATGGGGGACTACGGTGTGACACATAGGTTGAGTGGGAGATTACAGTATGCCATAGTGTGAGTGGGGAAGTACAGTGTGACATGAAATGAGTGGGGGATTACAGTATGACATAGGGTGAGTGGGGAGTACAGTGTGACATAGGGTGAGTGGGGGAGTACAGTGTGACATAGGGTGAGTGGTAGACTACATTTTGACATAGGGTGAGTGGGGAGTACAGTGTGACATGAAGTAAGAGGTACAGTATGACACAAAAGGTGAGTGGGGATTTTAGTGTGACATAGAGTGAGTGAGGGCTACAGTGTGACATGAAGTGAGTGGGGGAGTACAGTGTGACATGAAGTGACTGGGAGTACAGTATGACATAGAGTGAATGGGGGACAGTGTGACACATAGGGTGAGTGGGGCTACAGTGTGACACATAGGGTGAGTAAGGGACTACAGTATGACATATAGAGTGAGTGGAGGACTTCAGAGTGACATAAAGTGAGTGGGGGACTACAGTGTGACATAAGGTTAGTAGAGGACTACAGTATGACACAAAGGGTGAGTGGAAGAGTACAGTTTGACATGAAGTAAGTGGGGAAGTACAGTATGACATAGGGTGGAAGGGGGACTACAGATTGACACATAGGGTGAGTGGGAGACTTTAGTGTGACATAGAGTGAGTAGGGGCTGTGTGACAATGAGTGAGTGGGGGAATACAGTGTGACATAGTGTGATTGGGGGCTACAGTGTGACATAGAGTGAGTGGGGGACTACAGAGTGACACATAGGGTGTTGGGGGAGTACAGAGTGACACATAGGGTGAGTGGGTTACTGCAGTGTGGCATAGGGTAAGTAGGGGACTATAGTTTCTTTGACTTTATCAAACACAACACTTACAAACAAAATGAACCCAACGAAACGAACAACACAACAACAAAAGAAGCCTCGATTTTCAATTCAAAGGTACGTCTGAGACTATCTCGCGTATCTTTACGGCCATACAACATACGTGTCGCACATAAACCAATCACAGCGCTATGACAAATACCAACAAACGTCAAAGACAAAGAACAATCAAACGAGCGCTAATGTGCAGTTTACAGAATAAACTGCTCCGATTACCGTGTCCTTTACATCAGTGTGACTGACAGGAACTTAATTATAAGACTTACTGAACACAAACGAGGAACAAAGAAACAAGACAAAACTAATCACAGTGCAGAGCATCACCAACGGACAAAACACAGCATTCATTGGGACCGAATGCATGGAGGAACTAAGTTGAACTCAATCAAAGATAAGTTCCTGACACAAATTAGTACAAAGAAGGTTGGAAGTGAGGGAGGAGGCTTCTCACTCATACGTGATCATCGAGTGTGAATCAGAAATTGTGCTCTTACGTATCAACGGCAGACTCGTCTATCGACGGTAAGATTTTTGCTAAAATATTTCAAATCAAGTAGTGGAGTGAAAATATTGTCTTGGAATAGTCATGAGATGATTTTGAAGTCCCACTAAGCGAGTGTGTTTTTAGAATGGAAGCTTTGTTTTGTCGAGAAACCTTGGCTGGGTATTCAGTACATCTCAAATGCGGAATGCCATTATTTACATATCATATGATACAATGACATAGAAATTGCAACACATTGAAAACAATATGAATTTCTAAAGAAATATTTAAAATTCAAACAACCGCTGGGAGTAAATAATTTCTTGTTGTTTTAGCTGTATATTATGTTATTTCTCTTATGTAAAAGTCAACAATGAAGATAGAACAGGAAAACAGTATGTATATAATATATTTTAATATATCATATATATACTCTGATGATGGCTTTGGAATAAAGATAGAACACTAAAAACTAAAAAAAAAGGAAGTATATTACCGCATTTCATTCATCGGAAACCGAGTTCTAAGCGGGCTTAGTATTTTCAATGAAAATATAGCGTGAACCAATTGAATTATACTAAAGATTGTCATAGATAGTTTTTATATATATGTGTATAATGTAAACATACTTTAAATGTCGATGCTAAAGTCGAGTTATTGTTATGAAAATTTCAACTATGTGCAATGTATTCACCACAAATGAAAATCTCACATTGAAAAGAACTTGAAGATTATAAAAACGATTAAATGAGCGATTTCTAATCAACATTTTACAAAGTGTACCAGACCTTAGATAAGGTCGTCATTGTTTGTAGATGTTGGTTATAGCGTTGTGCTATCATTCTTTTATTTAATAACATTCCGTCTGTTTAACCTTGTGATTATACTTATACATATCGGCAAGCGGGATGCTTGTAACAATCTATGTTTAACATCGATATTAGATTCATTCTTTTCCATTGGAAAGCGAGATGCTTTCACTGAAGGGCAATGTCACAAGCCCGGGACTTGTAGCGTATATGGCTCTCTGCTTTTGAGTAGACTTGTCTCGTTTACAAAGAAGAGGGGTGGAAGGTTAATTTCTCAAATGTTGTTAGATAAGGTCGTTATTGTTTGTAGTTGTTGGTTATAGCGTTGTGCTATCATTCTTTTTGTGTACCAGACCTATTAAAGCATCTCGTAGAGTTGTCTGATGAGCTGGTTTACGATGTGTATATTTATGCAATATTTGCATCATGAAATATATATATGTTTCGGTCACGCGAGCATACTAAACATACTTCAACTTTTATAGAAATGAAATCAGACAGTGTAAATTGTATAAATCATTGATACTTGAATGCATGAAAAGATTTTCAATGTCTACAAAATGTGGTTATAATAAAGTAATGATAATCTTATATTACATCATAAATGTGTAAAAGGAAGAGAAACGACAATTTGGGCTGACCAAGTGTGTGGGAGTAATTAAGCTCAATCTAGATTCACAAGTTTCTTATAAGACAAGTTCCCGTCAAAATTTATCCGAAGCTGTTAGTATTTTCTTAGTTAACTATAATTTTTCTTAATAATGTTGGTTTTTTAGTATGGTGAACAGGGAATCTATTTTATTGATGAGAGGTTTGTACGACGACACAAGAATTAAAAATGCAAAAAGATTTCACTAACCCTTGTTTAAATCTTATTTTCTTTGTATTTATATAGATGGCTTGCGTCTAAAGTCGTTCCCCAGAAGCAGGCTTCTTTTAATGTTCTCTTTTTCAGCAAAATGATAAAAAATGAAGACACATGTATTTATGGCGCGCCAAGATGGACAATATTACCAAAATCGAAAATATTTACAACGAAACACATTATCGTATGTTGAAAATAATATACTGGCAACTTTTTCAATATTTGTAAAACAAAACGCAAAAATATAAAAGAAAACAAAAATTCGTTTACCATAATTTATATATACACAACGAAATTTATTTTTCATGTTATGAAAGTTATTTTTATAAAACGAAACTCATTTATATAAAACGAAATTGACATTCATAAAACGACATTTTCTTCGAACAAACGACATTTTTTAACGCTTTTTTGCGGCCATTATTTTGTAGCCTGCAAAGAGCGATCCACTACAAAATTTTGAGGATGTCTTCGCGAAGGAACTTACATAACTTGACAAACCTTGTTGCAGTAATCACTCATCTCTCTGAAAGTGATTGCTCCAACAATTGTGAAAGAACTTTTGAAGGAGATAACGATGCTAACGCTAGCAATATTGAAAGTACGATACGCACTCTGTGCCCTTCTGCAAATGGTCGTTCATCCACAACCACAACAGTCGGAGGAGCAGCGACTACAGCAGCTATTAAATACTTCAATGCACCACACGTCTCCACTGTTCAACCCAAGTGTAAATTATGGAGGAGGATAAAAGTCAAAACGCCGTTTTTTCTTTGATGTCAGTGGCAGGGCGCGGTAAAAAATGTCGTTTGTTCGAAAATGTCGTTTTATGAATGTCAATTTCGTTTTATATAAATGAGTTTCGTTTTATAAAAATAATTTTCATAACTTGAAAAATAAATTTCGTTGTGTATATATAAATTATGGTAAACGAATTTTTGTTTTCTTTTATATTTTTGCGTTTCGTTTTACAAATATTGAAAGAGTTGCCAGTATATTATTTTCGACATACGATAATGTGTTTCGTTATAAATATTTTCGATTATGGTAATATTGTCCATCTTGGCGCGCCATATGTATTCACCCTTCGTTTCTTGTTTCGGTTTAAACCATTAAAATTAATATGACAATTGTCGGAACTTATATAAATAAGTAATAGATAATTGTTATTTGATACTAGGAACTTATGAAATAACGGAACTAGGAACTTATGTTAATTCTTTATTAGTTGTGACAGTTTGAAAGTCAGGGTCTTCTGTCGCTGGCAATGAAGGTAAAAGCTTGAAATGTTTAAGGTTATCTGTGATGCGGAATAGTTATATTGGAATAGTTATATTGAGTAAAATTGAGAATTGTATGTCGACGGCGCGTACAGAAGGATAGTATACAGTCCCAAAAAACGAGTCGGAAGACGCATAACTGCTTTGTGCTAACGCGCAAAGGAGAAAATTGCTACAACAATGTTTTAGGGCGAAATAAAATTGTTTCTAAAATCCTTCTTCGCGCGGGAGTCACGAAAAGAAGAAACACGTGAACATGAAACCACTGCTTGTAAGTACGGTGGCCCACAAGGGACACGACTTCTTCATACAAAACTCACGTGCAGTCTTCACTTATTTGTAACCTGATCCATAGAAATAGACCTTCTCCGTAGAAATAGACCTTCTCCGTAGAAATAGACCTTCTCCGTAGAAATAGACCTTCTCCGTGGAAATAGACCTTCTTAGTAGAAATCGACCTTCTCCGAAGAAATGGACCTTCTTCGTAGAAATGGACCTTCTCCGTAGAAATAGACCTTCTGTCCTTCTCCGTGGAAATAGACTTTCTCCGTAGAAATAGACCTCCGTGGAAATAGACCTTCTTCGTGGAAATCGACCTTCTCCGTAGAAATGGAGTAGACCTTCTCCGTAGAAATGGCAAATACCGGCTCTAGATGTCAAATATATCAAATTCTAACAATTCAAAATGGCGGCGGAAAGCACAAAGCGAAACTTGTATAGCGAAAGTGAGGCTTTTAAATGGCGCGTTTTTGTAGCGAATGTGGCACGAAATTTGCTAATGAGGCAGCAAAATACTGTCATAACTGCGGAAAGGAATTTTCAGGTAAATTTAATCATAGTATAACAGTGATCACTGATCGGTGGTCTGTGAAGGATTTGATCATACATTATTTCATTATGTATATAATTCATCCCCTGTGTGAGCTATTATCTATTTTTGTGACATCGGGGACATATACCAAACATTTAGAAAAATACTTCAATTAATACATTTCTTGCTTTCAATTTGTAGAATTTCCACAAAATGCCTGTTACCATGAACAAGATTGTATTGAATACTATTTTCATCTGGGATACAAGTATCATGACATCATTAATTTATTAAAAACATATCATGGTATTACGATGTATGTCCGCACATTAAAAAGAAAACTACAAAAATATAACTTGAAGAAAAGAAATGTCAATTTTGATGAGCAATATCTCAGGGATATTATAAAACAGAAATGGAAGAGCTGGACAACTTTCTGGTTACAGTAAAATTTGGCATCTACTTCGAATAAATCATCATTTACATGCCCACGGAGTGTTGTGGCTAGAGTTGTCCATGAACTAGATCCCCAGGCCAGTAATGAAAGAAAGGGAAATAAACTTAAACTGTGAAAGTACTTGTCTTATGGTCCTAATCACTGTTGGCATATTGATGGTAAATTTCAGTTTACTTGAATATGTTAAATTTTTTTGTCTATTTCATGGTGCATACCAGTGGTAGGAGCCAAGAGAAAAACATCTCCAAATGTCATTTACATATGTTATGTACTGTTTGATAATACCAACATTTTCAAGGTTCATATATGAAGCTTTAGTGTAAAAAATATAGAGGGGAGAGTTTACTCATGTCCTCACCAGCACAACTGATGCATAGATTTTTGTTAATAAATATGAATTCCATACAGGATATGATAAGCTCAAACCCTTTGGCTTCCCTATACATACAACAATTGATGGCTTTAGTAGGAAGGTTTTGTGGTTAAAGATATGCAAGTCAAACAACTCTCCAAAAGAGCCAACAAAATTGTATTTGGATTGTGTGATCGAACATGATGGATGCCCCTTGTTAACTCGTTCAGATTATGGAACAGAAAATGGTGATATTGCAGCCATTCAATGTTATTTTCATGATGATGAGAATGCTCATAAATATGAAACATCCACTAGAAACCAAAGGATTGAAAACTGGTGGTCACATTTTCGTAAGTCTTGTACTGGTAAGTATGATCTATAACAACAATATTAGAAATATGTAAGACGCAGTAACTTTATAAATTAAAAAAGCTGGCGTGAAAAGTTAGTGATAGTAGTTGTAGGTTAATTGTGATCACAAACTTTAACTTTTGCAGATTGGTGGATTTTCGAGGATTTACGGGATAGCGGATCAGTGAACTTTGAAAGCACATTACACAGACAGTGCTTATGGTTCTGTTTCCAAGATGTAATTCAAGCATCATTAAACAAAATGAAAGCGTACTGGAATACGCATTATATTAGGTCATCTCGCCATGAAACCACTCCAGGAGTTCCTGATTTATTATTTTATTTGCCAAAAGATTCTGGGGGTGTTAACTGTCTTGTTAGGGTCAGTCAGGATAAAATTGATGAAATGAAATTGCGTCACTTCGAAGACACCAATGACGAAAGTTCATATCAGGAATACTTTCAGTATGTTATGGATCACGAAGGTGTCAGATATCCAGACAGTCCTAAGGAGGCCTTAGATTTGTTTTGCTATTTAACGGAAAAAGCTGGAACTGAAGATTCCTTTTGTGATGAAATTTAATGTTCATTACATATGCCAAAATGCATTGCTCTTTCGTAACAAGAGCTTTAGAGTACTAACATGAAAGATTGATAACATGCTTCAAATTGGATTCATTGTTACCTAACGTTTTTTTAACAAAACAATTAAATATGAACTTAACTAATAACTAATAATGCAGTTGTTACCATTAAAAATTATGAATTTTTACTGTTAACACTCCCGTTGATTGCTATTCCCCTGTAAATGATAAAATACAATTATCATTATTAAATGAAACGAAATCCATTTCCTTCGATAAGTGCAGAGTCAATTGCCTCTTTTAGTTGGTTGTAACTATCTCTATAATGAACAGGCAATGTAATGCTTAGATCACAAGTTGAAGCAGTTGACCGACACTTGCACCTTTCTGTACATCCATGCTTGAATTTAACCGTTATGGGTTTTGGTAATCCTAATGGTGGAAGTTGCTCGCATCCAGTTATGAATTTGTGCAACATGTACAAGGTGTTAGTGGCATGCGTCCCTAGAAAAAAAACCCCAATCGATTCAAATTTCAAATCTCATTTTGAATTTATAAAATTCGTCAGACAGTGGTATTAAATACAATCGGGCAAGTATGTCACTCAAGTTATCAATTATAAAATTGATCAATTCGTGGAAGTCTAATATTGAGTTAAGACTTTGAATGAAATGGCAATTTTTTCAGGTTGTGAACAGAAGTAGAATATTGGAAGATCCTTTTTTACATTATACATCAAGTATGTTGTATTTGCAACACAGCAGATATACCTCGGAAAGCATTGGAATCCTGCAAGAAATCGAGAAAGAATTTATAAACATCAACTTCTGCCATTTTGCAATTGTTTCCTTCTTCACTAAATTCAGCTGTCATCCCATCTAACATCTGATCGGCAAAAGGCAAAAAAAAAGAACACTCCGCAACAAATAGTGCCTTCATTGCTGCCTTTTCTTCTTTCATTGCTTTAATCACATTGAACAAACCTAATGCAATCATAAGCTGGTCCAGCATAGGCAGGAAACGTGAAAAATCATTCATTACAATTGCTCTAAAAAATGGCAACAGTGCGTTAGAAACTTCACTAGTTAATGCTTATTCCCAAACACAAAAAATGGCAAGAATTCGTGAGTGTGTCGAGTACCACGTATTATCTTAACTTAAAAGTCAAACATCAAATACAATTTATAGTGTCTGGGATGGTTTAATATGTACTTTATTGAAAATATGAAATTGAAAATTACTTTCGTTTAGTTAAAGTTCTTAATAAAGATTGTCGTGCTGAAATGGTAGTAAAAATCATATAAGAGTAAAAATCTTTGAGATCTTATTTGTCACAATCACTAAGCCATGTTAAAGTCAAACAAAAAGAAGTTGGCCCTTAAAGGGTTAATGACTTACACTATGCAGAATTTGTAAATCATTTCGTTTTTAAATATTTAAACATAGCGTACCTTAAGATGTTTTTAGCAGATTGTAATGATTCTCTTGATGGCACTCCCCTGTAGTGAATCTGTTGCAAAACATGCAACATGGCGTCTTCTTGCAACACACTTTGTAAATGTTCGTCGGTTGAACAATTTGTAATCTGTACGCCAATAAAAATTTATTTCACAAAACACTTAGAATTCATGACCATCATAAGCATTGTTTTAACATGAAAGAATGCTTTTCAGTTTTACCTTCTCTATAGCTTTAACAAGCGTAATATCCTTTACTTCTGGAATCCATCCTTCAGTTGTTATACTTGAAATAATTTCAGTCACATACATATAAACTTTGTCTGAAAAGAAACACGGTGCTGGTCCACCTTGCACAATTGAACTAACCATCACTTGACCTACTACTTTGAACTTGTCACCCCCAAGCGCTGCCATGTCAGGTAAAGGTATCCCATTATTAAACAGTTGTTGTTGAATAATTTGAAGTACCTCTACAAATATAACACAAAAATTTTAGTGAGTAATATAATAACAGCAACAAATAGGCAAATTGATTCATTTTATTTGCAGGTCTGGTAAGCAACTGAAACATGTATACCAGAAAAAAATTCACGAAGAGGTCCGCCATCATCAATTGCAGGCTCTCCAACAAATGTTACTTTCAGCAACTGCTTGTTATTGAACCATTGTTTCTTTGAAATTTCCAAATAGTCTTTGAAAACTGATTTTCGCCTCACATTAATTCAGATTTTAATAGGGTTCGCATGTTCAGCAAGCTCAGCTATCAAATCTTTCATCTTCATTTTCATTTCGACCGGATTCACATTACTATCATCACATGTTTCAGAAAAATCATCATTTCTGACAGATGTATCAAAAGGATCATCTTTTATTGATCCAATTGGGTCTATCTACTTGTCAGCAAATGTATTGATGTACCTCCAATTCATTAATGCACAAATATTTTGAAGCGTTCATGTCTAAGCGAATATTACAATCGTGATGGCCTTACAATAGTTGAAACATGAACGTATTAAAAGTCGGTTAAGTTGAAGGCATCGGGAAATTCAAAAGCCGTCACGTGACATGCAATTAACAAACACTTACGACATGCGCGTAAACTTCATCACAGAGAGCTGGGACGCGGTATTTTTCACCAACTGTAAGAAAATAAGACCAATATGAATGCACAAAAATTGTTGGTCAAATCGGCGGAAAAACCTTGTACATGTCTTGAGATATTTACTGTTTAAAACTTCTCCGAAATGTTCTCTTTTGTACACAGAACCACAAGGATTTGATGGGTTGACAACGACAATACGCTTTGTTCTCTCCTCAATAAGTGAAGCCATATCGTCCAAGTCGGCTTCCCAACCAATTTCAGGCTGAAAATTATAAATAATTATTATTCTCTTGAACATAAAGTCCAAATCAACACTCAAGGTTTGTTTGTAGGGAATCCTTTGAACTACTGACTGTTTGACTTCATTGAAGAATAAATTGGAAAAGTCGTTGATTTCCACTATCACAATCTGAACATAGTTAGAATATTCTTAAATCACCATTACCATGATTAATAGAACAGTCTTTAATCCTCATTATCATAATTAGAACTTAATTTTAACAGTCTTTAAACTTAAACAGTAACGTAAACTCAAGATCTTTAATTTGTACGAACTTACAAAGAGCTTATAAGATCGTGCTTCAATCCCCCTCGATCCACAGATGCATTTGTAAAGAGAGAAACCAGGTCTTGGAATTAGGATGTTATCACCATGATCAACTAGGGCGTTTAATGCTATCTCGATTGCTCCAGAGCAACCGCTGGCCAACACAACATCCTGTAAAGATTTAAAAAAAATTTTTCAAATGAGATTACTGCTCCTTATCCACCTCAATATGCTCATTTTTTACCTGGCAAACTACTAATGCCTCTTAACGAATTTTGCAATTTCCCCTAACTGATGCGACCTCGCAATTGACGACCTCTGTCATCTTACCTTCATTTGTTCCACCACCAAAAGTGTTGAACTCTAACCATTCCCGTCTTGCTACATTAAGCTTCGCATCTTGTTCTGCCCTTTTTGTGACGAAAGACTTCTGACTTCCCAAGTCAAAAAGCACTCGCACTCTCTTCCTATTCCGACCTACGAGAATTCCTTGCGCAGTCTGCAAGCCTACCCTAGTGTTTGTACTCACATGCACGTTACTCACATTTACCTGCTCTGTTTTCTCTGCGCTACCACTCTGTTTTTCAGCCTTCTCTTCGTCCTTTTTTCCTTTGTCACATATAGACACATGATGACCCTCCCCACTTTATCAAGCACTGTATGAAAAGTTCATTCGCATTGCGCGAATTTCGCGATAATGATGTTGATTGCATCGACAATAGTAAAGGTGATTTCTGCGTTAGGAGCTCATCAGACAAAACTAAATGGTATGAAATCAATCTCAGTGTTCCAAAGTGTAGCTGTGATTCGAGAAGAAAAACGCAATTTCCCTGTAAACACATGTACGTAATTTTCAATACCTTTGAAGAATGGAATTTCACAGCCCTCCCACAGCACAATGGAAACAGCGTTTTCATAACATTGGACAATGGCTTGAATCAAGAATAAAATGAAAAAAAGAGAAAACACGAGGAGACTGATAATGAAAACAAGAACAATGCAGAGATTGCCGAGAATACTTATGACGTAATAGTGCAAGAGGATGAAAGAAGACGTAAAACAAAGGAAAACAAAATTAAGACAGAAAATTCTTGCAAACTAAAGGAAACTGCACAAAAGCGAAATTTATTGCTGTAGAAGTTGAGCCTTGTTCGAAATCAGGCATTCACCGTCAACGAGGTAAAACCTTTGCAAGAAGCGCTTGACTACGCAAATAAAATGCACGAAATCTTAAATGGAAATTGCCCAGTCAGTGAAGGTTTGCCAATTAGAAATAGTCCAACAAAAAAGCGTTTGAAAGTAACAAGTGTGGAGTAACATCAAGTATTTCATAAAAAATTGGCTTTTCGTCGCAAAAAGAAGCATGCTAATAACTATATCACAACAATGATCCCAGACATAAGTCAAAAGAGCGCTGTTTCATCAAACAACGCGGGATAATTTTCATTTTGGCAACCTCGACTGACGAGCTCTTTTTTACAAATTATAATTTTCACTTACAATTTACGCTCCAGAATGCACTTGAAGAGCCAGTTGAGCAAGAATTGTTGTATGAGAGTGAAACAGAAGAAATCCAGGCATCACAAGAAAGAACTGAAGTACCGCCAATCAACAACTTGGAACAACAAGAAAGGTCAGTGATTCATAGCAAAACGAGCTGAAATTGTGAATGTATCTTGATGCACTATGTTTTTAAATAATATAGCACCTACACTGATACTTGCAAACAGTCGACATACAATTTATTGTTTCTGACTCCAAGACAACGAATAAATGCATTTACAGAAAGACAGTGTCTTGGGGATACTGTGCTGGAATTTTGTCCTGTGAATGTATCAACAGTAGATCTTTGGTCACTTGTCAGTCCAAAAGACATAACTGAAAAAGAATTAAAAATTATTTAAAAAGAAGTCACCACATTCAAACCTGGTTGGCTGACAGACTCTGTAAGAGAAAAAAGCGTCTAATATAGTATTCTTATTTATCATTATAAGTAATTGTTTATAACCATGAGTGCTATGTACACGTAAAACTGGAGAGGAAATCTCTTCAAACTATGCTTTCTTTTGATTTTAGATATTTGACGCTTTTTTGTGGAGTTTGACTGAAAACTACACAACTGTTCTTGCAGCAGAATCATTTATTTCAGAGATTGTTAAAAACAACTCAAGCACAAGATGCACATAGGCTAATACAACTTTTCACCAAACCAAAATTCTCCTTTTCAAATCAACATCCATGATATTCATTGGACACTACTGGTAAGTATTTGAGCTAAATAATAAAATATAGACATGCATTATACACATACTTAGCCCACATGAGTCCACAGATTTACATACAAAAATTAGTATCTATAGAAACATTAACTCATATAATTCCTTAATTAACAAAGAAAAAAATTTTAACTAAATGCAACAGTAACTTTGTGTGATATAGACTATAGATAAGTTCTCAAAAACAAGACTCTACTTTGACTCACTTGGAGGAAGTTCAGACAAAAAGACACCTAATACACAGATGATGTATCATATAAACAAACTAAGGTAATTATCAAACTTGATCTTAAAAGATTTGCCCAAAAATCATTTTCAACAATCAATATTATCATTCATGTGGTCATTGTTTCTCACTGCTTTAGTGCTTTGGTAGATGTAAAAACAGGTTGGAACTTAAGCTCATGGCAATGTTTTGAGCCACTCCATTGTAAACAGGAAGATATGTATAACTGTGGAGTGTACATATGCTTGGTAAGCTTGAAATAGCCTAACTTTACTTGAATAGCTATTTTTACAAATATGATTATTCAATAACTGCTCATTTTGCATCAGTTTGCTCGATGTCTAGCCCTTGGCTTGAATCAAAAACCAGCAAACATGGAGACTGAGAGAAAACGAATCCTTTCAACATTATTTGGGTCTTGCTATGATGATATTACACGATAAGGCATAAATAACATTTGGTTGAATGTTTTTATATGGAATTCATTATGAATATCTTAGGAAGCAAAATGTGGCTGTTTGCAAAATATGCAAAGAGGGTGACAATGAAGACTGGCTGGGTTGTGATCAATGTGGTCAATTTTTTCATGCAAGTTGCCTTAATGTTGACTTTGCCATAACCTTGTCAACACATTTTAGATGCAGATAAAATTATTATCAATATTATTTGACATGCAACAAATCATTGTTATGGTATCAGTGCAAATTGTGCAATTAAAATGAGTGCTTCAAAATATAGTAATGTGTGAATGATAAATACTTTAATTCAAGGTAAAATGAACTGGAAAATTTAATAGATTCGGCACGATTGTGCTTGCCATTAATTGAATCTCAGACATGCTATGAATAGTTTGAAACTGTTGAAGAAATGTTACAATAAACTACAAGTTTTACAAATATATCTGAAATAAAATGGCTTATTCTTATTTCTTACCTTTGCGATGATTCTTCTGGCCAAAAATTTTCAAAATTCATGTAAATGCGTCTACATGATTACTCTGATACGAAATTCAAACACAAAAACAAACTTGAATCAACTTTTGAGATATAGCCGCTCCAGTTGCTATAGAACTCAATGGTCCGTCCTCTGAAGATAGGCGGAACACGTGGAGAAATCACGTGAGTATGCATTGAAATGTACGAGGAAAGGCAGTTGCTAGGTTACAAGACAAATCTTGAGATTTTGCGGTATTACGATTACGAACTCCCGAATAAAACCGTGAAAATGAACGAATAAAACATAATATTGCAAATTGTATGTGAAATAATATTTATCTCATCTCCAAATAGAATATTTACTATTTATTGGGAAATTTCTACTCATCTTCCGACCGAAAGCATGGCATAAAAAATGCATCACAGACGTAATGGTTGAACAAGCACAAGCAGTGCAAAAGGTATGAAAATTTGATCTTAAAAGTTTTATCCACGAAAAAGATTGGAAATCTTACTCAACTGCTATTTCTCAAATGGACCTACAATTATTGGAGATTACCAAACGTGGTAGGATACAGGGTAAACCCACTGTTTCTTTTGCTTTCTTTTAAAATCGCAGTGAAATCTCATTAAAAAATTTAAGCAAAAGCTAAGAGAAAAACAAAAGAAGAACAAAAAAAGATTTAAAGAAAATCCCAATGTGTTTGTCTTTATAAACCTCTAGAGCAATAGAAACAAAAGTTTCGACGTTCGTGCTTATTTTACTCGTGTGAACCAGGCTTAAATATTATTACTTCAGTAATGCAGAAAGTGATTGTGTTCGCGAATGAGAAGTAAATTACAAACTGATTGTCTTCACAACATTTCAAATGTGTAAGATAATTAGTAGATTTTTGTAAATGTGGGGGATGGTAAACTGGGAAATAAAGTATTTTGCCACTAGGAAAATTATTTTAAGTAAAGTAATTTTTACCATGGAAAACTTGTATTTTATTGTTCAATAAACTGCAATGAAAAAAGGACAAGAAAAAAGGTATAAACTATGCTCCAAAAACTCAAAATTATTTAGATACAAAAGCCATTCACCTATTTCAGAAATTTATCAAAATAGTTAATGATTATATGAACTTTTGAACTATACACTTTAAATTTTACAAATTTATCATCCAATGTAGTCCAAACGAACATTGATGAGTTATAACGTTCCATAACTTAATGAAATTTCATGTCTTAGACATACTTTTGTCCAAAAGGTAAAACTTCAGCAATGGCTTCCAATCGTGTGCAATTCATTGAAGGAAGATATGTCCATAAAGAACTACTTCCCATTTCGCAACACTCCACTGATTTAAGTTCTTCATATTTATCATTCAGACCTCCCATGACAGCAATTGTATCACCAGTTATAACTGCACAACATCTATATCTCTTTTCCAACATGGATGGTAAGACTGTAATCTTACCTGTTTTGATGTCATACATCATAACACTGTTAAAACATTTGTATCCATCATCAGAACCTCCAAGAAGAAGAACTTGATCTTTCCATTGAACTGTTGCCATTTCAGTCAATGGATGAGGTAATGGAGGCATTTCCTTAAATGTAAGAGTCCTTGGATCAAACTCCAAAACACTGGACAAAACTTTGCCATCTTTTCCCTGTCCTCCAAAAATAAGAACTTTATCATCAACAACAACAGCTCCATGGCACCAACGTGGTTCAGGCATACTACACAACTCTTTTAAAACGTGAGATGTTGTGCCAGTAATCTTTATTTCACTGATCAACTGACCACTGCGTCCTCCAATGAGAAAGATTTGTTGTTTACAAACAACAGTTTGATGACCACTACATTCATAAGGAAACTCTGTGGCAAATATCTTCCATGTCAAAGGAAACTGTTTTATATTCAATGTCTCCATTGACTTGCAGCCCCATCCTCCAAAAACAAATAAATTATCATTATAAATAAATGATGAAGCACCCATGTGTGCATTTTTCATTAATGCAATCTCAAACCATTTCTTCTCCTTCCATGAAAATATTTCAACTCTGTAACCTTCAGCAACCAAAATATCACTTCTTAATACATCCATAACTAATTCAACTGGTGATGTCAATGTTGGAGCAAAATGTTCATTTATAGTCATCTTGTCCAAAAGTTCAAACATGGTTTTCATTTTTTCCATTTCTTGGGAAGATTCAATCAAATTTTTATCCCAAGACTCGACAACGAATTCCTTGCGCCAGTCCTGTATTGGATTAAACATTTTTCCGTCTCCAAGTTCTATACTTGGCCAAGTTGATAAATGATCATGATTGTTGTTGATCCTTGCAATCAACTGATATAAATGATGGTTGAGAAAAATGACAGACTTCATGTTTTCCATTCTCTGAGATTTTCCGAACATTGCTCTCATGCCACCACCGATAAAAACAGAGAACATTTGACGAACACCGTCCAATACATGCAGTTTTTTTATATAAGATAAACATAAATCAATGACAATCTCCTGATGCTCCGGACATTCAAAAATTTGTGCCAAGATCTTAACAAAAATGGCAAAAATTCTATCCTCCAAGCTTAAATTTTTGTTGTTGAAAACATCCGTTGCTTTCTCACGGGATTTTTTAAATCGATCCTTTGCCATTTCAAAAACCTTTGAATGTTTTATTGCACGGGAAAGATCATACTGGGGGGTGATGGCAGTACAAGTTGCTTGAGACTCATCATTATTACTTGCTTCTTCACATTCTCTATCTTTTTCTACTTTGTCAATGGAATTAAAAATTAGACGAAATCCTTCCTCCAAGTAGTTCAAACTGGAGGAAAGGTCTATTTTCGAAAGATTATCTAGCTTTCTTTTGATGTCATGTAAATCTCGCTTGATAAGTTCGCGAAATCCTTCATTACCAACGTCACCGTTTTCTAGCCTGTCTGCTGCAGCATCTCGGGCTTTGTTTGTAAAAAATTGAAATATGGAGAGCAGTAAGCTATCTAGAGACATGGCGTTTTGATGATTTGTACTCGTAGAGCTTGTGTATAAATCGATTGCGTCTCTGTCAAAAGCAAAAACATTAGTAAAATTAGCTGTGTTTGTATGAATACTCGATTCAAATAAAATGCTTTATTTCTTTTAAAACTTCAGCCAATCATATTAATATATATTAATATGTTTACAGCAACAAGTTACAGCATTTTCAACTGACAAGATTTTACCTTCGCAAGAAAATTTTGCAAATTACGAGGGAAAAAGAAAAAATCGATAATGAAAGAAAAATGAAGGGAATTTTAAAACACGAACAAAATCCAAATAAAACTTAATGTTCCTGCTATGTTGTTGATTTAATGATAGTTTACCGGCAAATATTCAAGAGTTACTTTACAACACTTTACATGACACTAAATGACAATTTTCTTGAAAAAACCGCTGAACGCGCGTACTGCATTTTTGCGATTTAGTGATCATTTATGACAAGCGTGAAACTACACAGACCGAACGAGATCTTATGAAAACTAGAGCACCATTCCTACAAAATTATCCTAGATCTATCTCTGCAGTAAGGTTTTACTAAGAGTAGACGATATTTATAGTTCACTAAATAGTCTCGTTATTTTATCGATTCTGTATCGTTTGTGTGTGTTTGAAGACATGAAAATTGATGTGTGTAGTGACTTGTAAAGTATATTTATTAGTTAACATTAAATATGGCTCAAAGTCTACATTGTCAAGTGACGAAAGCAAAAAAGCGATAACAAAGGAAATACATCGAAGTGAGAGCTTTTAAAAGAGAAGGGAAGTTTATTCAAATTAGGAAAAATAAACACTAACCATTTTTCTGGCTGATTCTGCTCTAGTTTATTAATTTTACATCTATATTATATAATGTATTTGTTGTTACAATAGTATTTGTTGATCAGTACGTCGTGCTTTGATTTATAAGACTAAACTCACTTTGACTTTTCAACAGAATTCATGCAATGATAATTAGTGCAGCTAGTGCTTACGTTTTATTGATAACGTTGACAATCTTCAATTTGTCGAATGACCTTTGCAATGTTAGGGAAACTTTCTATATTTTAAAAAGCAATTTATTCTGCGTTGTAGACTGTTGTTCATGCATCTTCAAACATGCATTTGCAAAGTTCACAAAAAACTCAATTTCCGCAGCTAATGGCATAGGGTTAGTGGGAGACTACAGTGTGACATAGAATCAGTGGGGGACTACAGTGTGACACATAGGTTGAGTAGGAGACTATAGTATGACATACAGAGTGAGTGGGAGAATACAGTGTGACACATAGGTTGAGTGGGAGACTACAGTATGACATAGGGTGAGTAGGGGATTACAGTGTGACATAGGGTGAGTGGGTGACTACAGAGTGACATAGAGTGAGTGTGGGACTACAGAGAGACACATAGGGTGAGTGGGTTACTGCAGTGTGGCATAGTGTGAGTAGGGGATTATAGTTTCTTTGACGTCATCAAACGCAACACTTACAAACACAATGAATCCAACGAAACGAACAACACAACAACAACAGCAACAACAGCAACAACGTACTTATATCAAAGTTAAGTCAGAGACTATCTCGCGTATCTTTACGACAATACGTGTCGCACATAAACCAATCACAACACTACTACAAACGTACTAACAAACGTCAAAGAGTAAGAGCGCTAAGGTGCAGTTTACAGAATAAACTGCTCCGACTGCCACGTCTTCTACATCGGTGTGACTGACAGGAACTTAAACATAAAGGCTGAAACACACTAGGCAGTCGCATCAGTCGCGCGTCCAAAGCGAATAGATGCACACGCGTCAGTCGCTTGAAGGCCAGAAACACACATGCAGCGACCATCGCGACTGTTACCGTGGCGTCTATTGAACATGGCGGAGATTTCTGTTTGTTACAGACACAGACATCACTTAGACTTTTTATTTTGGCCTTTATTATAGCTACTAATATATGAATATTTCCTCAGTACAAACTACTATGTGGAGAAAAGACAACAAGCCAGTAAAAACACGCCAATATGATCATAGCCCATTACGCGTATATCGTAGACAATCTTATTCTGTGCATTTAGGTTGTGCATTAGGGTTCCAGTTTGTAGCTCCTATTGTCCCTGTTTGATAAATCATATAAAAACTGAAAGATTCCAGTGTGAATTCACTATATATTGCCTTCGTTTTCCAAGGTATAATCTATAAATTCCGTATGATGCTTATGACAGGAAAATGATATGCATTAAGGAAGTTAAAATGTATCTATTGGCCAATCAGTGTAAAGCGACTGAAGCGACCAATGTCAAAAGTTCAACATGTTGAACTTTCAAAGCGACTAGATGACGCGCTACGCTACTAGCTTAGTAACCACGCAAAGCGGTAGTTTTAGACGCGCGACTATAGATAACGTTGATAATCTTCAGATTTTTGAATGACCCTTGCAATGTTAAGCCCGCCGCACACTGGTGAACTTGCCGCGCGTACTTGTTATTCGTGACAAGTGTGATCAACAAAATTTCCTAGTGTGCGCGGATGTTTTGAACAACAGTTGTCATTCGTGACAGATGAGTCAAATATCAAACGCGTTTACAACTATTCACAACTACATTGATTGATATAATAAATATACTTCTAGCATTCAAGAAAAAACTTAAAAACAACCCTTTTCCGGTTCCCTGGACTAAAGTGTGAGCAAAAGAAGTGGTAGCATGGGATTGAGAAGGACAGTTGTGAATATTGAACTGAAATTACATGGAACGCTACCTGTAATACAAAATCCTAAAAATTTTTTGAAGCCGTGATTATATCCCAGACTCACTTTAGACAACCTTTTTTCAAAAAATAGTGAGTAAATTTTTACAAGCTAGATGGTCATCGGTTTTTTAGTAACAAAATCATACGGTGCGAAGATTTCCAAACTTGCATATTACGATATACAAAAACCTTAAAATGGCTTTGTCAGTGAGTCATTAAAGTTATTGACTGTAAAATAATTAAAACAATCACTAAAAATTTGAATGTTCATGCTGCGTCTAAGAATGTGCAATAGGTTCAATTTAATTCACTATGTGAGATATTAATTAGTCACTTTTACTAAAGCAGTATTCTAGAAATGACCACGACAGAATCTTAAATGTTTAAACTTCCATAACACATCATTGAAATTTTAAAGTATTCGTTGAATGTAACGTTGTTTTCTTCACTAATTCGTTTGTATGCATATTGCCAAAATGTGAAGGCGTGCGTGGGGAGAAGGGAGAAGAACATACCAAACATACCAAAAATTTCTCTATTGAAATAAATCTTATTGCGTACAAATTATTATATAAAACTAGTATTTAAAATAAACATCAATGTATTTCTGACATTAATCTTTTGCCTTGCTATTTTTATAACTTGTTGTCCTTCTGGTGAATGGTGACAATAGAAGAACGGCATAAGAACGCCTTAGGAAGAGAAACGAGAATTCAGCAGACCGAATGCATGGAGGAACTAAGTTGCACTCAATCTAAGACAAGTTCCTGACACAAATTAGTCCAAAGAAGGTATCGACGGTAAGATTTTTGCTAAAATATTTCAAATCAAGTAGTGGAGTGAAAATATTGTCTTGGAATAGTCATGAGATGATTTTGAAGTCCCACTCAGCGAGTGTGCTTTTAGAATGGAAGCTTTGTTTAGTCGAGAAACCTTGGTTGGGTATTAAGTATATCTCAAATCTGGAATGTCATTATTTACATATCATATGATACAATGACATAGAATTGCGACATATTGACAACAATGTGAGTTTCTGAAGAAATATTTAAAATTCAAACAACCGCTGGAGGTACATAATTTCTTGTTGTTTTAGCTGTATATTATGTTATATCTCATATGTAAAAAGTTAACAATGAAGATAAAACAGTAAAAACTAAAAAATGGATATATATTACCGCATTTCATTCATCGGAAACCGAGTTCTGAGCGGGCGTAGTATTTTCAATGAAAATATAGCGTGAGCAAATTGAATTATACTAAAGATTGTCATAGATAGTTTTTATATATATGTGTCTATGTATGTGGATGCTAAAGTCAAGTTATTGTTATGAAAATTTCAACTAAGTGCAATGTATTCACCACAAATAAAAAACTTACATTGAAAAGAACTTGAAGATTATAAAAACGATTAAATAAACGATTTCTAATCAACATTTTACAAAGTGTACCCGAGTTAAGATAAGGTCGTCATTGTTTGTAGTTGTTGGTTATAGCGTTGTGCTATCATTCTTTTTGTTTAATAACATTCCAACTATTTAACCTTGTGATTATACTTTATACATATCGGCAAGCGGGATGCTTGTAACAATCTATGTTTAACATCGATATTAGATTCATTCTTTTCCAGTGGAAAGCGGGATGCTTTCACAGAAGGACAATGATGTATTGTCTAACATTAACACCGGATTATGTTACTGGATATTTATTATGGAATTCGAGCTTTGTCCATATGAACTGTTCAACATGCTTCCAAACAAAAATGAGAAGGATTGTTCAGTTGATTAGTCTATGATAAACCTTTCACCTTTTAACTTTGCTATACCGGTCACAAGCCCGGGACTTGTAGCGTATAAGGCTCTCTGCTTTTGAGTAGACTTGTCTCGTTTACAAGAAAGAGGAGTGGAAGGTTAATTTCTCAAATGTTGTTAGATAAGGTCGTTGTTGTTTGTAGTTTTGGTTACAGCGTTGTGCTATCATTCATTTTGTGTACCAGACCTATTAAAGCATCTCGTAGAGTTGTCTGATGAGCTGGTTTACGATGAGTATATTTATGCAATATTTGCATCATAAAATATATATATGTTTCGGTCACGCGAGCATACTAAACATACTTCAACTTTTATGGAAATGAAATCAGACAGTGCAAATTGTATAAATCATTGATACTTGAATGCATGAAAAGATTTTCAATGTCTACAAAATGTGGTTGTAATAAAGTAATGATAATCTTATATTACATCATAAATGTGTAAAAGGAAGAGAAACGACAATTTGGGCTGACCAAGTGTGTGGAAGTAATTAAGCTCAATCTAGATTCACAAGTTTCATATAAGACAAGTTCCCGTCAAAATTTATCTAAAAGTGTTACTACTTTCTTAGTTAACTACATTTTTTCTTAATAATGTTGGTTTTTGGTATGGTGAACAGGAAATCTATTTTATTGATGAAACGTTTGTATGACGACACAAGAATTAAAAATGCGAAAATATTTCACTAACCTTTGTTTAAATCTTATTTTCTTTGTATTTATATAGATGGCTTGCGTCTAAAGTCGTTCCCCACACGCAGGCTTCTTTTAATGTTCTCTTTTTCAGCAAAATGATAAAAAATGAAGACACATGTATTCACCCTTCGTTTCTTGTTTCGGTTTAAAGCATGAAATGAATATGACAATTGTCGGAACTTATATAAATAAGTAATAGATAGTTGTTATTTGATACTTTATTAGTTGTGACACGTTGAAAGTCAGGGTCTTCTGTCGCTGGCAATGAAGGTAAAAGCTTGAAATGTTTAAGGTTATCTGTGATGCGGAATAGTTATATTGGAATAGTTATATTGAGTAAAATTGACAATTTGTGTCGACTGCGCGTACAGTAGGATAGTATACAGTCCCAAAAAACGAATCGCCAGACGCATAACTGCTTTGTGCTAACGCGCAAAGGAGAAAATTGCTACAACAATGTTTTAGGGCGAAATAAAATTCTTTCTAAAATCCTTCTTCGCGCGGGAGTCACGAAAAGAAGAAACACGTGAACATGAAACCACTGCTTGTAAGTACGGTGGCCCACAAGGGACACGACTTCTTTATACAAAACTCACGTGCAGTCTTCACTTATTTGTAACCTGATCCATAGAAATAGACCTTCTCAGTAGAAATAGATTTTCTCCGTAGAAATAGACCTTCTCCGTAGGAATAGACCTTCTCCGTAGGAATAGACCTTCTCCGTAGAAATAGACCTTCATCGTGAAAATAGACCTTCTCCGTAGAAATGGACCTTCTCCGGAGAAATGGGCCTTCTCCTTAGAAATAGACCTTCTCCGTAGAAATGGACCTTCTCCGTGGAAATAGACCTTCTCCGTGGAAATAGACCTCCGTAGGAATGGACCTTCTCCGTAGAAATAGACCTTCTCCGTTAAAATAGACCTTCTCCGTGGAAATAGACCTTCTCCGTAAAAATAGACCTTCACCTTGGAAATGGACCTTCTCCGTAGAAATGGACCTTCTCTGTAGAAATCGACCTTCTCCGTGCAAATCGACCTTCTCCGTAGAAATCGACCTTCTCCGAAGAAATAGACCTTCTCCGTAGAAATCGACTTCTCCGTAGAAATAGACCTTCTCCGTAGAAATAGACCTTCTCCGGAAATAGACCTTCTCCGTGAAATGGACCTTCTCCGTAGAAACGGACCTTCTCCGTGAAATAGACCTCCGTGAAATAGACCTTCTCCGTAGAAATAGACCTTCTCCGTGAAATCGACCTTCTCCATGAAATAGACCTTCTCCGTGAAATAGACCTTCTCCGTAGAAATCGACCTTCTGTAGAAATAGACCTTCTCCGTGGAAATAGACCCTCCGTAGAAATAGACTTTCGTAGAAATCGACCTTCTCCGCAGAAATCGACCTTTCCCGTAGAAATGGACCTTCACCGTAGAAATAGACCTTCTCCGTGGAAATAGACCTTCTCCGTGGAAATAGACCTTCTCCGTAGAAATAGACTTTTCGTAGAAATCGACCTTCTCCGCAGAAATCGACCTTTCCCGTAGAAATGGACCTTCACCGTGGAAATAGACCTTCTCCGTGAAATAGACCTTCTCCGTGGAAATAGACCTTCTCCGTGAAATAGACCTTCTCCGTAGGAATAGACCTTCTCCGTGAAATAGACCTTCTCCGTGAAATAGACCTCTCCGTAGGAATAGACCTTCTCCGTGGAAATAGACCTTCTCCGTAGAAATAGACCTTCTCCGTGAGACTTCTCCCATGGACCTTCTCCGGACCTTCTCCGTGAAATAGACCTTCTCCGTGGAAATAGACCTTCTCCGTAGAAATAGACCTTCTCCTTGGAAATCGACCTTCTCCATGGAAATAGACCTTCTCCGTGGAAATAGACCTCCGTAGAAATGGACCTTCTCCGTAGAAATAGACCTTCTCCGTGAAATAGACCTTCTCCGTGAAATAGACCTTCTCCAAAAATAGACCTTCTCCTTGAAATCGACCTTCTGTAGAAATCGACCTTCTGTAGAAATCGACCTTCTCCGTAGAAATCGACCTTCTCCGTAGAAATCGACCTTCTGTAGAAATAGACCTTCTCCGTGAAATAGACCTCCGTAGAAATGGACCTTCTCCGTAGAAATAGACCTTCTCCGTGGAAATAGACCTTCTCCGTGGAAATAGACCTTCTCCGTAAAAATACACCTTCACCTTGGAAATCGACCTTCTCTGTAGAAATCGACCTTCTCTGTAGAAATCGAACTTCTCCGTAGAAATCGACCTTCTCCGTAGAAATCGACCTTCTGCGTAGAAATAGACCTTCTCCGTGAAATAGACCTTCTCCGTAAAATAGACCTTCACCTTGAAATCGACCTTCTGTAGAAATCGACCTTCTGTAGAAATCGACCTTCTCCGTAGAAATCGACCTTCTCCGTAGAAATAGACCTTCTGCAGAAATAGACCTTCTCCGTGAAATAGACCTTCTCCGTGAAATAGACCTTCTCCGTAGAAATAGACCTTCTCCTTGGAAATCGACCTTCTCCATGGAAATAGACCTTCTCCGTGGAAATAGACCTCCGTAGAAATGGACCTTCTCCGTAGAAATAGACCTTCTCCGTGAAATAGACCTTCTCCGTGAAATAGACCCTCTCCGTAAAATAGACCTTCACCTTGGAAATCGACCTTCTGTAGAAATCGACCTTCTCTGTAGAAATCGACCTTCTCCGTAGAAATCGACCTCTCCGTAGAAATCGACCTTCTGCGTAGAAATAGACCTTCTCCGTGGAAATAGACCTCCGTAGAAATGGACCTTCTCCGTAGAAATAGACCCTCCGTGAAATAGACCTCCGTGAAATAGACCTTCTCCGTAAAAATCTTCACCTTGGAAATCGACCTTCTGCAGAAATCGACCTTCTCTGTAGAAATCGAACTTCTCCGTAGAAATCGACCTTCTCCGTAGAAATCGACCTTCTGCGTAGAAATAGACCTTCTCCGTGGAAATAGACCTTCTCCGTAAAATAGACCTTCACCTTGGAAATCGACCTTCTCTGTAGAAATCGACCTTCTCTGTAGAAATCGACCTTCTCCGTAGAAATCGACCTTCTCCGTAGAAATAGACCTTCTGCGTAGAAATAGACCTTCTCCGTGGAAATAGACCTTCTCCGTAGAAATAAACCTTCTCCGTAGAAACAGACCTTCTCCGTGGAAAAAGACCTTCTCTGTGGAAAAAGACCTTCACCGTAGAAATGGACCTTCTCCGTAGAAATGGACCTTCTCCGTGGAAATAGACCTTCTCCGTGGAAATAGACCTCCGTAGAAATGGACCTTCTCCGTAGAAATAGACCTTCTCCGTGGAAATAGACCTCCGTGGAAATAGACCTTCTCCGTAAAAATAGACCTTCACCTTGGAAATCGACCTTCTCTGTAGAAATCGACCTTCTCTGTAGAAATCGACCTTCTCCGTAGAAATCGACCTTCTCCGTAGAAATCGACCTTCTGCGTAGAAATAGACCTTCTCCGTGAAATAGACCTCCGTAGAAATGGACCTTCTCCAAAGAAATAGACCTTCTCCATGGAAACAGACCTTCTCCGTGGAAAAAGACCTTCTCCGTGGAAAAAGACCTTCACCGTAGAAATGGACCTTCTCCGTAGAAATGGACCTTCCGTGGAAATAGACCTCTCCGTGGAAATAGACCTCCGTAGAAATGGACCCTCCGTAGAAATCGACCTTCTCCGTAGAAATCGACCTTCTCCGTAGAAATCGACCTTCTGCGTAGAAATAGACCTTCTCCGTGGAAATAGACCTTCTCCGTAGAAATAGACTTTTCGTAGAAATCGACCTTCTCCGCAGAAATCGACCTTTCCCGTAGAAATGGACCTTCACCGTAGAAATAGACCTTCTCCGTGGAAATAGACCTCTCCGTGAAATAGACCTCTCCGTAGAAATAGACTTTCGTTGAAATCGACCTTCTCCGCAGAAATCGACCTTCCGTAGAAATGGACCTTCACGGTGAAATAGACCTTCTCCGTGAAATAGACCTCCGTGAAATAGACCTTCTCGTGAAATAGACCTCTCCGTAGGAATAGACCTTCTCCGTGGAAATAGACCTTCTCGTGAAATAGACCCTCCGTAGAATAGACCTTCTCCGTGGAAATAGACCTTCTCAGAAATAGACCTTCTCCGTGAAATAGACGTTCTCCGTGGAAATGGACCTTCTCCGTAGAAACGGACCTCTCCGTGGAAATAGACCGTGGAAATAGACCTCCGTAGAAATAGACCTTCTCCTTGAAATCGACCTTCTCCATGGAAATAGACCTTCTCCGTGGAAATAGACCTCCGTAGAAATGGACCTTCTCCGTGGAAATAGACCTTCTCCGTGGAAATAGACCTTCTCCGTAAAAATAGACCTTCACCTTGGAAATCGACCTTCTCTGTAGAAATCGACCTTCTCTGTAGAAATCGACCTTCTCCGTAGAAATCGACCTTCTCCGTAGAAATCGACCTTCTGCGTAGAAATAGACCTTCTCCGTGGAAATAGACCTCCGTAGAAATGGACCTTCTCCGTAGAAATAGACCTTCTCCGTGGAAATAGACCTTCTCCGTGAAATAGACCTTCTCCGTAAAATAGACCTTCACCTTGGAAATCGACCCTCTGTAGAAATCGACCTTCTCTGTAGAAATCGAACTTCTCCGTAGAAATCGACCTTCTCCGTAGAAATCGACCTTCTGCAGAAATAGACCTTCTCCGTGGAAATAGACCTTCTCCGTAAAAATAGACCTTCACCTGGAAATCGACCTCTCTGTAGAAATCGACCTTCTGTAGAAATCGACCTTCTCCGTAGAAATCGACCTTCTCCGTAGAAATAGACCTTCTGCGTAGAAATAGACCTTCTCCGTTGAAATAGACCTTCTCCGTAGAAATAAACCTTCTCCGTAGAAACAGACCTTCTCCGTGGAAAAAGACCTTCTCCGTGGAAAAGACCTTCACCGTAGAAATGGACCTTCTCCGTAGAAATGGACCTTCTCCGTGGAAATAGACCTTCTCCGTGGAAATAGACCTCCGTAGAAATGGACCTTCTCCGTAGAAATAGACCTTCTCCGTGAAATAGACCTCCGTGAAATAGACCTTCTCCGTAAAATAGACCTTCACCTTGGAAATCGACCTTCTCTGTAGAAATCGACCTTCTCTGTAGAAATCGACCTTCTCCGTAGAAATCGACCTTCTCCGTAGAAATCGACCTTCTGCAGAAATAGACCTTCTCCGTGGAAATAGACCTCCGTAGAAATGGACCTTCTCCGTAGAAATAGACCTTCTCCATTGAAACAGACCTTCT